GGTTTTTAGTTAGGTACTACTTCTTAAGTCTAGTAGTAGGTTGTATATATAGTGGACTTGGAGTATACCTTAGGATGTCTCTACTTAAACTAATGTTAGGTCCCTATCCTCCTATAGTATAGCCTGCTAGGTTTCTATATCTATCTCCTTACTAATATAGATGTATATCCTTAGGGCTCCCTAGTTGTAGATAATTGGGTAGTATCTTAGGTCTTTAACTGTTGCTAGTCTCTTTATATATAGGTTGAGCTAGGGCTCTTAGATTGCAATAATATAATGTTCTTTTAGGTTTAGTGCTTAAAGGAAGCTCCTCTGTACCTTGTCTTTGCTCTTATTAACATTGTACTGTATAATATTTAGTAATGTTGCGATATTCATTAGGTTTTATCTATATTATTTCCCTATAAGTTTTCCTTTAGTCTTCCCTTACTTTAGACTAATATTTGACTAAGCTTTGTCTATCCTGCTTCCTTTCCTATAATGTTAAGGTATCTTAGTCTCCCTAGTTGCTAGTAACTCTCTTGTGCTAGTAAGGCCCTGAATATAAACCTATTATCTTGTCTAGACCTCTTTTATAGCACTTAGCTAGGTTGCTTCTGTACCTAGCTGCCCTAGCTTGTTATGTATCTTTTTAGTATATTGATTCTAGCTTCCTTTGCCTTCCTAGCTGCCTATATTCTTACTAGGCATTCCTTCGCCTAAGAGGGGTGTCTTTTAGTGCAGTATGCGTATCTTGCCTCTCCCTTGTGTGCTTTGCATTCTTTAACCTAGTAATCCCCTATATAATAGGAGTAGGTATTAGTTGTCTTTGTATACTTAGCTACTAAGTGTCTATAGTGTTAATATTTGAAGTACTGCATTATCCTATAGTTGCTTCTATGTATCTCTATTTCTAATCTTTTAAAGTCCTAGAACAACCCCTAGTCTAGCACTATATTAGCTTACTCTATACTCCCTACCTAGATAATTAGGGAAGACTGCTTCTTAGTCTCTTCAATTTTCCTTTTAATCTATGCTACTTTTGTAATCTTTAGGCCTAGGCATATAGCTTAGTTTTGTCTCTATAGGCTCTTAATATCCTGTTCTTCCTTAAAGCTTCTTATTATGCTATAGGCTATAATTATGAATTGCTATTAGGAGACCTTTGCTGTTTTCCCTATCTTAGTTGTCTATTCTTTTTGTGTTTCTAGCTTCTTTTTGTCCTGCTCTTGTGCTATAAATAGCTTAATTACCCCTTTACCTTCGTTCCTAGCCCTAATTACTTCTTTAACTGCAATTCTTTCTATAATCTCTTTCCCTATAAGTCCTTAGATTTCCTTTTGCTCCTATAGGTCCGTAATGTAGACTCTAACTACTGTCCTCGGGGGTTTTAGCGCCTCCTAACTAGCTACTACTGCCTAGATGCGGTAGTTTAGGCTTATCTCCTGTTGTTTCTTCGTAATCTTTGCTGCGACTGTATTAGCTACCTTTGTAATTACGTAGCTTGCCTAGCTATAGATTACTTTTAGTCCTCTAAGGAGTTCTAAGATTATTATCCTGTATGCCCTCTTAGGGGTTCTTCTATCTTCCGCCTTTAGCACCTCCTCTGCCCTAGTATATAGTGCTTTCCATTCGTCCTCCCTTCCTTCTTAACTATCTTCCCTTCGTCTCTAATTGTTCGCTGCCATTTGTTAAGCGCTATGCCTTCTTCTCTAGTTTATTTTACCTTACTATACAGATACCTAGTATTCTACGGTTATCTAGATACCTCGATAACTAGTATATACTAGCAATATCCTATATAGCTACTAGCGACAGATACCTATAGCGTATATACTAAGCGACGACGATATATTGCAAAGGACGCCTAGGGCTTCCTATATAAGGAATAAGAAGGCTAGACTGTACAGTTTGCGCTAAATATAGAGATAAATATCTTCCTAGCTAACGAGTAATACCGTAGTATAATAGCTGCGCTATTTAGCGATAAGGCATCCCTAGAGGAGCGGTTTTAGCGCACTAATATTCGGACTACTACTAAGAAGGAGAGCATTAGTGCTCTTTTTAAAAGAGCTCGAAAAAGGGATAGTTAAATAGTTACTAGCGCAGTATCGCCTTAGGTAATAATAATAACGTATTTAGATTTTCTATATCTATAGTAGAGACATTATAAATACGGAAAATCTAAACTATCGGTATTAACATCGAGGGGCAAGTAGTAAGCAACTAGATTACGAGCAGCTATAGCCTAAGATTAGGACAACTAGTAGCAGATTAGGAGCTAAGTAACAAGTCTAGGTAGTAGCGGCACTAGATATAATAGCTATAGGTCTAGGAATACTAGATAAGAATTACCTTCCTATAGATATAGGAATTCGCTATTAGTCGATAACTGCGGGTACTAGCGGGTATATAGCTAACTAAATATAGAAATTCAATCGAATTAGCGCTGCTTAGATATATAATAAGGAATACAGTATAGCGCATACTAGCTAACTATAATAGTAGATAAGAGAGAGGATACGACGATTAGTAGTAATAGCGGCTAGCGCTAGATAGTAAACTTTTATTTGAAATAGCGCAGTAGCGCGCTATTATAATATACTATAGAGGTCTTACGACCTCGTCTTTCGACAAGGTAGCCTCGAGAACCTATAACTAGCTAAACTAAGAAAAAAAAAGAAACAAAGAACCTAGCGCTTAATTATTATTATTATTAACATTATTATTATTATTATCCTTATCCTCGCTATCCGACGATAGGCAAGGCGGCGACGCGCGATCTATATAAGGATTATTTGCCTAAATGTAGTAGGTACACTTACGATGCTTGCCGAAGGCATCGGTCGCGTATTTGTAGTACTTAAGGCCCGACCGAATACACTCGAGATATAGGCGGCGGCGGCGGCGGCTAGCGATCTCTATAATGCGGCCGATATGCGACTAGATCTTCTAGCGGCCTTCGAACACTAAGACATTATTAGTAAGAGCATAATACATACTAGTTCGATTAATATATAAAGCTACTTACTCTCCGGCACCGACTACTACTAATTAACGGCTATTAGGCGGCGAAGCACTATAATATTCTTACTAGCTTTCGCTAGACGACTAACGCGGCGCTTCTTGCTAGTACTAGTGCTAGTACTAGTGCTAGTACTAGCGCGGTCGGCTAGGGTCTTGCCTAGGAAGGTTAGTACCTTAGGAGGCGCGACGATTAGTACGAAGGCGGCGGCGGCAGGCAGGGCGGCGGCAGGCAGGGCAGCGGTAGTAGGCAGAGGGGAGGGAGAGGGGGAGGTAATAGGAGGGAGAGGCCTAGCCTTATTATCGTCGTCGTCGTCGTCGTCGTTACTATTAATATATTAGAATAATAAGCTCTAACTAAGTTAGACAATCGATAGAAGAAAGAAAGCTAGAACTTATAAGACTTATTCGTCGTTACTACTAGTATCGACTATAATTTAGTCGCTACGTAGACTATTAGTATATACGAACTTAATAAATAAACTCGATAGGTCTATACTCTTCTTACTATTACTACTACTACTGCTACTAGCGGCGCTAGCGTAGGAGTAGGAGCGCAGCCCGGAACCGAGCGGTATTAACTAAGCGGCAGGTAGTAGCGGCGGCAGCTAAATGCTCGGCGGCGCGGCGACTAAGTAAGCGATTAGTATAACTGTCTTCTAGACTCGCGAATAGCTAGAAACTTGAACTTATAGGATAGCGCGGCGGCTAGTGCGGCGGCGGTAGGCGTCGGAGCTCTAAGGGTATATTAGTCCTTAATTTCTTGCTTTTAATAAAGAGCGATTAGTTATACCTAGCTAAAGAAAGGGTAACTAGCACCCGTAGGCGAGAAGAAGGGGCCGCCTATATTACTTTCTATACCGTTAACGTAGTTCTTGTATATAAGGTATTGTCGTAGGTAAGGGTAAGAGGGTATATACGATGTCTATAGGAAGAAAGGAAGAGGAGGAAGAAGAAGAAACGGTAGAAAGTTATACTATCGAGAGAGTCCTATCGCTATTGTTCTATTATTAATATAATAGTAAGGCTTAGTATAGGGCTTACGCTTAGATTAGGCGATTAGTAATTAGCTATAGGCTATAGCGAAGTAATATTGCTCGAGTAAAGTAATTAGGATTTCTATATTTAGTAGCAACTACTATAGATATAGTAATTGTTGCTCTATGCGACAATAGTTGTAAGTAAGTTCTACCCGAATATAACCGTACCTAACTCTACTAACTAATAATAGTAGAACGAACGATTAAAGGGAAACGGGTCGATTAAGTTTCCTATTTAAAGTAAAGGTAGGCGTTAATATGTAGGGTTTATAACGGAAATAATGTACTATTTCTATATTCGTAGCGAGCGGCTGCGAATATAGAAATAGTATACGACATCCTCTTAATACTCGACTAACGACTTCTACTATATCTAGCGTATACGTAGCTACTACTAGGCCTTCGAGAGAGTAGACTACTTGCTACTAGCTTCGATAATATCTCTTAAGTACTAACTAGGCTAAAGTAGAAGGATGTTAGTATCGGTAGAATTTCTATATTTATAGATACTCGCTACGGATATATAAATGTCTTAGATCTCTTTCTTATATCTACCTGTCCTATATACTACCCCCTAACTCCCTCCCCTACTCCCTAGTAATGTCCTTCTATCTACTACCTGCGTGCCTAGTTAGAAGATATTTAGAGTATACTACTTAGAGTATAATTCTCTTTGCCGCTTTTCTATATACTTAGTAAGGCTCTATAAATATAGAAATTAATGAAAATAGTATAATGCTATACAGGTAATTACTGTGCTAATGTTTATTATCCGAGTAATTACTATGCTAATGTCTATGCCAATATGCTAGAATATTCCCATTTAAGAAATACCAGCCAATGTTGCCAATCCGATCCCATCCGAGTAATTACCATGCCAATGTGTCCCATTTGAGTATTTACCCGCTAATGGTTACTATGCTATAACACAACATTAGCAAACATCTTGCAGAGAACATGCAGCTGGCTCCCAAAGAGGTACGAGTTCTGGTCTACTCCGAGAGACTGCATCTTGGCCTGCTACGCTCCTGAGAACCTCGCTGAGCATGCATTGTACAGATCGATAAGCTGCTTATCAGCCAGACCGGCTTTCTCGCCCAACGCCGACTTGCTCGCGGTGTCCGCCTTAACCATACCGAATCCCTCGCCCTGATCGCCTCAGTCCTACACGAGCTTGTCAGAGATGGCGAGCACACCGTCGCCGATCTCATGTCAATTGGCACCACGCTGCTTGGTCGCCGACATGTCCTGCCTAGCGTTCCACATACCCTCACCGAGATGATGATAGAAGGCACCTTCAGAAATGGAACGTATCTGGTCACGATACACAACCCTATTGCTACCGATGATGGCAACCTCGACAGAGCACTGTATGGCTCCTTCTTGCCTGTACCACCGGTGGACGAGTTCCCATGGCCGCCAGCCGAAGGCCTGGAGGCCTGGAGTGCCGAGCGGATGCCAGGTGCTGTCATTGCAGTCAAGGGCGAGAATGGTCGAATAAAGCTCAATGAAGGCAGGAAGAGGATCAAGGTGAAAGTTACCAGTAAAGGCGATCGCCCAATTCAAGTTGGCAGTCATTACCATTTCATTGAGACAAATCCGTTGCTAGAATTCGACCGCTTGAAGGCAAGAGGTATGAGGTTGGATATCGCAGCCGGCACATCTGTGCGATTCGAGCCTGGAGATTCGCGAACCGTCACATTGGTAGAAATCGCGGGGAATAAAGTCATCAGAGGTGGTAATGACATCGCAGCCGGTGGCATACCCGTGAATGAGGACTCAATCGTCGAGCGTTTGAAAGCAGGCGGCTTCTTGCACGTGGAGGATCCAACGGCTGACCAGGTACTTGACCCATATACCATGGACCGCGAAAGTTATATCGCAATGTTTGGACCTACCACTGGTGACCGGGTGCGACTTGGACCAACTGACCTCTGGATACAAGTTGAACGTGATCTTACGGTGTATGGTGATGAATGCTCCTTTGGCGGCGGTAAGACCATTCGTGATGGCATGGGTCAGGCTTCTGGTCGTGCCGATAAGGACGCCCTGGACACTGTCGTGACGAACGCGCTCATTGTTGACTACACCGGTATCTATAAGGCAGATATTGGTATTAAGGATGGCATCATTGTTGGCGTGGGCAAGGCTGGGAATCCGGACGTTATGGCTGGCGTTGACCCTCGCATGGTCATTGGAAGCACGACAGATGTGATTGCAGGCGAGCACAAAATTGTCACATATGGCGGATTCGACTCTCACATTCATCTGATATGCCCTCAACAAGCGTACGAAGCAATTGCGAGCGGCATTACGACTTTCCTGGGCGGCGGAACTGGACCAAGCACCAGTACGAATGCAACGACTTGCACCCCGAGCACCAATATGATCGAATGGATGCTGCAAGCGTGCGACTCGCTGCCTGTCAATATCGGTATCACTGGCAAAGGAAATGATGCAGACCCAACTGGCTTGCGAGATCAAGCTGAGGCAGGTGTATGTGGTCTCAAACTACACGAAGATTGGGGTACCACACCCAAAGCCATCGACACTTGCCTGTCAGTCTGCGATGAGTACGATATTCAGACCCTCATTCACACCGACACGCTTAATGAGTCCGGCTTCGTGGAGACCACGGTCAAGGCTTTCAAGGGACGAACGATCCATACGTACCATACTGAAGGCGCCGGGGGCGGCCACGCACCTGATATCATTTCCGTTGTTGAGCATCCTAATGTGCTTCCATCTTCCACGAACCCCACGCGACCGTACACGGGCAACACCCTGGATGAGCATCTCGATATGCTCATGGTCTGCCATCACCTTTCCCGAAACATTCCAGAAGACGTTGCTTTCGCCGAGTCTCGCATCCGCGCGGAGACAATCGCAGCAGAAGATGTACTGCACGACCTAGGAGCCATATCTATGATGTCTTCCGACTCCCAGGCGATGGGTCGCTGCGGAGAAGTGATACTGAGAACCTGGAATACGGCGCATAAGAACAAAGTGCAACGTGGTTTCCTACCCGAGGATGAAGGCACTGGCACTGACAACTTTCGGGTCAAGCGATACATCTCGAAATACACCATCAACCCGGCCATCGCGCAAGGAATGTCGCATGTCATCGGCTCCATCGAGGTTGGTAAGCTTGCAGACTTGGTGCTGTGGGATCCTGCATGCTTTGGCGCAAAACCTGCTCAGGTCGTGAAAGGTGGCATGATTGCATGGAGCCAGATGGGAGACCCCAATGCCAGTATCCCTACTGTGGAGCCTGTCATTATGAGACCTCAATTTGGCGCTATGATCGCCAGTACAGGAGTCGTGTTCGTAAGCAAAGCAAGTGTTGACAATGGAAAGGCGAAGCAATATGGTCTCAAGAAGAGGATTGAAGCCGTCAAGAACTGCAGAAATGTCGGCAAAGCAGACATGAAGTGGAATGATGCCATGCCAAAGATGAAAGTTGATCCGGAAAGATATGTAAGTTTGCCCATCCCGTTCAATGGTGATGTTCGAAAAAGCATTGTTTTCCTGACACGGAATCGTAGATGGTCGAGGCAGATGGCATTGAGATGAAGGCCGAGCCAGCGAAGACGCTTCCTTTGACGCAGAGTTATTTCATCTATTAGCGAGAGGAATGGGCAATGCCCGGAGTGACCAAAATGAAGTCGGTTTCCTCTCCGCGATGTCATTGCCCTGAGGATTGATCGTCGCTGGTCTCACATTGTACACACGAAGCGAGGGAGGCTTGAGTTTCCTGCTCTGCCAGTAAAGCCTTCTCGGCTCTTCCCTAGATCTTGCCAAACATCGTGATGCTGCTCTTCTCCTCCATATCCGCTCGCTCGCCAGACACATGGATAAAGGTGAATTTTCGCCTAGTCCTGAGAATGCTCTCGCTGCGGAAACTGGGTGGTGGACTGTAATCTTGGCATAGGATATTCATCCTCCGCCATACCACAACTTGAGATACCCTGCGCCCATACACAGAGCTGTTCGAGTGACGAGGAATCATCGAGCTCCTATAGAGTGAGAGTCTGTGGAAGTGTTGTGCGGCCGCATCGCCCGAAATTCGGCCGCATCGCCCGTGTCAGTCACATGCGTGAATCACACAGCGGTACTGCAGCGTCTGTATATCCCTGGGGCTCACGAGGCTGAGGATGCGGCGGCCACGAGGCCAGACACACCACCACTCCTTTCACAGCTGCTCGGCTTGCAGTGGGAGCTGTCCCCGAAACGTCTCTCAGCTCGACCGGCTCAAGCCCCCGACAAGCAGCTCCTGCGCCTGCGCGGTGGAACGCAGTCAAGAGTACTTATAGCACGCGCCTGACCAAAGTCAATCAGAGTTGGTGCCACCATCAGCTGAGAAAGCCGCAATGCTGAGTGGAAGCGGTTCTCGATCCTGCGAGATGGACTGCTTGACGGGTCTTGGCTTGCATCACTTGGAGTGTATGTCCAGGTGTCAGGGTCCATCACGTGCCTGATGCCTGAGGCTGCAACTGCTGCACTCTATCTTCGGACTTCTACATAGATTAGTCCTTCTTCCAATACATTAGTTACATCAAGTGGTTATGAGCCCCCTGCGGTTCTAACATATATAATACGTTTACTACGTATTCTAATAGTTACTCCGATAGCTGCGTAGCTAGCGCTTATTACTAAAAATTGCGCCGATACTATTATCGTCGCCGCCGCCCTCGAGGGTTCTAGTAGGTGCTAGTCCGACTCGAGTTATTAGTATTAGCTAACTTAAAGTGTATATTTAATAATTTTATTTATAGAAGAAGCGAGAAGTCGCTAAATAGGATGCCGTATATATATACGGACCTAGGTATATACCTTAGGATTTAACTTACCCCCTCGTATATATATAAGGCACGTTAGTAAATACAAAGTCGCTTAAATCAAACAAAGAGGTATTAGTTAATAGCCTAGGCTTCTTACTCTTATAATAGCTATTTAGTTAGTTAATAGCCTAGGCTTCTTGCCCTTATAATAGCTATTTAGTTTAGTTAGCAACCTAGGCTTCTTACTCTTAGATAGTTGTTCGGTTTTAGCAACCTAGGCTTCTTGCCCTTAGATAGTTGTTTAGTTAGTTAGTAGCCTAGGCATCTTGCCCTTAGATAGCTATTTAGTTAGTCCGCCGCACCCCCTATATCTAGTAGGTAGGTATTAATTGCGGTTTAGTTAGTAGCTACGACACCCTCTACTTCTTATAGGTAGGTGCTTAAAGCAGCCGTTTAGTTAGTAGCTACGACACCCCCTGCTTTTTGCAAGTAGGTACTTAAAGCAGCTATTTAGTCGTAGTTTAGTCGTATTAGGTTTAGTCGTATTAGGTTTAGTCGGTTTAGGTTTAGTCGGTTTAGGTTTAGTCGGTTTAGGTTTAGTCGGTTTAGAAGGCCTAGTTCTTGCTAGTTGCTAGCTCTAAACTAGGTCGAGGTTATTCTCTAGTATAGTAATAGCTAAATTAGCGGCCTTAAGATTCTTATACTAGTTAGGCGCTAGTTTAGGGTTCTTCTTAAAGCAGGTTAGACTATGCTTCTTCTTATAGTAATTGTAGTACTACTTGTCGGTGTTCTTGTTGTCGTCCTTCTTAGCTATATTAGCCTAGATTATTAGGTCTAAAGCAAGCTATCTACGGCAATCGTCGCGTAGATTAGTATAGGCCTTATCGAATGTTATATCCTTTAAATTAACAGTCTAGTAGTTAGCAAGTGTGAGTTTGCGAATGCCGCTAGTCGCGATAGTCGTAGTAGTCGAGTCGGAAACGGCTATCTTAGCTATTTAGTTATAGCGCTTAGCTATTTAGTTGTCGGTCTTAGTTAGGTCTTATTCGTACCCCCTGCTTTGCGTAGGAGGGTGTTTAGTTAGTTAGTCTGCGGTAGCAGTCGAGGGCTTATAACTACTTAAAGTGTGTGTTCGATAGTTTTGTCTACGGAAGAAGCGAGAAGTCGCTAAATAGGGTGCCGCGTATATATACGGACCTAGGCACATGCCTTAGGATTCAACTAGCTATCCGCTATATTAGTGTTAGCTGTCCGCTATACTAGAACGTAGGCGCGCCTATCGGCGGCCTCGTTATATTCTTAAGACAAGTCTATAGTCTCTTTCTATATTAACATCGCCGTCGCTGTCCGTAATAGCTCCCCCTACAACTTCTAACGCTTATATAAGTAACATCCCTAAGCTAAAGAATAAGGAGAATTATCTAGTATAGGCCTATACCGCTAAGGGTGCCCTTAAAGGTATACAGGTATAGCGCTATATCTAAGGGACCCGCCTAAAGCCTAAGATTAAGCTATTATCTACTAAAATATAGGAGCAATTTAAAGACCGCTAAGATAAATGGGAGGCAAAGGACTAGTTAGCGCGTACGTAGATATTCGCTAACTATATATCGGAGATCTAGTAGTCGTTACTTAGACTCGATACCTCTAAGGCAGTATAGGATTATCTATATAAGAAGTACACTAGTAAAGGTAGGTCTACTAAATTTATACTCTACTAGGAATACATTACCCTTCGCTACGATAGCAAGGACGTTAAGAAGTTCTATAATAAGTATAAGAAGAAGCTCGGTGCCTTAAAGGACACTAAATTAGCTATTAGCTAGTATTAGGCTATCTATATGTTTATTATATAGATCTCTCTATTCTACGAGGCTTTCGTACAGATACGCCGTAAGCAAATGCGCGCCTTAGAATACACTATTAATAATAGTACCCTTAATAACATTATTAGCGCGTTGCTTAATAAGAATGTAGCTTAACTAAACTAGGCCTAATATAATAGTTTCTTCGGTCTCTAGCGCTAGCAACTATAAGGCAATAGAAATAGCAATAGTCGAGGTAACTCGAACTGTAGCGGTCGTAGTAGCCGCGGAAACAATAACAATAACAACGGTCGAGGCCGCGGTAGAAGCAACTAGAATAGTTATTAGTCTAACCGTAAGAAGTACGCCTATTGTTAGGGGTTACACCCTTCTAACTGCTACTATACTAAGTACTCTTACCTAAAGGAGGAAGACCGACTGCGTCGTAAACAGCAGAAGGCCGAGAAGAAGGGGGTGCAGCAATAGTAGCAGCGTAGACTAACTGCTTAGTAGCAGCCGCTATCTAGTTAGAATAGTACTTAGGGGCTATATGCGGCTAATGCTACCCTAGGGGTGTTATTAGACCTAAGCTACAATTACGCCTTTATAGCTACAGTCACTATAAGCGACCTAGTTTCTACGGCTCTTACTACTAGCACTCGTACTACTAATTGGGTTGTCGACTTAGGTACTAGTATATATATAGTTAATAACCCTTTATTGCTTATTAAATACGAAGGCTGTTACATTCCTGTCCGGTTTAGTAGCAACACGAAGCACGCTACGATAGTTAGTATAGCTTAGACTAAGGTTGTTAATAAGCGTAGTATAAGCAGCATAAAGTTGTCTAATATACTATATATGCTAGGTCTAGTAGCTAACCTCCTGTCTACTAAGAAGCTTGCCGATAAGGGCTGTTTCTATCGGAACGACAAGCGCGTGCTATTTACTATTATTAACGGCTCGGAGGTTACTATTGCTTAGACATACCGAAAGAATAGTCTCCCCTATCTATATATACTAACCTCTAGTCCTAACGGCTAGGTTGTTGCGCTTCTATCGAAGAAGGGGGTGCTAACAGGTACGATAGATAAGTAGCATCTGCGATATAGCTATATTTATTACCGCAAGCTGCTAAGAATAGAGTCTAAGGGTCAGATTGTTATTGCTAGTGCTAAGAAGGACTTCCGTAACTGTATTGCCTATCGTATAGCTATATTACACAAGGAATACAATCGGCTGCTACGCGTGCGACTATCTACGATCTATTATATTGTCTGTATAGATGTGGTTACTATTACTAACCCTAGTCTATTATAGGAACGCTACTTTATGCTATTTATATACGCTAAGTTAGGCTATCGTTACGAGTATGCTAGCCTACTTAAGTTAGGGGCTATAGTAGCTATTAAGGAACATCGTATATACGTCCGTATATAGACTAGTTGCTCGATCCCGATCTACTAACTCGATAGAGGGGGTAAATACGGCGGAAATTAGCTATTAAATTAGGCTCGAGACGAGGGCATTATACTATAGGTTACAGCTCCTTATTCTTCTACTTAGAATAGCCTTGCTAAGGTTAGCAATTATATCGTATATACGACTGCGAGAAAGATAATGCTATAGGCTAACCTTCCTAAGTTCCTATAGCTATATACTATTGCCTCCGCTATATAGGTCCTTAATATTACGCTAACCGCTAACAGAGGAAGCCTATATACTATTGTCGCTAAGGAGCTCAATTGGTTACGAATATAGCCGCGTCTTTAGCATCTTCGAGCGTATAGTTGTACGTTAATTGCCTACGATTACAGTATTGCTCGTAGAAAGAAGATAGACAGCAGAGGCCTAGTTAGCAAGCTAGTTAGCTATACTAAGGGCTCTGTAGACTCTAGAAAGTACATAATCTACCTACCTAATTAACACAAGGTTATCGCTTCTAAGGATATTTAGTTTATTAAGTTAGATAGTAACCTTCTACTTCTAAATAGCATAGATCTATATACTAACCCTAATAACCCTTCTAAAAGCGAGTTTATTAGCATTGAGTCTGTTATACCGGCTCTGTTTAATGCTACAAGTAACGAGCCTCCGCCCCTATTAGAAGCCGCTAGTATAGTCTAGCAACTTCTAGCTTAGTAAGAAGAACAACCTCTAGAAGGGCTAGTATAGGACTTAGCCGACGAGGTTGTTAGTCTATTACTAATCGAGGACGACCTTCTAGACGTTCAACTACTAGCTTCGAGTAATAAAGATAGCTTCTAATTAGCTAAGGAAGATTAAGCTCCGCCCTTTAATCTAAATGCAAAGAAGGGTAAGCCTAGCTAGTTACTAGAGTTTAAGCGACCTAATATAATAGGCGCTCGTTCTACCCGTATAACCCGTAGTAACAAGTTAGCTCGTAACCTATTACGTAGCTATCTAGCTAATTGTAGTTTTAAGCGGTCGACTCGACGTATAATAGCTAATATGCCGATAGCCTATATAAAGGGCTTTATAGCTTCCTACTACATTACTAAACAGCCTAATAAGCCTAAGGACACTATTCCTATTCCGAAGAGCTACAAGGAGGCGACTTAGTCGCTATACTAGCTATAATAGAAGGAGGCCTATAAGGCTAAATACAAGTTACTAATCGATAACTATATATAGGTCTATATATCTCAGTTAGAGGTGCTAGAAGGTCGCAAGGTTGTCCGTAGCCGATAGGTGTTTACTATTAAGCGTAACGCTAATAGCAAGGTAAGCCGGTTTAAGGCTCGATAGGTCGTCCGTAGTTTTATATAGGTTAAAGGACAGGACTATAATAAGACCTATACGGCTGTAGCTAAGCCGTCTACGCTGCGAGCGCTATTTGCACTAATCGCTTATTACGACCTAGAGGCTAAGCAGTACGATATTCTAACGGCCTTCCTTAATGCGCTTATTAGTAATAAGCATAAGATCTACGTCGAATAGCCGTACAGTTTTAAGGACCGTAGTAGAAAGAGCATAGTTTGCCTATTACTAAAGGCACTATATAGTCTAAAGCAGTTACTAATGCTATAGTACGAAGAGCTTCGGAAGTACTTAAAGAGCCTAGACTTCATTCTAATAATATCCGACGTCTGTATGTTTAAGCACGTTGTTAGCGGCTCTATTATTGTTATCTACGTAGATAATATAATTATTATCGCCTATACTCTATTAGTACTAGAGGTAGTAGCTTAGTTGCTAAAGGACCGTTTTAATATACGAGAGCTAGGCGACCTTTACTACTATCTCGGTATGCGTATTATCCGCGACCGTAACAAGCGTACTATCTACGTCGTTTAGGACGCCTACTTAAATAGGCTCTACGAGAAGTATAGTATGCGTAGCCGTATCGGTCTAGCTACTCTAATAGCGCCTCGTTACGTTAAGACATCTATTTAACGCGTACCTAAAGGCTATATAGCTAGTGCCGCCTTTAAGACTTAATATTAGGAGGGTATTAGTAAAGCCCTCTAGCTAGCAATAATTACTCGGCCGGATGCTTACTATACTACCGGCCTATTATTACGATTTATTTCTAACCCGACCGAGGAGCATTATACCGCGCTTCTTTAGCTAATTAAGTACCTAGTTAGCACCCTTAGCCGTAGCATACGCTTCTAAGGCAACCTAAACGAAGACGACCTTAAGTTCGCTAGATACTATAATGCCTTATAGGCCGATAACCTAGTTATACGCTGTTTAATAGGTAGCTTCTACTTTACTATTATAGGCGGACCTCTATTATATAAGTCCGGCCGCTAGACGCTCGTTATACTGTCGTTAATAGAAGCTAAGTATGTCTAACTTACTATAGGGGCTAAGGAAGTAGTTGCCTTAGCTCGTTCTTTAGAGGAAATCGGCTATAAGGGCTATATTCTTCTAGTTACGCTATACGAGGACAATTAGTCTACTATTGCTATTACTAAGTCGACTAGCATTAATAGCCGTACGAAGCATATAGATACTCGAGTCTACTATATCCGAGAGAAGATTGCTAATAGTTCTATTATTGTCTAATAGGTTAGTATATACGATTAGATAGCCGATAGCTTTACTAAGCCGCTTAACAAGATTAAGTACGGCCGCTTTATTAAATAACTAAACCTAGTAGATTGTAAGGCCGCTATTAAGAGCGCTGCAAAGCTAGCTACTAAGTACTAAGAAGGGCCTTATTTAGATAACCTAAGAAGGGCCTTATTTAGATACCCTAAGAGTAGTCTAGTTTGTCTACCTATTTGTTCTGCTTACCTAATACCTCTTGTTTGCTTTACTAACTGAATGGCTATTGTGTTTGCTTCATTCTATGGCGATATGCACGTGCTGAGGGGGTGACTTAGAGTGTATGTCTAGGTGTTAGGGTCCATCACGTGCCTGATGCCTGAGGCTGCAACTGCTGCACTCTATCTTCGGACTTCTACATAGATTAGTCCTTCTTCCAATACATCAGTTACATCAAGTGCATCTGCAGTATCGTGGGACAATCAGGACGAAGGCGGACATCCGTCGCAAGACGAGAAAGAACTTATAAGTAGGAGGATGCTCGTTGCTGAAAGGCAAATTCCCTTCCCTTGTCCCCTGCACGGCAAAAGAAAGACGATCAATATGGGCTACACTTGTGCTCAGGCCTCCTTGGTCGCCTTTTTCAAGTTCATCAACACCTTCATATCATGGCACAAGCTGCCGCCTCTCATTGGAGCCCTGAATCTCCTGGCTCTTCGAGATGAGCTGCGCGAGAAGAACTTGGTCGACACATATCCCTCGGAGCAGTTCCAGGGTCCTGCACAGAGCGATGTGTTGACCGACACCAAATTTATCTGTGCCCGCAACTCCGATGGGCTTTACAATGATCTGGACAAGCCCAAGATGGGCTGCAGAGGAATGCGATTCGGTCGCAACGTCCCGCGAAAGTTCACTGAAAAGCCAAGCGATTTCGACCTGATGCACCCAGATCCACGACTCATCAGTCAGAAGCTGCTCCAGAGGACAGAGTTCCAAGGCGCCTACATTGTCAATCTCCTCGCCGCTGCCTGGATTCAGTTTCAGGTGCACGACTGGGCACAGCATACGAATAGCAAAACCAAATTCCACGAGATCAAGCTCAAGTCGGATGACCCATGGCCGGACCACCCAATGAAAGTCGCCAAGACGGTACAGGATGAGGTACTGGATGATCAGGATCGCAAGTATCCCGCTTACGCCAATGAGAACACTCACTGGTAAGTTAAACATCAACAGAATATGTAATGGCACAGAACCGCAGCTGATCCTTGATTCAGGTGGGACGCTTCGCAAATCTACGGGTCCACTGAAGCAGAGACACGGCTTCTTCGCAGCAAACATGACGATGGCACCATGGACGTTGATCGATTCCAAGGCGAACAATTCTTGCCACGAGGCGTTGATAACATTCCCTTGACAGGCTTTAACCATAATTGGTGGCTCGGTCTGGAGCTACTACACACTCTCTTCGCCTTGGAACACAATGCGATCTGTAGCATGCTCAAGACCAAGAATCCGAGCTGGACTGGAGATGAACTTTTTGATGTAGCTCGACTGATCAATTGTGCCCTGATGGCGAAAATCCACACCATTGAATGGACTCCAGCAATTTTGCCACATCCGACCTTGGGCATTGGCATGAATGCCAACTGGAGTGGTCTTCTTGGGCCAAAATGGGAAGAGCACATTGCGACTGCGACATATCCGATGATTTCAGCTAATGAAATTGCAGGCAACAACTCCTCTCCTTCTTCGGTCAGAGCGAAGCTTTCACCGGCATTCCAGAATCTGGCACAGACCAAGGCAAAGCACCGTACTGCCTGACCGAAGAATTCGTATCAGTCTACCGCCTCCACTCTCTCCTTCCCGACGACGTTGCATTCTTCAATCTCAAGACCGGCACCCACACCCAAACCGTCCCGATCGAACAGGTCTCCTTCGAACACGCCCGCTCCCAATTCGATCCTCAAGACAAGTCCAAGCAGCTTGGCTTCACCGACGCCTTCTACTCTTTCGGAATCAATTATCCAGGCGCCATTCGCATCAACAACATGCCCAAATTCCTTCGCGACCTCAAGAAGCCCGACGGAGAACACCTCGACATGGGAGCCGTCGATGTCCTTCGAGACCGTGAGCGAGGCGTGCCCCGGTACTGCCAGTTCCGCCGTCTCTTCCACATGTCAGCACCCAAGAATTTCGAAGCTTTGACGGGAGGTGACAAGAAGCTCGCAGTCGAACTCTCACAAATCTACGAAGGCGACGTCGAAAAGGTCGATCTCCTCATCGGTTGTCTCTGCGAGCCTTTGCCCCAAGGATTTGGCTTCTCCGAGACTCAATTCCGAGTGTTCATCTTGATGGCAAGTCGGAGATTGAAGAGCGATCGTTTCATCGCAAGCGATTTCAAACAAGAGATGTATACTCGCGAGGGCATTGAATGGGTCCAGAGCAATACCATGAGAGACGTCCTCATCAGGCACTTTCCGGATCTGCGAGGTCCCTTGCGAGATGTCAAGAATGCTTTCGCGCCTTGGGGCAAGGTTGGCAAGAGTGGTGAGCATTTTGGCAAGGAGGTCTCTACGAGAGATGAGCTGGAGAAGGCTGGATTGCTGAGCTTACTCAAGTGAGCCATTGCGTGGTCATATATGCGTGGCTCGATTTGCATCCCCCATTCATCTACCGTACTGATGTATTCGAAGGCTTGCTAGGCGGGGGCACTCTGCTCATCATTCTGCTCGAATCATCTCTTCAGCCTTTCCATACACCACGTTCCGAATGTCGCGGCCTGTTCCCAGCCTCACCCCGCACAACATCATCCAGTCTCGAAACCTGCTCCTGCCTGGTGAGGCTTACTATGCTCCACCCAGGTGAAGTCGGCAAAAGCATTGTAATCTGCATGCCTGCAGTCCGTACGACCAATAGGATCAATATCAATTACAAAATTCTGTGCATGGCCGAATAGAGATGGTCCAGGGAGTCGCTCGTCGCCGAACATGTAGAGTGAGCTCAGCCTCCTGCTCCTCATGCCAAGACCTCGTAAATCCACCTCGGACAATACGCATGCTGCACCTTGAACCGAAAATCAGCGCGTGTGATCTCGTGAGGTGTGATAGATGCTCACCTTCCACGTCATGCACAAAGAAATCCTGGCTTTAGGAAGAAGTCATTGCGACGAGTTTGGACGACCAAATCGCGCATCCAAGCGCTGCATTGAAGAGCATCTACCTCTGGTATCATGCGCTATGAAACATTCATGTAAACGATGAACATGGGCCTAACTCTGCAGGCCGCCAACAATAATCATCAAAACAAACAACAGCAGTTTCCCCGCTTTCCGAGTGTCTGGTATCCAGACCTTCATGCTCTTATGCACAATACCGCGATGGGAGACAAATACGCGACACCAAGAGGATCCAAGTCATGACTAGGTTTCAAGAGATAAGAGGCCGACCTCTATCTCGAAGTCGAGCAATCGGGACAGTAGCCGAACAATCTATCCCCACCCGGCATCTGGTACGGCAAGGGGATCTGTTCGGTGGCGTCCTCGATGTTGATCTCATTGCATGGCAGCTTCAACATGTTCATGCGTTCGGCCCATTGACGTCGCGAGCGAGGAGCCAGAGGTTGGAGCGGAGAGCCGTCATTGTCCTCGGACCCATTGATCATGCGGGGGCCAACACCTGCAGTCGCTTTGCCTTTGCCCTTGTGGAAATGGAGCTTGGCATTGCTGCTGTTTGGGTCGCGTTCAGCATTCGGTCCATGACCGATGAACTTGATTTCCTTTCCATCGCCGCCAGACCAGCCGTAGACGTTGCGATGATGTCCTGCAGAGCCGATAGTCCAGTGAGCACCAGAGCCAGGTGTGTTGTTGATGGGAGTATGTGGGGACATCGCGGCAGGCACAGCAGCTCTTCCGAAGTTGACAGGCGTCTCGTGACCGCTGACATCTCTCATGGTCCAATGAACGGCCTGTGTATGAGGATCGATGTGAGGCTTCAATACTTGTCCGGCCTGAGGACTTCCGTGGAAGACGTCCGAAACCTGTGATGGCATCGGCGCCAGGTGCTGTGCACTCCAGACGCGATGTGAATCGTCAGATGGCTTCGAGAAACTGCCAAAATGGTTCATCGATGGGACACTCATGCTGGAAGAACGAGCTGCCTTGTACTCGCGAAGCGTGCAGATACTTCTCCTCACTTGCGGCGACAACATCGCCCAGTCCTCAGCGGAATAGTACTTGTCTATGTCGATTTCGTTCATAACTTGCGTAGCTGGTGTTGCTTCTGTCTCTGGCTCCGCCATGGGTGCTGGAAATTGAAACACAGGACGAAACTCCTTTGCAGTGGCGCGCAGTGAAGGTACTTGCGTAGTGTCGTTTTCCTTGCCATTTGCCGAGCTTGTAACAGATGCCAGAGCGTTGCTTACAGCTTCGTACGCCGCATTTTGTGCTTTGCGACGGGCTTCATCCTTCATGGCAGCGCGAACGTGTGGCGGTAGGCATTTCATAGCTGGCACCGGCGCATTTGCATGGTCTGCGGTGGACGGCTCCGGGGTGATCTGTCTCTGCGGAGTCTCTGGGACATTACTTTGAATGACAGTCGGTGGGTTGTTTGACAGTCTGTCTAATGGCCCCATAACCTGCTTGACACGAGGCTGTGCATCTGCCATCTGGGCCGATCGCGGCGGCAATACCATCTTCTCGCATACGCTGTGCATAGTCTGAGTAAGAGGACTGAATTCGGAAGATCGCGATGTCTTGCGAGACGTGTACCGAGGTTCAGGATTATCCTTCAGGACACTAACCTTGTCCAGCTTTGCTTTGATCGGTAGCAGAAGGTGGCCATGAGATCCTCTTCGCTGTGCGGTTGTGTTTGCTGGAATTGGTAGGCCAAAGAGCTTTGCTTGCTCTGCCAGCTGCTCGACAACGGGTGACCCGACCGAAGAGCCGACAGTGAGACGACGCGAGAATGAGCGGTGGTCATCATTTCTTGCCGGCAGTCCCTGTGGCAGAGTTGAAGCCCGGTATCTCCCAAAATCTGCCTGCAATTCCGTCTGGATGACTGTGTCTGGAGATCCGATTTCGAAAACCGTGGGATCAGACGCAGCAGGACTATTAGGCCTCGACACCGCTGTGTTGATACGCGGCAGAGCTTTCTGTAAGCGAGGTGACACTCTTTTGGAGCTCTCGACGCCGATCGTAGCAATCGCGCGCTGGGTGGCGGCTTTGGTCGGGGACATGTAGGAGCTTATCTTCTTTCGCAGTGTAGGCTGCATCGAGAAATCCATGGGAGCAAGCTCAGCGGTCTTTTCCGCATCGTTGGTGCGCCCGGGAAGAGGTATCTTGTCGGACGTCAATGATTTATTGGGCGACATAGGTTCTGCATCCGTATCTGGACTGGTGATCCAAGCGCCGGGGATGGCCTTCCGCTTGGGCGAGCGTTGGCTCAGTGTGCGCGGAGACGATGCCTTACCGTCAGGTGATGGTCGATCAAGTCTGGTCACAGAGTCTTTACGTTGAAGTGTCTCGTCAGCTCGTCGAGCGAAAGCCTTGGTAGGTTGGGCAAAACGTGGAGATGACCTGGTTGTCGATTGCTTCTCTTGTGGAGAGAAAGTGAGCAGCTCTGGACTTGTCTCCGGGCTCCTGGACGACGAGATCATGACGATGCTGTCATCGCTGTCATAGGCTATGCCAGCAGACGAATGCAGAACATCTGGACCACCACGAACCGCCATTTTAGCGTAGGTCTTTTTCTGATCCCGACCGCAAGAAGGACCGGTTTGTCGCAAGCTGCCCAGCTCCGGGAAGTCGCTAGCTTTGGGAGGTGATGCCGGCAGATCGAGGATGGACGCGGTTGCGTTGCTCAAGGCTTCCTGTTGCTTGGAATGCTGCTCTTCGAGCCGCGCAGCAGCAGAGTCCTTGGTTCGAAGAGCAGGTGCTGGAATTTTGGTGCGCAGTACATGTGACGCTGGTTTGTCTGCAGAAGTCCAGCCTCTGGTATCATGCAAGCGCTGCTGCTCAACCCGGGTTTCTTCTCGAAGCTTGGATAGCTCGTCTTTCAGCGAGTCGACTTCTGCCTCGAGTGCTTCGAAAGTCTCTCCATCGTAGGCAGACTGATCGTGTGTCATGCGACGACTGAGGCGGCTAGTGGGTGGACGGTTGTGCTGATGGTTGGTGGCAAAGTGGTCAACATCGAAATCACCGCGGCAGGTGTTGGTAATATGCCTCAGGGCATCAGCGCTTTGCATGGTTCGTGTCAGCATTGGAAGGTCGTCTCGAGATCAAGGGTTGCCGGCACTCACCCATTCACGAAATGGCCGCTTTCATCCGTCTGCTGTCGGCTGCCTTCCCCACGTGTCTGAGATGAAGCGCAGGGCTCGTGGTGCTGACAGGACGGTGTTAGCGAGATGTCTTGGCAAGCGCAAAGATGTCAACGAACCAATTCCGCGGCGCTGCTCTGATGATATCCTGCTGCTGTGGTAGTATGAAGTGCTGTTGTGGCTTTCGAGGCCGGACCTGGCATCAGCCTGCTTCCGAAGCCTTGGCTCAAGCTGAATGGCGCGAGGCCTGCCATGCCGTCTACTGATGAAGTATCTGTATGCCGACGAGACTGCTGCGGCGAAGTCAAAGAGGCTGTATCTGAAGCCACGTCCGGGAAAGATGCTAAGCTGGTGGGGATTGTTGAGGCAGAAGCGGGCGAGGATGGATGGTTGGAGGGAGGCGATGACGATTCCGACGACACTGGAGAGAGCGCTACCCGGGCCATTCGAGCCTCGACGCTGCTGTCGCGTTCACCGTCTGCGCCTCCCTCGCGATGCTGTTGTCGCGCGGCGTCGGCAGGTGGATGTTGTTCGCGACGGTGCGCTGCCGTCGCCGTCGCCGTCGCCGTCAAGGATGTCGCGTTGTCGCAGAAGTTGACGAGAATGGTCTGCTGATGTCGACAGCCGGCGTAGTAATAATATCGATAGTGGCACATGGCTACAGTCGCCGCGACATTTGCCTCGGCTTCGGCGGGCGATATGTCCAATGTGATATGTTGCAGACGGGGAAGGCGTGGCGTGGCGTGGCGTGGCGGCCGTCGAGGATCGCGGTGCAGCTGCGGGTGGTGGTGGTGGTGGTGGTGGTGGGGCTGATCTAAGCAGAGCAGAGCAGGTGGCAGCACGCGTCGCCGTTGCAGTTCGAGCGCTGTTTGAAGCAAGAGCAAGAGCAAGCGCGTCCTCAAGGGAAGCCGCGGGGCTGGTCTTTCACGCGCGCTGCATTTCGCCATCTGACTGGTCTTGTCTGGAACGTCATCGCAGCATCCGACTACAACTGCTGCAGCATTCTGCCGTGCAAATCCCCCATCTCGCCAACCATGTCCCTCCCTCTCCCCGAGTCACAACATCACCCACCAGCACACTGCCACTTCTTCGCCGCATCTACTATGAACTCGTCCGACGCAGAAACGCCAGTAGCGTCACTCATGTCAGTGAACACCCGAAATGATGCCTTCCATCAGAACCTCCTCTTCTTCTTCGCCGGAGCCTTCGACTCGTCCTCCATCTGCCTTCTCAAGTCATCTCTCTTTCTGTTGGCTCTCTCTGCTGAGCTCTCTCGTGAAGCCTGTTCCGTTCGTTCCTCTTTGACGCGCGCTCGTGATTGCCTGCCTTCCATCTCCTGTGCCACAGCCGAAGGCGATGGAGCTACTTCGCTCTCAGCTTTGCCTCCTCCAAATGTACCCAGCTTGCCTTTCCTGGGAGATGTCGTAGACTGACCGTGCTCATTGTCGCCCTCAAGGACTGGGCATGCCTTTCGCTTGAATTTGCCGCCAAAAGCACCGAGTTTGGGTCTGACAGTCTTTGCTGGCGCCTCTCGAGCTTCAGTCTCAGGATCCGCGTCTTGTGGCGGAGGCGAGGTCGATTTTTCCTTAGCCCCGAAAGTCCCCAACTTGCCCTTCCGTTTTTGAGCCGACACTTCTACCGGCTCTGTAGCTGCCGCAGGTGATGTGGGTGGTGTGGCACGATGACTTCTGGATTTAGACTTGCCTTTGAGAGCCCCGTGTGAGATACTAGACCGGGTGGGTGCTGCAGGCTCATTGGCGTCATCATCTGTCTCTGCTTCGGGCTCGGGCTCGGGCTCTGGTGTCTTTGCTTTCTTGCCACAAATCGTGCCAAGCTTCTGCTTTGGAGGTGGCCTCGCTGAAGCAGATACCGCTTGTGATCTATGTGATAGGGTTTGACTGGATTGGAGCGCCAACTGAGATGCTGTGTTGATTCCTGATGACCTCCGGCTAGGTGCGTCCAGGTCGTCTTCGTCTTCGTCTTCGTCTTCAGTGGACAGATCTGCATTGTTCATCGCAGATGTCTCAGTCCCATTTGTCCCTGCCTCGAGCTGAGTCTCATCTTGCGCAAAAGCTCCTTCGCGTTGTCTGGAATGCTTTGGAGGCGTAGCTTGACGTTGGAAATCACCATCATCGTTATCGTCACCACCGCTGTGCATGCTGGCATCAGGAGGAGCATTGGTACTGGCTTTCGGCATGCCCTGACGATTTGCTGTGGCGCCGTCCGTCGCTGCACTCGCCTTCGTATGAGCCTTGCCATTAACTTCTGTGCGATCTCCATTCCTATACCATGCGCCTGAATTGGATCTGTGCTCACTACTCGGCCTTGGCTGTGGCAATTCAGCAAGGATCCTGTCGATATCGTCGACTGAAAGATCTGTGTCGGCACCACTCTTGACGCTTTGATCTCTCCACGCTTTCTCGTCAAAGTCAGCAAGACCTCTGATGTGACTGGCGAGCTGCGACCTTTGCGATGTCTTTCGGTGGGTCTTGACGTTGGAAAGTCCAGGGAAGACCTGCGTGAGATCGTTACCAGTTGTCTCCAACTTATCAGTAATCTTGGCAATGACACGATCTTTGTGACCTAACTCTTCGACGAGCTGCTGCATTTGCAATCTGAGATGACTAGTATACAGCAAGAATGGCGTCAACAAATATGACTCGATGACAGTGCTGCCAGGCTCGTTCCAGGGATGCAACTCTATGCGCCACTTGAAAGTAGGTAAGGACCCAGGTAGTGGTGCCGAAACGTCCAAAGTGATCCAGTCCTGAGCATCTCCAGGTACCAGACTCAATGTGGTCCGCTTTTGGCCAGTCAAAGCACTTTCAACTTTGCTCAAGAACTGATCATACTGCTCGCTATCCTCACCAGGATCTATGCTACAGCTCTGATCTCTAGCCTGGCGAACCAACTCGGCCTTTGACATCTGCATGCCCCAGATCCTGTTCAGGTCTGTGAGCTCGATCGCTGCATGCCGGCCGTCCAATCGAGCTTTGAGCCATAGCGGTGGATAGCTCTTTGGCAGCATCAGCGCCTTCCATGGCCGGTCAACGACCATTGTTGAGACTGATCGTCGATGTCGACAAGAGCAACAAGAGACGACGCGCGAGGTTGAGAACGTGTTGTTGTGGTAGGCAGCAACCTTGAATGCGGCTCAACCCGGGATGCCTGAGGTTGGAAGCGCGGAATCCTTCCTGCCGAGTTCAGATGCTTCATTCTCGATGTTCGCGACCATCATTGTTTGCCTTCTCGCAAAGCACCTATTCATGCCTACACATTGACCATTTCAAGACCAGTTCCCGGATCGCCAACCGCGCACAACGTATCACCAGTCTCGACGCCGTCCTGCGGGCCTCACACCGCGAAATGTCACGCTCTACGATTCCCTGCAAGCGCTCCGCGGATGCTCAAGAAGCAGCATGGGTCGCAGATGAAGACAGATTTGTGCTACAGCAGGCAAAAAAGAAGGCAGCGATCCGGGTCAAAGGCGGACGAGCGCAGCCGGTAGATTGGCTGGCTGTCACCTTGGCAGTCATTGATCCGGAACGCAATCCACTGGACGGTGAGATTGATGCGGACGATCTTGATCTTGTGGCCCCAGAGACTGTTTTTGAGGGCCTCGATGACGCGCAGTTGGCTGAGCTTGGGAAGGCCATCGACACATACATCACTCTGGAGTCAAGCAAGAGCAATCACGAATACTGGAATGTATGTTTGTGCACGCATTGATGGATGCTATTCGCCCACTGATGCTGACAGATCGCTAGATGATGAAAACAATCTGCAACGACCGAAGAAAAACATCATCAGATGGGCAAAATGCAGCGCGGGCTGTCTCGTCAGTCGCGGCTGATTTAGACAAACTTTTAGGTCCCAAAACACTGGAAGAACTAGAGAAACTGGAGAAGCAAATCCGCGCGAAGCTTGCATCAAATGAGCCAATTGATACCGACTACTGGGACCATCTGCTCAAGAGTTTGCTCACCTACAAGGCAAGGGCGAAGCTGCGCAAAGTCTCTGAATCCATTCTGGATGCACGCTCTGGAGCTTTGCGCAAGCAGCAAGCAGCGGAAGCCATAGCCCTCAAATCTCGTCTCGAAGCACGGCTTCAAAATCAGTCCAATACATTTAGTGGAGAATCATTGCAGAATCCCGCTGGTGCCAGCAACTTGGAGAGACATCCGTTAGACCCAGAGCCGCTTCTTCGTTTGCGCAGCGAGGACAAGTCACTTCCGTCTATGACCAGCGGAGAATTTGCGCAAAGCATCACCGAGGATAGACGTAAAATTCTGAAGGCAGGCTTTGTGCCCCATCGGAAGAGAGCCGGCGAGAATGGGTCAGAGCCTGTTGCCAAGCGATCTCGGACAGATGGTGGCGACTCCACTCAATCTGCCTTTGACCGCGAAGTCGCACGTGGTCTTGGAGAGAACGAGGAGTTGTTCATTCAGGAGGAAGAAGTCGTCACGAAGAATAGAGCAGAGTGGGACCAGCAATATCGACCACGTAAGCCCAAGTGCTTCAATCGAGTTTCGTTGGGCTATGAGTGGAACAAGTACAACCAGACACATTACGATCACGACAACCCGCCGCCCAAAGTGGTTCAAGGTTACAAGTTCAACATCTTCTATCCTGACCTCGTGGATAAGACAAAGGCACCCACATACCGAATCGAGCGAGAGAATGGAAGAAAACGTGGTCAGACTTTTGCACCTGCTGGCGAGGACGACACTTGCTTGATTCGCTTTGTTGCCGGAGCACCTTATGAAGACATCGCATTCCGTATCGTCGACAAGGAGTGGGACTACAGCGCCAAACGCGGGAGAGGCTTCAAAAGCAGCTTCGACAAGGTACGTGCTTTGGTCCCTTTCCAATGCTCCAGACGAAGGCCGCAGCTCCAGAAGTGTTCCTATCTTATGCATACGCACAACATCGTGTGACACTGCGGCGATGCTGAAACTGACGTTTCATCCAGGGCATTCTCCAACTTCACTTCCAATTTAAGAAGGTAAGGGGCTCGGCGAGTCTGACAGAGGCGTACCACTGACCACGTGATGGCAGATCTACTACAGGAAATGAGCATCTCAGCCACTGCGACGACTGCTGAGCTACCATCGAGTTGGTTCTGAACGACTGCGGTCTGGAACACCTGCAGACCCGTACGACTGGATTGCGAAGCTGTCATTCGCTCTTTGGAGCCGACGAGCAGTTGCGCAACCTGTCAATTGGAGGCTTGGTGGCCTATGAAATGAGAATGAACATTACACTTGTTGTACTCTCACTGCCCGTCCATTCGTTCCTGGCATTCACGTTCAATGGCTGCGCGCGAGTCAGGCCACAGCAGCTGTCAAAACATGCTGTGGCGCCGCAAAGCCAGCACTGTGCATCCTTGACCGCACATCAGGGCTGGGATCAACAATGAATAGCGCACATCTGAGACACTTTGCTCGCACACCAGAGATCTTGCAAGCAGGGATCAGAACCAGACGCCAGCGGGAGGAGGCATAGTCCCGAACGGGATCCGACAGAAAGTGTGGCGCGAAAGGCAGAACGTCTTGCCCACCGCTGACCACCAGACCGAACGAAGTACCATTACGGATTACAGCCGCCAGTGACCGGGCCTCAACCGCAAGAGGGGCTCTGCACCTTCGCTCTCATCGACCAGCTCAGGCCACGCAATCGTTGAGCAAACGCCAAATATTCTGCTGTCCCTGCCAAGCATCGAGGGAGCATGACAAAAAGCTTCATGATGAAGCAGCTCCGTCCCTGGGCTGCCCGTGTCCGAGCGAACGTCTTTCCGGAGATCTTTGGATCTTGACCATTTCGACTGTCGCTTCTCGGGCCTGACATCCAGCGCCGCGCAGGCCCTGCACCACCAGTAGCAGATGATGCACCCTAGGTAATATGCACGCAGCCGTGGACGCTAAGGTGCTTGCGGGTGTTTCCCGTGCGTCTCAACCAACCATGTCCGCTTGTTGCTCCTCTCTTGCACTTCTCCTGTACGACCACAGCTCATACCCTCACCAACGAGATGCTGTGTGCGTGAGTGCTGCCGTCCCAGCATCGGCAGACGCTGAGGCTTGTACCCGCATGCCGCATGGGCAGGGTGTCCTGGTACAGTGCGCATAGTCTGACAAAGACACCACTGCCCGCTGTCAAGGCACATCGTCAGTCGGTGTTTGCGCGCAGTAGAGAGGCATAGGCTCGCAGGCCAGGCCACAATGGCAACTCATCGGCAAGAGAGCTGAGTAGCCGAGAATAAGCCCATGCGAGTTGGCGTGCGTTGGCGCCAGCGTGCTCAAGCAAAGGGTGCATCCGTGACAATGCCTCTTTGGCCCACGCGCAAGATGCGACAAGGGCATTTTCCAAATATCTGCAGCATCGTAGGCACGTTCATTTCCTTTTGCACTTGACTCCTCATTCTGCTTTCGTAAGAGGGTAGTCATCTCAGAGCGTCGCAGCGACCGCGTCGAACTTGTTAAGGGTCACAGATGCCTACTTTTGAAGCATAGCCTCCCACGTCCCGTACCACACCGCTACTACACCACCTCTTCTAGCTTGCAACTGATCGCCGCCCGAGCTCCTACACCACCGACTTGGGAGCTGTTCCTTACATACTTCCGCCACCTGTCCCGCCCGCCCGGCCTAAGCATACCACGAGCACCACCCGCATGGCCATGGAAGTCCACGCGACCACACTTCCCTTGAGGGATAATGAATCTATGACAGCGGCGTCTGGTGACGTTGGTGTAACAGAGTCACACGCCCAGCCCAGGCAGTCCCTTTCCTGTGACCATGAATGGAGGGAGTTCTTACAGTCGCTTGGGCAAGACAATCAATCAACAACAACCATGAACTCGAACATGGATCTCACATACTTCGGTTACGACGACAACGCTCCCGCTAACTTCGGAGCTATGGAAGACGTCCCGCAACCAGATCCCCTTTCAGCAACATCCACGAATAGCTCCACTTCTTCAGTCAGCGAACCGAATGCCGCTCCGCAACCATTCCAACCAGCGTGGCCTATTGTGCCTGAGCACCAAACGATGTTCAACTGTGGGCCGATCGCTTATCAGCATCCGCCGTGGGTACCCGATCAGCAATTCGAGCCGCCAGCCAACCCCTTCGGATTTCAGAACGGCGATGGTCTCGGTATTCACATGCCACCCACTTCGAACCCCGTCGATTTACCGATTCAAATGCCCTACCAGAATGGCTTTATGGACCATCATTCTCCTCGAGAGGCACACGATGAATTTGGTGATCCGAGCTTCAATCGTGGCTGGCCACGGCATCATGACATGCCTGCCGACGATTTGTTCTTCGATGAGGGTGAAGATGGTGGAGAGTCTGCTGACCCATGCTATGCGCAGCTATTGTACAAGTGTCTGAAGGAGGCTCCGAACTATACACTGTCGCTCCGCGAGCTGTATGAATGGGTTGCGCATCACAGCCACAAGGCGAAGGATCCTAAGAATCGCGGCTGGCAGAACAGCGTCAGACACAACCTCTCGATGAATGCTGTAAGGCTGTTCCCTCCGACCTTCTGCTACGGCGCTGACATTCCTAGGCTTTCATTCGCGTGCAGCCTGCGCCGGGCTCTGGGCAAAAGAAGGGCAGCCTTTGGCGATTGACTGACGAAGCTCTGCGTGAGGGTGTCATATCGACTACCCGCTACCGCAAAGACCCAAAGCGTCGACCAGAACGCCGCGCTGTTCCCGCGCTGAATCGTCAAGTGTCGGGCGCCAAGGGCGGTCGAGCAACCAGAGATGCCAGCCGCTTGCGACAACAAGCAGCGCAGCAGCAGCGCTTCCATGGTCCTTTACATCATCATCGCTCCCGTCGCTCCGATCGTCACAGACATGGACCGGCATATAGTCCATACGGCGTCCGCTCCGCACCGCACTCACCTGTCGGCCAACCACACTTCATTCCACCCATGTCAACACCTCAACCACCATCCCACCCACCTAGCCCATACTTCAACATCGTGGAAGACAACCAGATCCCCTTCGGCGACGAACTCACACCCACAGGCTTCGCATTACCAGGCCAGCAACCCCCTCCCCTCCCACAGAACTCGATCTATCCTTTCGACGACTCCAATACGAAACCCTCTTCCGTCACAAGTTTCGAAATGTTACCTTTGGATCTTACTCAAACACAACTTTTCGGCGATCACGATCCCGAATTAGGTTTTGATCCTAACACACCTACACCAAGCCTCATGACTGAGGAAAGCTTCATGGCTGAGGAGAATGTTCCGCAGCTCATGTCTTGTGGTACGAGTAGAGAGACTACGACATTTTGATCATACTACCAAAAGAAAATGCCGCACGGCGCAAAGCTCTTGGCGGGGGAGGAAATGTACTGGATTGGAATGGAATGGAGTTTGCTTGATCTGTTTTGCTTTTTGCTTGGATGATGACGACGATTGCAACTGTTTGTCAGGGAAGTATGCGAAGAGCATCTGAAGCATGAGTGTTTGTACATTAGAGAGCATGAATTGAGAGCAATCAGAATCAAACACAAACTCATCGTCATCGTCTCTTTCTTCGTCTATGTACAATATGTAATCTTCTCTCGCTTCTATGTGCATTGCATGTCTTCTAAGAAACCATCAGTGAAGTAAGACGACCTCTCACATCTCGGACGTACCTCATCCATTTGCTTGTCATGACTTTAGTCCCAACAGCGGCGAAGAATGTCCCCCTCTAGTACGCAGGGTCACCCAGCGCCGTGACGCTACCGTAGCAAGTACCATTATCACAATGACCGCTGGGCGTCAGCCAGCCCCAAAGTGCAATATCTTTCCCATTTGCGAAGACCTGTGTCACGTTGCCACTGACCGTGCCCAAGCATACGTTCGCAACGGTGTCGCATTTGATGTTAAATGGCAGAGGAGCCTTTCCAGCCAATTGAATTCCGCCATAAGCATGACCGTTCTGGACCCAGCCTGCGACCGAAGCCCTGCCAGCTGTGATTCATTAGACATGGACGAGAGTTTTTTTATCATCCGGAAAATTTTTTTTTTTTGTGTTGATGCTTACTTACCAAAGCTGCTTCCGTCAGTCAAAAGATTCTCGATTTGTCCGCTGACGGTGACGTTGCATTTGCTGAATTGGCTGTTGCATTGGGATTCGAGGAGGGCGGGGACACTGCCAACCAATGCTCCCACGGTGCCTGAGACGGTATTGGTGACGGGTGCAAGAGCACCGGTGACGCCGCCGAGGAGTCCATCTGGTGAAGGCACCGGTGTGGCCAAGGCAGTGAGGGCGAGAGCCATGAAGGCGATGAGTCCCACTGTCGAAGGCATCTTGATTGACGGATGGAAAAGTGGCTGGAGCAAGACTTGCGAAAGGTCTTCTTGAAATGGAGTAACCAAGTGCCCTGTTCATTGAATGTCGGTGTGGTTGCACACTATTATATCCTGCTTCTGGTTGTTCGATGCCACCACGAGTCTGGAGCATTCCAAATTCAAACGAAGCCACGATGTTCGGCGCTCAAGGCCTTCGTTCCGCGCATCGACTTGGCAGAACTCCTTTCCGAGTCTCGAAGTCGTCGATGACAGTCGAAATCACTGATGACAAGCAAAGGCGGCACGCCCATTATCGATACTCTGGATCGGTGGACAATGTGAGGGGGGTTTTGGCTGACAGCTGAGTCGGATCTGTGCAAATGAAGACGCGAGATGTATCGTGAAGCGAATGTGTGGCTAGAACAGTGTCGGAGGATTTGTGTCAGAGAAGTACCGAGCGTGATGACTTTTCGGGCGGTAATATAGAAGCGCATTGAGAGTCATACAACCATGCCCACGTGGCTGGCATGTAAGGCTGACTCGCAGCTAGATTTGATCGCAAGATCCGGGTCTCAGACTTCCGGGCCTGGACCGGAGTCGTGCCGCTGGATAGCCTTGTGTGAGCTTTTGAGCCTGGATTTAATGTGCGAGCGTACATCGGAGATCCGCAAGTTCTGGACGTTTGATTGAGAGACTGCATTCTGTCATACCGCATCCTCTAGCCCATCATTGCCATCATCACAGTGACCAAACTGTTGGCCAAGTGTTTCCTGTCCGACTCTATCTCTGAAGCATGCAGAATGTTCTGTAGCATAATCACGTAAAGCTGACCAGTCGCGGCACATATGTACTTGACCATCACCAGATTTGTGCTTCCCCTGAGTGTAGAGGGGAGTAATGTCTGCGTGACACATTATGAACTACAATAAAGCATTAGCTGAGAAAATGATTTAAGCAAAGCGAGTCACGGAAGAAGCCTGACCTGCCTAAAGTAGTCGAAGCAGTGGCGTGCATGCTGCACTGGCCAACTCAATGGCTTGCCCTCAAGACTTTCGAGGAATACTCGTCGCACGATTTTCAAGCAATGAAGCTGATGGTAGGACTCCAGGAGGTATAGTCCTTTGTCGGAATCATCCGGGAGAGACATGGACGCGGGCCAATGATTATTTTTGGCGAAAGCATGGTCCACTGCGATGTGTCCGTGAGCTGTATTGATCGCATCCCAAAGAAAGTCCCCTTCTGTGTCGTTCATCGAACTGTAAGGAGTGTTCCAGTGGAATATGACCGGCTTGCGAGGCAGATCTGGAACAAGCGCTTGGAGGGACATTAGTGAGAAGTCGTGTGATTTGCCAATGGCGCATACCAATGTTTTGCGGTTTATACTCATTCTTACTGTCTGGTGAAGAGCTGTCCAGGTGCGGCTTGAACGGCTGCCACAGGATTCCTGCAAGAAGGATGGTGTTGACGAGAACCAGGACTGTGATGGCAATACCCTTCCAGTCCAAGCTTCGGCTTCGAGCACTTGCGCAGGACTTTTCCGAGTTCTCGGCGTCAACAAGCAAAAGATTTCGCTCCTCATCGGACTGCGAGCCCTCCATTGCAGTGTTGGAGCTGTATCAGCTTGCAAAATCTGAGATTGTTTCCGGAAAGGTGTCAGGGGCTTCGGTGAGGGCGCGCAGAAATCTCTCAACGCTTCTCCGTCCAGTCGACATGAGTAGACCACACACATGGGAGCTGGTATCGCTTGATGGTGGCCACGGCCAGATCTAGATCGACGCACGCGGCACATGTTCCTATTGTATTCCTGACATGGTTGTTGCCACGATGCTTCGCTTACGTTCGGTTTCGTTGAGTCATGATGGTCATGCATAGCATGCATAGATCGAAACATCAGTACCACAGTTTTGTGCCAAGCTTCAGTTTCGGGCTTGGGGATGACTTCGTCTACTTCGAGATATTCTCATGATCGTGTTGATAGACTGGCGCATCTCTTCAGCAGTGGCCGTACTGGCAGCATTGATACATTGTCGAGTGTGTTGATGGAAGAAGAGATGAAGTCGAACAAAGCCGGTGAAGAGCCAGAGACTAGCACAGACCACTTCTAAATCGAGCGAGGGCGTTCTCTCTTTGGGACTAGCTCGAAAGCATCTGACACGCTTAGTGCGTCCATCGTCTTGCTTGTCTATAAAACACGTCTCCTAATATGTGGTTGTAATAATGCCTCAGCACAACCGATCTAAGCTTGAACACGAGCGCTGTCTGCATTGCAGCCTTCCCGTCCCCACTATGGCCGCCCCGACGGGCCTCAAGCCTCAAGCCTCTCGCCTCAGCCAGCGGGACATGATATCTGACGGAGACACGCCAACCTGACGTCGGCAACTTCATGACATGGACGGCTCATCAACGGCTCTCGATGCAGATATCATTGCACGATCTGGCTGTTCTGCGGCACGCTTCAGTTCTGGACAGCGCGATCGTCCACCCACAAAGGACCCATTCTTCGCATTGACTTCCAAAGCTCAGACGCCATGCTCGAGACTTTGAAGTGCCACGTGAAGTCCCTGCAACGACTCGATGGTGAGTATACATAGCAAGATGAATGCTTGTATCTTCGTGCCATCGCAGTCAACCTTCTCCCCTCTCATTCCGGCAGGCAGACATGTATTTCATCAACCCGGACAGCGTAATTACGCTCACAGTTCTTTTGACGGTCCTCGCAACATGTGCTGTCGCAGTACGGCTGTCACAAGTCAAAGGGTTGGACCAGAGATTTCAGGGAAAGACCGTCCTTCAGGGCTTTCATCTCGAGGACATTTTTTGTGTTCTCGCTCTGGTGAGTGATCCTTGAAAGGCCAAGAGCGTGGTAAAGCTGACAGGGACGGTACAGATCTTTCTCTTTCCATCATCTGTGATCATCATCTGGGGTATGTCTTTCACTCCATTCATGCCTGTTCCAATACTCAACACGATATAGGCGCTGCCAAAGGCTCAGTGGGCGGCCATTCCAGTCCAGATGATGTTCAGACATGGATCATGTCTGTCACGCCGGAGTGGGTAACATTGGCAAAGGTAGCTCTTCCCGCCTGTATAGAGAGCGCAGCAAGCTTACTTTATACAGGTCGTATGGGTCACGCTTTGGCTGCAGCCGATCATCATAGGATGTGCCAAGCTCGCCGTCCTCTTCCTATGCCGACGCATCTTCTCCTTCTCCAAGAGCTTCATGTATACGAGTCTTGCTGCGGTTGTCGTCGTGGTTGCATTCATGATCACGTTCACCTTCGGTCTCTTCTTTGATTGCGGGAGTGACATCGCGGCAAACTGGGGTTCCCTCTCCGAAATCGCTCAGAAATGTCCTTTCGGATTCATGCCGACGATTATCTACACGATCCTGGATGCTTGCCTGGACCTCTTCGTGCTCTTGCTTCCAATTCCATGGGTAGGATCATCTGACTTATTCTCACCGACGCACTGCTTATGCTTCGATAGGTCTTTCAACTGAAGATGCCTTTGGTCAAAAAGCTCTCGATCTGCGCTTGCTTCATGCTTGGAGCCATAGCGACTTCTGCTGCCTTCATTCGCATGGCCATCTTCATACAGACAGGCATTCCCTCAGGTAAGTAAGGTTGTTCGAAGTCGTCTGGAGATCAAGCTAAGATCAGTACAGCTGCACTCAACAAGGACTTCATCATGGGCGTTCCAACGTATGACATCCTAGGCATCGTCAGCGCAGAAATGTTCTGGACCATGGTAGAGACAACAATAGCAATCATCGCAGTCTGTCTTCCAGCGATCCGAAAAGTTGCCTCGTTCACCGCTTTCGGCAAGTGGTGGCGACTCACCAGCGTCGGCCGCTACTATCACAGCAGAAGGTCTCGCAATCGCAGCCTGGCCACTCCTGATCCTGAGCTCGGTATCAAGGGGACAGTTACATCCATGGATGTGCCATTCAAGCTGGAAATGGTTACCACGAGAGAAATGGGACACATGCCAGAGTGAACACCTGCGAGAAGTGTGGGAGCGAGAAAAGGAGTATCAGCTGAAGTTTATGGTTACCAATCGTGCAAATCTCTGGAAATGATGAATCTTGGTTGAATGAGATCTTATCGATGTATAGCTAGGACGAGTGTATGACTTTTCGATTGTAAGATGAACGGAACGACAACGGTGTGCACATGAACAGTTTGATACATTTCCAAGAACCTGTACAGTCTTTTACAGTATATGCTACACTACTGCTTCTTCTTCAGTTCTGTCGTTGCCTGGGTACTGTTGAGCCCTTCAATGCCCTTGAGCAAGACGCCTGCGATGCCAAATCCAAGCACAACCAGATCTAGAATATGGACAGCCCACCAGATATGCTGAACACCAAACATGCAAGAGTCGTAATCGAATTTCCATTCTTTTGTCTCCTTGTCCCACCAAGCACTCAGCAGGCCAGCGTTGCCGCCAAAATCGCCCATCATGCTCCGGACTGTGACCTCGCGTATGCCGGTCAGCGTACTGTCCAGGACCTGTTGCTGAGCTCGCGCATATGTTTTGGCGTCCCATCTGTCCTGGTAGGAAGAAGCGTCCTCGCTTTGCAAAGCTTCGAGGTCAAGTTCTTTCTTCTTGGAGTGGTAGACATCGCATCCAGCGTGATCGTGGCCGTTGAGTATGATACCCTTTCGTGATCGCTCCAGTCCGATGATCCCGTCCAGAATGCGCTGCGAAACGTCCTCGCTGAGGTGATTTTGCTCCTTGATGCCGCCGCCGTGGTGCTCAGGAAGGTAATCCACAAACGGTGCATCACGGCAGGTGCCGGCCTCTTTGTGGAGTGGAATATGTGTCAGCAGAATGGTAGCAGAGTCTGGCGATGGCAGGTCGTGGTAGAGCTTGTGGTTCAAGAAGTCGATACTTTCTTGATGCGGATCCCAAGCTGCCACTGGACCATCCAGATTCATGGAGTTCAACACGATCAGTCGCAGTTCCGGGGTGGTCGGCTGCAATGTAGCAGGATCAATGGTAGTGGTGTTGTTGAGGGCAAATCGAATATCCCAGTTGACGCGATTGTACATATGCTCAAATCTCGCAATGCGATGCTCATCGATGTCGCCAGCATATCCGATATCATGGTTCCCTGGAACTGTGATAACCATATCTTTCCACCTCGGATCAGCGCCCAAAATGTCAGGCCTGCTGGTGCTTGCATCCGTTATGAGCTGGGGCACTTTTTTCGCGCCTCGAAACACCACATGCCAGAACCTGTACGATCTGCGCATGAATTCTTCGTCGCTGATCCATTGACTGCCAAGCAAGTCTCCCAGTACAGCGACATGTGTGGGCTTGGTATACCAGTGAATGGTGCGGTAGACATGTGCCAGATACAGGTCGTTGCCCCACAGGTCCAGCCTTTTGTGGTAGGTCCTGAAGGCCCCCGGGATATCGTCGTTCCACAGCCTCTTGGCCTCGTCACCCAGACTGGTTGTGAGCGAAGCGAGTGCATCTCTTTCGACCCTGCTCCACAGTCTCCTCAGACTGGGAAACAGCTCGGCATGTCCATGCTCGGGCAGACTCGTATCGCCTTCAAGTTGAGGATCTCCAAAGACCAACAGTCGAAATGGCGCAAGTTCTCCGGGCACTGCGGCCTTCGCATGGTCAGCGTCGGCGAAGTAGCATGCTGCCTCGGCGTGTCGAGCTTCGGGAAAGCTGCATTGGTGGAAGAATGGATAGAAGTAGATGTACAGCGTGGCGAGGATCGCGGGAGGCAAGAACGACCTGGACAAGGCAAGGAAAAGGTGGGAGGTCCGCATGGAGAGGCAGAGGCACAGAATGGAGAACGCCAGCCAAAGCAAGTTGGGCACTCAGAAATCCTGACCACCAAAATCGCCGAGCTGACCACCGAATTGACCAATCGGATGAAGCCGTGGTAGTCCGTGCGCAGGTTAGTGCGCGCGCTCGGCTTAAACAAGCTCGACTTTCCGAAAGCAACCCTCATTCCTTTCCCCTACTATAGCAGCTTCTACTAGCGTTAGTCTATTTAGAATCTAATCTTAACCTATTCTAACTCGATTTACTAATCTATTTAAACTCGATTCTACTATAGCCCTATCTTAGAAGCTTATTAATAATAAGGACTACCTCGTATATATCGATACGGTAGGCAAGAATATAAAACTATTAGTAAGTCCTTTTATTATTCTATTGCTATTTATTTCTAATTGCTTTTAGGGCTTCGAGGTATTTAAGTTAGTCGTAGACGAAAACAGCTTCTTAGATAACAACTAAATTCTAGTATTAGGCGAGGTAATCTATCGCGTTACCGCTAGTAAGGATAACGACATATGTTTAGTAAGTTTTTTCTAATCTAAATGCATTAGTAATAGTATCTAATTAGTTTTAGTATAAGCTATTCTAAGACTCCTCTGCCCTAATCGCTTATATACGTACAAATACCGACAAAGGCGGATATAGGCTTATATTTAAGAAGAGAAAAGGTTAAGGTAGATAGGAGGCGAAGAAATAAGCTAAGAGTATATAATACTAATCGGAATAGTTTCGGAAACGTTTAAACATAGGCTAATTCTATTTAGAATAGTATCGTAAGGTAGCTGTCGCTACTAATAACGCCTATATTAACGAGACTAAGAAGGCGGTAAGTACGCTAAAGCCGAAGACGCTAAAGAAGGCTGCTAATACTACCCTAAAGAAGGCAGACAGGATCGGTATATTATTAGTTTTAGAATAGTTTAAGAAAAAGTACTAATAGTTTCTTATTCGTTTTAGAAAAGCCTGCTACCCTACGTAGTATACGCTCGTCTAAGAAGAGCAAGGCTAAGGCTAAGTTCGCGGCTAACCTCGAGGACATTATTTCGGGTAAGGAGACCTTATAAGTAGGGTTTTTTTTAGTATAGTTAGCGTAGCGTTAGGGTTAGGAGATACTCTTCTAATACTAATAAGAAAGCAATAAGTACTGTTAAACCATTCTTAAACTAATAAGAATCTAATAATAGTGCTCGGGCTTTCTTAATAATTTCAGATTTAAATGATTTTTTACTAACTTTTCTTAGAGGCAGTAAGGCTAAAGGATCTCGGTCGGTAAAGGCAATAGGTTAAAATACTAAGTCTTTAAATGCCTCTATTTCTATACTTAATTTAGTACTAATAAATTATAGGTCTAATCGAGATAAAACGGCTATATCTTCGAAAAATCCGAAACCTCGAGAAAGAACTCTATTAATAAGTACTAACGATAGCGACGCTAATAAGGACAACGACGAAACGGAATAGGTAGGACTAAGTCCTATAGCGGTACGGCCTAAGAGTCCTATCGCTATCTAGAAATCGAGTCCGATAAAAAGGTTTGTAATTAGAATGCGAATCTATTTAACCTACGACGGTAGAAATACGCCTAAAAAAAATTAACCTTGCTTATAGGACTACTCCGGACGATAAGGATAAAACTAAAGAGTCGCGACGGCAGTAAGTAATAATCTTCGTTTTATCCTATCTATCGTCGACTTCCTATTAATATTTCTAGTATTTCTAAATCGCATAAATTAGCGCCGATAGTAATTTCTTCGGGTAAGTCGGAGAGCTCGGTCTATAACCTAGAGGAAGAAAATCCCCTTAGGGACCTCGAAAAGCTCGCGGTATCCGCTTCTAAATAGAATACTATAAATGCCCCGTCGGCGCCTTCTCGTAATCTAAAACTAATAATATCCGTTTCGGATTCTAATATTAAGCGAGAGCCTAGTACTAAACCCCCCCCGGCTTAGCCCTCGAAAACACCTACGCCCGAGCCTTCGATTAATCCGCCTATTACGCCTACGCTACTAGTCTAGCTAGCCCCTCCGACTAAGCTAGTACTAGCTTAGTAGCCCTTATATCCTCGATAGGGGTTTCCCGATCTATAGCCTCTCGCTTATAGTTCTATTCGAGTGCCTAGATATAAGCGAGGAAACGCGGTAAGTCTACTCTTATTTAGATCTTAAACGATTGCTAGTCTATTCTTATTCTATTTAGATTAATTTCGGGAGCGCTATCGGTCTTCTACGTTAGTAAGGATAGCTCGATCGTTGTCCGACCTATTTACGAAATAGATAGACCTAAGACCTCTTCTGTAGCTATAAATACCGAGTATTGTTCTAAGATCTCGCGGACGAGAGCTTAAGGGCTCTTAGAGCGGTAACGAAGGAATAATAATAGGATAGGAATAGGATAGGAATAGAATAGGAATAGGATAAGAATAGAATGCGAATAGAATAGTAGAGGAGTTCCTTAGCGGATTAAGAATTTCGTAGAAGGGAATACTAGTATAGAGGTAGTTATAATTATTTTTATATTATAGTCTAAATCCTTTCTTATACTAATCTCAATTCAATTATAAACCTTTCTCCCTTATCTATTCCTTTAGTACTATTTCCTCGCGAAGGAGATTAAGCATCTCTCGTTTCGCCTTATTCTACTATTCTAGAAGCTTAACGTCAATCGGCGGTATATCGTCGCTAGTTACCGGTACACTCGGTAGTAACGGCGTACTAGTTGCTTTACGTAAGGCTAGACTTTCCTTCGCTTATAACGATAGCGCCGAACGACGCCGCTTTAGTATCTAAGTACTACTCGGTTCTTCGGCGACGATTGTATCCTTATTAAATTCTCGTTACGTTCTCTTTTCTATCGCATCCCGTTTACGATAGCGGCTCTCTAGATACGGAAGTTAATACTATTCCGATACTATTCTAATAAGGATTACTTTACTATATCGCTGTTTACTCTTCGTTACTAGCGAGTATACGGAGTAAGCCCGGGCCCGCTATATTAAACGAACGCTATAGGACTTAATGTTTTTTATAGACGTTAGAGTCTTTCGATCTAAGATAGCAGCGCTATTTCAATATTATTGCTTTGCGAAACTAATTAAAAAGCCTTTAGAAAGCTTTAATATACGCATTAATCGTAGGTAGAATTTCCCGATGCTTTCTAGTATAGTACCCCTATTTCCCGGCTAACTCGATTGCATTAGTATAGTATCTAATTGTCCGCTAAGTTGCCTTAGGAATATTCGAGAAGGCGGATACTAGGCTATAGCGGATATAGCGATAGAGCTTATACCTAGCCTACCTTACTACTTTCTCGTTTAAATAACCTAGTAATAGGATTTATTTAGGATTCTAATCTAAAAGCTTTCTTACTTACCTGCTAAAGCTTTAACTTCCTTTATATAAGCCTCTTTTAATTTCAATCTACGGATACTATCTATCCGAGCGAAAAGGATCGATCGATCGTATAGGCTCTCGTTCTAAATAGCCTTATTAATGTTCCTCTGCTAATAGATTACGCAATAGAGGATAATATATTCGAGTTGCACCCTCTAATCGCGGTTTTAATAGTCAATTTCTTAAAGATAAAGTCCTAAGCCTATAAGAAGCGTTTATTATTACAATATTATCGCAATAAGATTAAGATAAGAATGCTTTCTTATACCTTTAGCCTACTTTAAGTTTAGGTCGGTTACGACCGCTCGAATTCCTTTACCGTAGATATAGTAAAAGGTTACTACGGTTCTAGTAACCTTACGCATCCTTCCGAAGACTCGCGTAAAGAAGTTCTAGTATATTAACTCGGATTCTCTACGGACGTAGGCTCGGGCGAAGATAAGGACTAAGAATAGATTTAGAATAGAATAACATTAGTATACTATCGGAATGCGAATTACTTACGAATAGTTCTCTCTTTATCCTATCGTCCGAGAATTACTTCGTTTATATTCTTTTCCTTAATGCGTTAGAACGATATATCGACCTCGAAGGTATCGAAGGAAAGGAATAGAGACGCCTACTCTACGAAGAATGTAATAGTTATATACTCTTGTTCTGTCTACTATACACCCTAAATATATTGCTAAATAGAATATTAGTAGACTCGGAATACATTAAGAAAGGAATATAAATCGAATAGGAATCGACTTTCTTACCGTTTCGGGGTTCTTCCGCTCGATATTATGCTTAAATTAGACTCTATTTATCGTCGTTCCGTTTAGGTAATAAATAAGCTTTTGTCGTCGGATTTCCCGTCTAATATTATTAGTATTCTCTAGACTAAGATGAATTTCGCTAAGGGCGTAAACCCCTTTATCTCGGAGGTACTACTATAGGGCGAACGTTTAAAGGAAGACAGCTTATCCCGTTCTAATTAGTTTCTTAACCGTTTAGTATACGATTCTTATTTGCTTAATATATATAGTGTTATCGTTGCTAATAGCGTTTAAGTAATAAGTCTCGAGATTTCATCCTTATAGGATTAAAGCGGTCGTATAGGCGGCGGCGGTAGATAATAATACTAAAAAAAGGATACGAAGATAACGTAAGGATATACCGCAAAGTTAATAGGAACGATCTTCCTTATTTTAACTAGACAACTAATCTTCTTAAGGAAACCTAGTCTAGAGGGGAGGTAATTGTAACCTAATTGCGATATTAATTTATTAGCAATCTAATAAGAATCTATTTATACTTACGGTATATCCTCCGTAGGCTCGTCCCTTATACGATCTCTATATACTATCGCTTTGTAATTAGAATCCTAGACTAATTGTTTACTCCTATAACTAGGCTCTATATCTATTTATAATCGACATTCTCCGCTAGCTTAATCGCGCGGAAGCGATAATCGTATTTGTTAAGGCTAGAAGAGTCGTAGTTCGTATAGCAGATAAATCCTTCGCCTAGTATTATCCTTTTAAGCTATTTCGTTTAGCATTAGTATACGAAATAAATCGGAGTCTATTTACATCGCAATAATATTAGATTAACATTAGTATAGGATTTATTACTTATACGTAGATTAAAGAATCCAAACTTTATCTTACAAGAGTCGTACCTAAAGGCCTTATAGAATATCCTATTTTCGAACTCTTTTCGGAGCGACTAGTAGAGCCTATCGCTATTATTCGCCTAGGAAACTATTAACATTAGAATTACATACCTCGACGCGTTCTTTCTCGCTAAATTAGGATTATCCTCGTTAAACCTTTCGAGATTCAATCTCTTTCTTATCTTCTACTATTCTTCCGAGACCTTATAGTAATCTATAGATGCTAGGTTCTCGTATAACTACTAGTACTACTTAATACCTAAGCAGTCGTACGACGTCTTAGTATACGGTATGTTACCTAAGCAACTAGATACTATTAGAATAGCCCCCTTCGTTCCTACTAAGGGAACGCTATATTGTATCTACCTCTCTATTAGCTATCCTTACTAATCGTTTCTTAATCGTTTCTTAAAGCGATTAGATCGGAATAATATCGGATTGAGAATCTACTTACGTCTAGCTCCGGCTTATTACTAGTCGTAGAGTAGTCGATTACGTATACGTATCTATCTTTATAGGTCTTCGGATATTACGGTATCGCGGTTACGTATTCGATAAAACGAGCCCTAATAGCGTCGCGGTTCGAGGTAATAATAATCCTATCCTATTACAAATAAGTTCTTATTCGTTTAATATTGCAATAGGAATGCCCTTATATATCTTATAACGTCCTTAACGTCGTCGTCGATATATAGTACCGCTAATCGGCTTTTATAGTACTCCTCGTCGTACTCCTTAAATTCTAGCCTTTAGTAGTCCTTCTCGTAGGCATTATCGTCGTTAAATCTAAGCTAAGCAGTCGTAGGGGGGCTATCCCCTTCGGTAAGATCGACCTTAAATTGCTTTTAGTATCCGAAATAGATATAATCGGAATATAATCGGAATAGTATTAGAATAATATACGATTTGTAATAGAATAGGCCTTTCCCGCGGTAGGTTCTCCGAGGATAGCGGCGTTAGTATCTAGTTCTTAGTATAGGTCGGTAGAATATTTAATATCTTTACTATTCCGTAGTTTTCTTATTCGTATTTATATTCGTAGTAAATAGTATAGGAAAGTAATAGGGAAAGGTATACCTTTCCCCGCATATTAGTATATTATACCTTTTAGCTTAACCTCGGCTAACCCCCTATTATTTTAGAGTTCCTAACTACTGCGGTAGTTAGCTCGGCGATTTTAGTAGTTAGACCGGCGCTGCGCTTAAGTTGGCGTTTAGGAGCGTAAGCCGCGGTCGGTCACGTGACCAGCCACGTGATACTGGCACATAGGTACCATATAGGCCACAGCCGTTTAGATATATAAGCATCCTCTTCCTAATCTTCGACCTACGTTCGTAATCCGTCATTTTCTCGCTCTCTCGGAGATATCCTCACAACTCTCCAAAACATCAGAAACGACCACCATTTCGGCGTTTCCAGTCTTGTCCTGATCCATCTGACTCCGCGACGACCATCTATGCAACTCGGGTTGCACAATCTCATCGACGCAGACCAGATCAAATCTTGCTACGCGACCATTTCTAGACTTAATATTAAGACTTCTAGTATAATTACCAAATAATAAAAAAATAATTAGTCGAAAGACAGCTTGCATATCACTGCTTGCCACTTTCTATCATAGTAAAGCTGCCGCCATCGGCTTGCCATAACAAATCCTAGTCATGGCTACCACGCTGCCGACTGATCTACAAAGCTCCATTGACTTTGTCAACTATGCCAGCCGCAAGCTCACCTACATCGCCCTCATCAGCGGAAGGGAGAATCGCGTCGTCCGTCCATTAGAACCGAAGATGGTGGACAACTATCATCACTTAGACTTGCTCTTGACCTGGCTTGACCAGGCCAACATGACGCCGGAACTCAAGCAGCGTGCAAGAGTCCCTCGCGTCCTCGAAGTGGTCTTCTCCGACCCTAAGTTCCAATTCCCTCCCGAGTACAAGACCAGAGCGGAAGCACTCTACGACAAGTTCAACGCCGAGAACTGGGGTGCTCCAATTCCTCTTGTGACTGAAGACTCCGATCCAGACTCAGTCGCAGATGTTCCTGATTCGACTCGAGAGGGAGAAGCCACGACCAAGAGACGAAAGTCGACAGTCGTGGCCAAAGGAGCCTACACCATCCTCCAACCCGCAGAGAACCATCCCGTTTGGGGTCTCAACGGCATCATGCACGGCATCACCCTCCGCAAATACCGCGACACAGGCAAATACACAAAAGTCCTAAACCCTCAGTACCTGCACGAGAAACGCAATGCCAAAGTCTACGGCCACAATGGCCTCGAGGTTGGCAGCTGGTTTCCAGAACGTCTCGCCGCAATCTTCGCCGGAGCACACGGAGCCAGAATCGCGGGAATCTCGGGCATCGCAGAGACTGGTGCCTGCTCCATCGTCATCAGCGGCATGTACGAAGACCTAGACCAAGACGAAGGCGACATCGTGTACTACTCTGGTTCCGGTAGCCACGAAAACAAAGATAAAGACCGATCGGCTGAGACGACCCGGGATACGAATAAATTACACACCTCGATTTTTACAAGACGGCCGGTGAGGGTGTTGAGAACTAGTAAGGCTCGGGGTGAGTACGCACCCATTGAGGGTGTGAGGTATGATGGACTTTATGAAATTGTGGGATTTGATGAGCCTATCAATAGGAATGGTGGGAAGTACGAACGCTTTAAACTGGTGAGGAGAGCTGGGCAGAAATCTTTGAAGGAGTGTAAGAAGAGACCGACGTGGCAGGAGTTGAAAGATTTTAACCAGATCAACTTCGGGTTTGGGGGTTATCGATTGATTCGTTGAAGATCCGAGCGATTTAGACTAACAAGTTAGTAGAATTTAAGGTAGTATTAAGAGTAGCAATAGCCAGACTGATAAGCTCGGAATCGCTGAGGAACTCAAGGGAAGTTGGTTTTGGGATATGATTGCAAAACAGAATGGGAAAAAAAATCACGATGCTTTAGCATTAGCAAGATCTCGTTACCTGTTATAACATTCGCACAATCTCCCCCATACAAACCCCTTCGTCATGACCAACACCATATCTCCCTGTAGTATCTTCGCAATCCATCATTCCTTCGTCATATCACGAAACTACTCGTGTTTGTTGTGATGTGTCTACCATCGCCTTCTCCCATGTCCTCCGCCTCCCATCATACCGCCTCCTCCCATGCGTCGGGGTGGTGGACATGAGCGTCTACCATATCCATATCCTCCTACTAAGGTTGGTCTTCCGTATCGTGGCGCTGGAGCGACTATGATTGTTTGGCGACGGCGGCGTGGGAGACACATTTTGTTGATTGGTGTGAAACCGGGTCGTTGTAGTGATGATAATGATGATGATGATGATGTTGTTGTTGTTGCTTTGCTGCTTTGATTTGTTCAGGTCTTTTTGAGCTTGATGCTTCTTGCACTGTGGAAGTTGGAAGTCGCTGCGTGAATGATTATGCGAACGTCTATCGATTGAGCTCTTTATATCTTCATCCAAGGTTTCTACCAGCCATGTCATAGCCAATGTTCAATGTCTTGATCGAAGTCGTGGCAGTGCTGAGCATATGTCATACCAGGTCTTGTGCTCGTGGTGCTTGTAGCGCAATCCTTGCTTACGATTCGACGAAAGTGGTATTCATCTGCAGGGTCGACAAGAATTTCTTGGAGCATGTGCCAACATTCTGCTCCGACACCAACGAAGCCGTCGTGGCGTATGTCAACTCCGCGGCCACTTATGCTAGGCAGAGGTATATAGTAGTGATATTACAATTGGTAGTACGTCACTGCAGCACTTGTGCCTGGCACTTGAGACAGGTCGTTATAATCGACATGCTAAGCCGGTATGTATTCTTAGCCTTTACACCAAGACATTGTACGCGACAGTGACGCAGCTTGGCCCTGCAGCCCTACGGAGCTGCACATAATGCACATTCGAACGTCGCAGTCGTCGATTTCGACTGTACAAGACTGTATAGTCCTATTCTGTGCCGTCTGCTATTGCGGAGCTGACGCTAAACAAAGGAGAAAATTCGCAATTCTCCAGAATGATACTCTAGATAGCGTATGATGAACGAACGCTGGCCTCTCAAAGGCTTTGTTCGACTCCCGAACCATGACCACCGACTCTGACAAAGGAACACCAATCCGCTTCCGGTGAGATTTCTTTGTCCGGACGCCCGCGTATGCAGCCCTCGACGTGCAAGTAATTTATGCCGGGATCGTTTTAAGCAGTTGCAAATTCAAGTTGGAGACCTTCCATCAGCCCCGAACAGCCATGGCAACTGCCAACGATCTACAAGGAATTTTTATCGGCTTTGGCCTCCAGATCGATAATGGAGGTGCGTATAAATTGCTCGCCACAAGTGCTGTAGAGTTTCTGACGATTACATTTCAGCGGACGCTCAAGGGGAACTACAGCGTGAATCGCTCACACTTAACGCGGGAGATCTCCAGGGCCTTGCAGAACGATGTGTTCGGAGCGACGATATTGCAGAGCGAATCACCGCGCTCAAAGAATCGGTCTATGATCGTCGAGAAATTCGCGATTCACTAAGCGAAGAAGAGAAATCCACGCTGGACAACGACGAACTCCGTCTGCAAAATCTCTTACGGGAAGAGGTAGCAGAGCTTCAAGAGCTGCATAATTCGGTGATATTGCTGATATCTACCTTGCCAAGATTTGTCGCGGCCGTCCAGAATCGATTGAACAAGGCTCGGAGTAACATCGCTTCTAGCCCGAGTAGAGATGCCTCAGACGCACGTCAAGAGCCGCCTAAAGAACAACCTACGGGAAAGAAAGTAAGAGGTCTCTATCCTGCACATATCTACGATCCAGCCTTGGCAGAATACGGAGCATTGCAAGTACCCTCTTCGGGTACGCAGGTGTTTCCTCCACAAGATTATCCTGCTGACTGGCTCCCGGTCCTGCGCATCAACCATGGCGGAATGGGAAGGGTGACGATATTTGCTCGGTTTGATAACCACAACACCCTGATCGAAAGGATAGTTCGGAAGGATACTTATGCTCGAGATTTGGCGTCTTTTCAATTCTGGGAGCAATGGTATGGTCCACCAGGAGATCTTGTTCCTATCGAGTTCTGGATCCATAAGCTGGTCTTTTCGAAAAGCCGTAAGATAATTGATTTGGCTAACCTGAACCCCATGGTGGACAGCATCCGACTGTATTATCGGATGTATCTTGCCTATGCTGCGCACGGCGATCTATGCGACACCATATCGAGATACTGGGATCGGGGAAACGAGACGGGAGATTATTGGCCTCCGAAGGGGTTTGTTCTATATGTGTTCAAGGCGCTGGTTGAAGCTGCCTTGGTACTTCGCGAGGGCGACGGTGTCAGAGAGGTGGTGCATCGCGACTTGAAGCCAGACAACATCTTGTTGGACCTGCCAGATGATGCATCATTCCCCAACTATCCAGAGCCGTAGGTCGATTCTGCAATGATTGCATTCGTCTGCTGACAGATCATTTCTTAGGAAGGTGACAGACTTTGGCCTCGCTATCTTGACCAAAGAAGACGATCGATGGAATCCTTCTGTCTTCCACGGAGGGGGAACTGCGGGCTACCGGCCTCCAGAAATGTTGTCGTTCGTAGATAGTGAGACAGGAGAGCCCTGTGATGATTGGAAGATACTGTCCGCGTGCAATGTGAGTAGATTCAAGCCGATCAATAGTGTAAAGCTGAGCACATGACAGGTTTGGGGTATTGGGGCCGTGTTGTACTGCTTGATGCAGTGTACCACATTAACTAAGGAAGAACAGCCATCGTATCTGCCAGGCAAGGTCACTGAGTATAAGATCGACCACGAATACTTCCGCTCGAAATATGGCGCTGGCCTTGTTGATCTGGTGAACCGATGCATGAAATATAATCCCCAGGACCGTCCGCCGTTGCAAGACCTTGAAGCAGCAGTCGCTCAACTTATCGCCGAAGACCTCGAAGCCGCTCAAGCTAATGGAGGGGTGCAGGATCCAGCCGACACAATTTTGATGACGGCGGACGCGTACCGTATTGGAATGACGGCGGCGCAGGTTTTGCCGCAGCCAGAAGAGGTCGCAGAGGGGATAAGTCTACTATAGACTTTCCTGCAGAGGCGGCAGCATAGGCAGCAGCAGCTACTTCCGCGGACGCAGGCGCATCTCAGAAAGCGGCCAAAGGTTGTAGCGATCATAGTCGAAGCTCTTCATATTCATCATCTTGAGGGAAGCCAAGATGAAATCTCCCACATTTTGCCCACTCAAGACTTGCTCCGTCTCCAGTTTCGAAATCCACTACTCGGCCACCATTCTTCTTGTCTTCGCTCAGGAACATGCACTGCAATCTTTCGCCGCTGATCGCTTTCTGCCATTCTGGGACTGCGTAGCCAAAGATTGTCCCCGACACATCCCAATAGGTCTGCTGTTGTGTGTTGATGTATTTGAATGGCCCTTTGAGCCTAAAGGGCATTGGGGTGTTCTTGCCTCTTTCAAAAACCTCTTTCAGCTTCTTGCTGGTCGTACTCGGTGGAGGCTTGACTCGTTGCGTTGGCTGAAATATGGTGACCATTACGAATGGTAGCTGCTCGTCTTTGTCCGCCTTTTCCACATCGCCATCCTTGTCTATGCTGTATGCCACGCCGTCAACTTGAATCAGATCGCTCTCTTCGTCTTCAAATACTCCGATGCCATGATTGCCATGATTCGTGAGGAAGGCTACAGGTGGACCTCCATCCTTGAGTCCCGCATTGTACGCGGACTGTAAGGAGAACTGGAAGATGTCGTTCGGTATCGACTTGACGGACATATCGGGCCAGCAGGTATGCAGGATACGGCTGGGGGATCGGTTTTGTATACTTGAAAGGCGGTGTGGCAGGAAGACGCTCAGGGGTGCGGATGTATTGTTAGGAGGAGAGAATTCGAGTTCGAGACAGCTTGTAAAAGCGATGATCGTTCACGTATATGCCCAACCCGCACTTGCCTCCGCAAGAGTATTGACACGTGCATTGCAGGTGCTGTGTACCTAGTGTGTGTTGTCCGATTGGGAGTGTGGCGGAGCCGGTGGGAGCTTTTCCGACGTCGCATAGGGAGGCCCATACGTACAGGGCGATCAAGCGAGATGGCGGACGGCGGTTATCCCTGCTAGCGCGGCGCTAGTTAACTTCGGTTATAGCCGCAACGTGCTAGCAGCTTCTTAGCCGTTCCTGCTACTTCCTACTATTTCTACGATTTAACTACCTAAGTACCGTTTTCTACCTATATAGTAGTTACTAGTAGCGCCTCGCTTATTACTAAACTAGCTACTAATCTAACAAACTAACTAACTAAATCTAACACTATAGCTAGATATAGCTTAGATAACTAAATAATCTATACTAATACTAGAATGTAGACGCTAACTATTCGTCGAATTCTAGAAGAACTAGTTATACTACTTCGCTTACGTAACCGCGGCATCCGCGTACTCGGTATACTAGTCTAAAAACGACTAGCTAAGGCCTATATAACTAGTTGCAATTAAAGAAGGAAGAAATAGTATAAGGTAGTATATAAGCTTAGTAGTATTTATAAGTCGCTCTATATCCTAATTAAGCGAGATAGTAGAAGGGAGTAATCCCTAGAAACGGGATCTAACTAATTAAAGCTAGCGTACTACCTAAAGGAATTATCCGTACTTTTAAAAAGTTTATATCTAACGTTTTTAAGCTAGCTACTATTTATAGGGATTACCCCTATCCGCTATCTTACTTAATTAGAGTATACGTTATTAATCGCTTAATAACGTAGAAGGGGCTTAGCTACTTCCGATCCCTATATATTCTAGAAACGTCTACTATAATCCGGAAGAAGCGAGTTATATAGTATTACCGATTCCTTAAGACTAATTAGCTAAGAACGATTTATACTAATAAGGTCGGTCTTTAGCTTATTTTTCCGAAAACGTAGGTTTTGCGGCTAGCTAATAATATCGTCGATCGAAGCTATTCTAATATAATCGAGCTATAGAAGCCGAAAGCCGAGACCCTATATTTTTAAGGGTCTATCTCGGCTTTCGGCGTTAGACCCTTAATTAAGCTACCTAAGGACGAAATATAGACTAGCTAATACTATCGCGAGAATATCCTACCTTTAGTTATACTATTTCGCTTAGCGCTCGAAATAGAATAGAGCGGCTCCTTTTTATTAGTTAAAGATAACGCGCTATATTATAGGGCGACGCTAACTATTAAAGTATATATAAATATAGGGACTAATCGTATAGCGCTACTACCCTATTCGCTAGAGCTAAATCTAATCGAGAACGTATAGAGCTATTAGAAGGATTGGATTAGTAAGCGGATACCGTAACTAGCTATAGTTACTAAGCTCCGAGATACGGCGAAGTAAGAGTAGCGTAGAATTCTAAGGAGTTACGTTTAAAATTTGTTTAACTCTATATAGAAGCGTTGTAAAAATTATTGCTTCTAACGGTTACCTAACCGATTATTAGCTAGCTTTATTTAGCCTCTTAATTAAATTTGGTTAGCGCGGCGCTAGTAGGAATTACCGCCGTCCGCTATCTCGCTTAATTAAGATATACTAGATTATTAGTATAGTACTAGACTACTAATATAGCACTTCTAAATATAGCGATAAAAACGCAATCTTTGTCCCTTTAAGTTCTTTTTAATATATCTATTTAGATAAAGGAGTTATAGCTTAATAATATAGAGCAAAAATACTCTGATTTGTATATACTTTTAGCAAACAATAAAATTTCTAATCGCTACCTATTAAAATTATAGGCTATATAGCTAAAAATTCTAACTTAGAAGTTTAATAATTTTTTAGCTCTTAGTATACTATTTTTAGTAATCTAAAATGTAGATCTTATACTTTTACCTTATTAAAATCTAAATTGAAATTTATATATTAGTATAGAAACAATTAGTAATATAATCTAGAAAGGAATATTATTTTCTTACTATATTCTCTTTAGTTTATCTTTCTATTTAGAAGAGTTATAGCTTAGTAATATAAGACAAATATACTTTAACTTTTATATATTTTCAGAAAGGAACTAAAACTATTATAGCGATCCACTAAGATTAGTCTAAAACTCTTAAATAAAGATTTTAAGATTTTAAGATTTATTAAGCCTTAGTATACTATTTTCAGTAATCTAAAACCTAGACCTAAAAGTTTTACCTAGTATAAATATAGGTTGAGATTCTTTATTCTAGAATTTTAGGCTAATATTAGTAGATACCTGTAATAATTTTAGTAATTTTCTAATACTATAATAACAATAGAGTATTTTTGTCTAATATTACTAAGCTATAACTCGTCTAAAGAAAAAGATATACGAAAGAGAATCTAAGAAGAACTTGAGTTTAAATTCTAGATTATGTAGCTAATAGTAGCTATATTAAGAGAAAAGCCTTAAAATAGATTTTTATGAAGTAGGACTATAAGGTCTGGGCTTTAGATTACTAAAAATAGTATATTAAAACTTAAGAAAACGCTAAAGTTCTAAAATTTCCAACTTGGAATTTTAAGCTATATAGCTTAATAATTTAGGAGGCAACAATTAGAAATTTTATTATTTTCTAAAAACATACATAGATTAGAGTATCTTTGTATTATATTATTAAGCTATAGCTCCTCTAGATAAAAAGATATATTAAAAAGAACTTCTCGGGGCAAAGATTGCGCTGTGAATTCGTCACTGACAATCTGGTATGTATGGAGCTCCGTCGTCGCACGATTGAAGTCCACATTCTGCGACTTCACCTCTGTTCGTCACACATGAAAAGATCATCTCAAGCATTCAAGTACCCATCGACCCATCAGGAAGAATGCAAGACTCCTGTGCTGGGTCCCGCGTCACTTCAAAGACCCGCCCTTCACGCCAATGCCGGCGAGATCGAAGATGGGGCGGAAGCAATGCCGAAATCGGTAGGATGTGTGATAGAGAAAGACTCTTGCTGACTGCTATACTCTTCCTGCAACACCTTTGATATCATTGCTTATAACAGAAAGTCAAAATATCTTTCCCGCCATCGACAAACCAAAGCCGGATGCAAGGCTAGAGCGGACATACACATCCATTCACCTTCATCGTCATGGCAAGCACATCAATAAAGCCCAAGATCCTCGTCTTCGGATCCGGCGCCATAGGAACCATCTACGTGTACCTCCTCCTGAAAGCCGGTTGCGATGTAACCGCCGTCTGCCGAAGCAACTACACCGCAGCAAGAGATAATGGCTTCCACATCGACAGTGAAGTCTTCGGCAGAGGAATACACATTAAGCCAAGGTCGTGCGCACAATCTCCGAAGCAACCCATTCAAACAACGGACCCTACGACTACCTGATCGTCTGCTGCAAAGCCATCCCCTCAGCCAAAACCCCCCAAACAATTGCCCCAGCCGTAACCCCAAACTACACAACCATAGTCCTAATCCAAAACGGAATCGACATCGAACCCGAATACTCCCTCACCTTCCCCTCCACCCCTCTCTTAACATGTATAGCCTACCTCCCCACAACCCAAAACTCCCCAGGCCATATCACAATGGGCAACAACGAACGCCTAGAAATCGGAACCTACCCCGAATCCTCAAAATCTTCAACCTCCGCAGAAATTCTAATCTCCCTTCTAAAATCCTCCGGTTCAAACACAACCTACCACCCCAAAATCCAAGAACGTCGCTGGTTCAAACTCCTCCTCAACGCCCCCTGGAATCCCATTTGCGCTTTGACATTATCCCGAGACGTCGCCTTCCTCTCATCCTTATCATCCGACGGAATCTCAGAATCCATAATCCGTGGCGTGCTGCAGGAAGTAATTCTCCTCTCGCAAAGTCTCGGGTATACTTCGATTACGGCTGAAGCAGCGGAAGCCGGATTCAAAGTGATTAAGGATCGGGTGGGAAAGATGGTGGGGATTGAACCGAGTATGTTGGTTGATGTTTTGCATGGGAGGGCAATGGAGCATGAAGTGATTTTGGGGAATGTAGTGAGGAAAGCGAGAGAGATGGGAATTGAGGTGCCGAGATTGGAGATGTTGTATGGGTTGACGAAAGCGTTGGATTTGGCGACGCAGAAGAGGAAGGAAGGGAGATCTTTGGATAGAGAGGATTTGGGAGATGTGTATCAAGCGTGATTTTGTGCAGGGCGGGAGGATATACTAGGTTTTGCGTTTTACCGTAGAATGCCAAGCATAGCACCTCCGCAGTATGGAACCTTATAGTTTACTAGGCATTCTGCTCCTCTTTGCTCTCGTAGACCTTAAATCGTACCCTTATACCGCCTATAGCGATTATTATCAATCTGCCGCCCGAGTTAGCGTATACGGTCGCAATCTATATCGCTAGCGACCTCGTATAGTAGTATTTCGAGATACCTAATCGAGGTAGAAATACGACGACTTCGTAGACTTTAAGAACGCGTAAACTAGTCGATAAGGACCTACCGGCGTACAAATAGGCTGCTAAGAGGCGCGAGTCGCCTATAAAGAAGGGTCGGACGAAGAATATAAAGTCGAAGGTAGCAGCGGCGCTAAAGAAGTTTAGTAAGGCTCGCGTAAATAACGCGTAGGCGTAGAGGGAGTTTACTAAGTAGAATAATAGCGCCTCGACGGTAGTTAGTAATAATAAAGAGGTCGTAGATTTAACGGCTCTAGTAGACGCCTCGCTATCGAAAGGCTCTATATTTAGTAAGTTAGCGCCGCTACGAGTAGCTACCTCCGTTTAGGCCTTTATACATTAAGGATTACGTTACGCGGTAGTGAATTGGTTAGATTGCACGTAATAGATTTAAATTAGGGCTAGCTTCCGTCTTTCCGAATAACTAATTATATACTACTCTACCTAATCCTTTGCCTAAAGGCCTAAAGCTAAACTGCTAATTTTTATTACAGATTCTGCTATCAAAATGCGATCTCGCTGCACTAGCGACAACTGGCAAATCTAATACGAGGAGGTTGTAGCCCTGCTAATTACGAGTCTAACGATCTAAAAATCTCGTATATACGACGTATACGCGCTAAGTTATACTAATTTAGCCGAGCCTACTTCTATAGCTTTCCGGCGGCGGCGAGGTCGAAATCTGAACCCTATTCTACGGATATACGGACCTATAGCGGAGCCTGTATAACACTCAAACTCTTAGACCCTGTGCTACGTTTATCGATATTAGGCTATAGGTTGAAGTTCTAAATACTAAGGACTAAAGAGATAGTTTCCCCTACTAGATTAAAGCGACTATATAGGCTAAAGTACAGATTAGATAGACACGCGGAGGTTATAGAGGGCACTAGAAAGGTAGACCTCCGACGATTTGTTGTCGCTATAGAGTGTCGTTTGTTTAATCGTAAAGTATATAGAGGTAGACAAACGAGTTAGGCGAGACTAGCAATTTATGTTTCCTAATAATAATTCTCGAATTTGTAAAGCAATAGTATTATTAAAATAGCGGATATCCTTAATTACTAAATTATCTAGGAACCGTCTCTATAAAGTGCTATACTACGGATAATAGTTGTTGCGGTATTCGAGCTAATATACATATACTAGTAGGTAGATAGGCGAGCCTATACCCGCCTAGAACGGTTTGTCGTTAGGCGCTTCGCTAGAATGAGATCTCGAATGGCGCTAAACCTAATGTAGTATAGTATAGAAATAGAAGTTACGAGCAGCATACATACACGAATTTAACTACGAAGCGCCTAAATAGAGGTAGACGAGTAGTTAATAGGATAGAAATAAATAAAGAAGATATCGAGACGGCTTCTTACGACTCTCGTAACACTTTCTAGTACAAATAAGCGTAGCGCCTACTTACTAGCAACTAAGAGGTCGCTATAAAGAATTTCGAGCGTACTAGCTAGTCTACTTAATATTGCTACGAAGCCTATCGTTAGGCGGTCTCTAAGGCGTAGAAGAAACAGCTCTTTATAGGCGACTGCTTTATAATCGCTTCTACGAAGGGTATTAATAAGAGTAACTAGTTTAAGCAGTCGATAACTGCGGAAGAAGAAGGTAAGGTCGCTCCGGCTATATCCGTCGCTCCTACTTACGAATACTAACCTCTCGAAGGGGATAATTATCGAATAGCTCTTGCTATAGTACTCGAGTTTAAACGTAATAGAAAGGACAAGATTAAAGTAGATCTCGAGTTTAAGACGGCGGTAAAGGATACTATACCTACGGCCGTTAAAGTATCTAAGTTAAAGCTAAACGATTAGCAGACTATCGATAGAATTGCCTACATTGCTAAGCAACGGCAAGTTAGCAATTATATCGCTAAGATCAAAGCTAATAATTAGTATACTAACGGATCTTGTAAGAACTATAACTAGTACTACTACGTACTAGACGATCTACCTAATATTAAAGACAACTATCTCTAGATTAGCAATAACAATGCTAGGCTCTAGTCTATAGCCCTTACTGCTAATAAACCTAGCGTAACGACTCGGAAGCCGCCTAAGAACGTTGCTATTAAAATGGCTTAATTTACTAATAATGCGAGAGACAAGGCTAAGTAGATAAGGGCAAAGGAGACTCTATATACTTAGGTACTATATACGCTATACAACCGTAGCAGGTCTGTGCCTGTGTCTTATATTAATTATAAGGGAGTAATTAAGGCCGCTTTCTACGCTATTACTAGTATTCTTTAGCCTAGCGGCTCTCGTACTATTCCGGCTTAGCAACAACCTTAATTAGAGCTATAACAAGTACAGCAAGAGTCGCCTATTCTACTACGTATTGCTAAGCAAATTGGTACGCCTATCTTAAGCCTTATAAGACAGTTCTTTTAGTAGGCTAGTAAGCAATACGAATAGTCTAATCCGGAAGAGAAGGACGACTTCTTAAAGATAAAGTTACACTTCCTTGCTAAGAAATAGGACTATAATCGTATAGTACAAGTTGATAAGAAGTATTAGAAGGATGAATTAGGCTTCTTTAAAGGCTATTATAGTCGCCTACTTAAGTGTTTGAAGCGCTTTTAGAAGGAGAAGTTGTTTAAAAGGGCAGAGGGAACTCGAAAGTAGTAGTAATAATAACGACATTTACGACGGAGCAACGGCCGTTCTTATTAGTTTAGATTTATTAGACGTTCGCTAGTAATTTAGAATGTAACTAGCTTATTATCTGCTCCGCTATATATGTCTATATTATTACTATCGCTACGAAGCGCCTCTCCGGCCGTACCTCGCAAAGCTCTCGGAGCTCTCGGCGGAGGAAATATATAAAGCTTAGTAATGCCTACTAATACCTTGTACATTTTACTATATGCGCAATACTATAGTAATATATATAAAATTGATAGCGGAGCTTCGTATATATATAATCTCGAGATCCTGTATATAATATTATATATTTGTTGTATAGTTATAGCTAAATATAAAGCGAGTCGAAGTTGCGAAGTAATTAATCCTTAGCTTCTTCCTCTCCGCTATTAACATTATATCTAGTATGCCTAAACAACCCTCGTACGTCTGTTCCTACTATGTATTCTAGCGCCTATATAAGGAAGTCTATAAAGCAGTCGAAGTTATTAATTAAATCCTTATTCTTCTTTATCTATATCTTTAGTATATTAAAGGTTTACTTAATTAGGTTAAGATCTAGTAAGTAAGGAGGCAGATATTCGAGCGTATGTCTAGCGCGAGTAATTATCTCTTCTACGTTAACACTATAGTAGATTAAGACGTTATCTATTATAAAGATTATCTCCTATCTAGCAATAAGCGGTAGCACTTTATTCTCGAGCTAGTCGTTAAAGGTAACTTAATCTATAGAGCCTTAGATATAGAGAGTGTAGGGCAGGTATCTATTAATCGTTAACGCTAGTAAGACTAAAGTGCGTTCTTCTCGTTATACGTACTAATAATCTATATAATCTACGCTTTCTAGAGACTAACTATACTTGCGGTAAGCCGTCTTCTAGTTTGTCGCTATCTCGTCGATAAATACTAACTTCCGAATAGGCTACCTCTTATACTTCTTACTCTAAACGGCTCTTACTAATAGATTGCGCTCCTTTGCTATCTTCCGCGATACTTTCCGAGTCTACTTTATTATATCGACTAGGTAGCGGTAAACGTTCGAAGAGTATAACTAGATATTAAACTCGTCGTAGAGAGCGAGATACATCTCTTCGAGATATACCTCTAGTCGATAAGAGAGATATTCTTCGAGCTAGTCTTGTATTTCTTTAGTAAGTATACGCTTACGACCTAGCGGTAGGCATAGTAGATAATAGGCCTACTAGAAGAGATTATAATTAACGCGCTATTTATATAGGGTCGACCTCGTAATACTAGTTACTAGCATTATATCGTTAATCGACTTGCTATCTTCGAACAATAACTCTGCCTTCTTTACGGTCTCCGGCGGCATCTTCGTACTAACCCTAGTACGTACCTCTAGCTTCTTTTCGGGCGGCGCCTTCTTCTTACGACCTATAGACGAATGTAGCGATATTCTACGATTAAAACAATACCTTAACGGTCGCTATACTATTAAAAATAAGGCAATACGGTCTATAAAGAGGTAGGTTCAAAATGCGGTATACGGCTCTTCGAGAGGTCTTGGCATTCTACGGTAAAACGCAAAACCCAGTAAATAGATGACGAGAAAGTGGTATTGATGGTTTGTTGTTTTCTGGTCATTATTATTCATTACCTCGTTCTATATTCCGCACAGCAGCAGCGCCAGTGATGCCAAAGCCCTCCGAAGAAGGAATATGTGCAGACCTCCCTCCCTCCCATGAACGCTATATCGACCGGATCCCCGATAACACACGGTCGGAGGTCAGAAATGCTTCGCGCTAAATATGCTTGCTTCAGAGCACACGCACACACACGAACAAGAGAATGCAAGCAAAAGCAGGCCCTGATTGCTTCGTCCCGGAAAGAACGCTTCCATACCGAGATCGTGGGTCTGCAGGGATTGAATGAGGAGAATTATCGTGAATCGATGTAATGGGTGTTTGGTGCCTTCATTTCGGTGTCTGTTTCAGACATGGCTTCAGGTTTGGTCAGAGCAATCTGACATTACTGACGCTGCTGTTGTGGCATCTAGTCGACTTTGATGGCGCTATATATCCGTCGCACAAACGCGTAGGCGGTGAGGAAGCCGATAGTGCCGGTCAAGAGCCCATAGACGGGGCATGCCAGGAAGCTGTATAAGAAGAACAGCATTGTGCTGACCAGATTGTTGGGATGCGAAGTTGTACGCTGAGTGTTTTGAACATCTAGATCCCTCAAGTCGGTGTCCCTTCAAGGACGGAATCATGTCGACTCTCCTGGTCAATCGGTAGCGCCGGTAGCGGCTTATTCAGATCGATTGCTGGCTGTCTCGGGACCTTTGGAGTCGGAAATAGATCCTCAAGGTCGGGGAACTGATCGCCAGCAGAGTGCTTACGAGCATAGACCTGATACTGACGCCAGATCTTTTGCTTCTCCAATTTCTCAAGCCTCGCATTATACCGTTCTTCCGCCTCCTTGAGCGCCTCCTCATCGCCCTCATCAATCCTGTCGACGAATTTCTGGAATCGAAGCGCACTGGGTTTAGCTCTTCGAAGGAAGTCCGCAAGAACACCACCAAATTTCTCTCTCGCAGTCAGTTTCGAGGGATAACCGGATTCTCTAACAGCCAGTTCATCAAACTGCTGTCCAGGCTCGACTGAAGGACGATGATCGTGTTCCTCACAACACCCTACAATCTGTATCGGTAAATGCAACACAATCCCATCCTCGGATACTAGGAGATGCTGTTTGACAAAATACCCATCCCCAATCTGCCTTTTCCTTTGATAATGTTGCGGATAAACAGGATTCTTCCGACGAGGACGCAGGACCAAAATTAAGATCTGCTGCTCGTCACCCTTCCGTTCGTAATAGACTGTGTCTCCCGGGAGAAGCTGAAGGGACAGGAGTCTGCGTGTATGCTGAACAACGTCTTCGGCGTCGATGAAAGCCGAAGACGAAGATCCGAGGCCGTAGGTTGTTTCGAACCGCTTTGTCTGGACGTGAGGGGATGGTGTGGCTTTTGGAATATGCGCACCGAAACGATCGGGACCTCTAGCTGGGCTGGCCGCTCGGGGCGACTGAGAACTTCTGGACGACATGTGTAAAAATTCTTGTCGCTGCAATTTCTGATGCTCACGGGCGAGATTCTTTGAAGACATTTGTTCTCGGCCGATGGCATGATCTCCTATCCTTGGATGATGTAAGTGCAAAAAGCATAGCAAGAGATGAATTCCCAGCTAATAAACGAGACGCCTTCACTAACTCCCTGCCATTCACAAGGCTCGCAGCCAGAACTCTACGAAGCTTTTCTAACTAGAAGAATCTCACTGATTCACTTTTGCGAACGCTTCAGGCTACCGTATGATTCGAGTTGACTGCCGTATCGACGTTGTTATTGAGTGACCAGAGAAAAGACTAAATCCAAGTCATGGAGCCTTTCCACCATCCGCCACCATCGGGTAGTTTGATCCACTCCAGTGCTTCTATATCGCACTCCAGCAACTCATCCTGCGACTTTGCCTTAGACACAGCTTGCTCCCAGTCTGCCGGGATCGTGAATAGTTGGGGATAGTCCAGTTCGGGTGTTGATTCGTTTCCCTCCTGGACACTGGTTGCAATTCGATTGCCACAATCGACCTCCGTCTCGTTAGGTGAGACCGTAGGCAGGTCTATAGTTCTCCAGGACTCAGATTGGTTGGGCGTCGAATTGGTAGCCGAGTCATGACTGCTGAGCGGTTCAACAGCGTAACCAACAAGGTCCACAGTAAGATTCTCCGGCCGCATTGACCAAGATTCTGGGACGTTGACCGAATCTCGCTGTAGAGCCATATCCTCTCGAAGTGCTTTTGCGAACTCTGGCATGGTTCTGATCGTGCGTTTCGGAGTCTGGTCGTCTTTCTGGCTTGTGGGTTTCTCGTTGTCCTTATATGTACTTCCTTCCATATTGTAGAAGAACGGCGCGTTTAAGTTTTTACTGGATTTTTCTCTCCAATTGTTCGCGAGATAAGACATGTCGAACGAGTCTCGTGTCAGGTGTTATGCAAGCTCACAAAGTTCCTTATGAATGTTTCAAAGGCTAGTGAATTCATTCACTGCGACATGCTATGCACTTGCTTTGCGCGTAGCATTCACTTCGGTGATTTTCCGCACGTCTGATCGAGTTGAGTGTTCTTAATTCCCACAGGAGCATTGTTGCTATTGTCATGAGCTGCTTCGTCTGCTACTTTGTCCTTACGCTTTGTGTCCTAGTTGGCTCAAAGATGATTGTTCTGGCCAACAAAGATCCTCTGTGCACTGGTGGCACCGTCTTTGTCCTCAAGCGGCATTGTACGTCTATAACGGTCGGCATATATGTACTGCTTTGTCGAGCGACGATGAGCGATCACAGTTCCAGCAAGTTCCTCCTCACACACTCGATTCAGGGAAGCGATCAAAAGCGAATCCCTCCTCGCCCTACACACGAAGCCACATTTCGATTGATTCGAACAAATTCTTCTATCAAGGTACGCCCAAACACGATCGCTGCAAATATGGTATCAGCCTGGAAGAAGGTCAAGCAGAGGTTGTTCGAGTTCGCTAACCCTGATGCCACAGAGATCAGAAGTCGGCCCAATCCATATGCAAACCCTGCAGCACAAGACTCCAAACGCAAGTCCAAGTATGTCGCCGTTTGGGATGATCAGCCGAAGTCAAAGCCGAAGCGACGAGGTACCAGTCCGCACAACTCGAGACCACCTGTGTCTTACGTAGCGCGTACCCCTGCTCCTAGGCCCACGACTGCAGATGGTAGAGTGTCTTCCAGATCAGCATACTCCACCAGACCTGTAACTCCATCTCAATTGCCGCCGCAGCCAAATCGACCATTGTACTCTCGACCATCGACGAGCAACGGTGTGTCGAGAACAGGCAGTCGTCGCCGGGAACAGCCTCAGTATCGCGACGTATCAGCATACTCCACCAGACCTGTAGCTCCATCGCAATTGCCGCCACAGCCACATCGACCAATGTCCTCCCGACCATCGACGAGCAACAACGGAGCCTCGAGAACAGGCCGTCGTCCCTGGGATCAGCCTCCATATCGCCCTCAATATCGCGACGTAGCAGACCTGCGGGAGGCTAGCAGACGGGCCTTGCTTGTAAAGAACCAGGAGAGCTGGTTCGACGACAGCTCTTCCATCTCCTCGGGCTTCACGCCAAATCGACAATATTCGTATGGCCAACAAGAGCGATGGCCGCCACGGAACTCTTCCAGGAATTGGCGTGGCTAGATAATAGCCCGGCTTTGCTGGACGAGATATGACTCTTTTGCCTTTTTGTTGACCTAAATAGCATCGTTATCAAGTTCAATTGCATCGCACCGCCCTACCGTTTCCCATGTTTTCTCATTTCCAGACGCCACAGTTCGCTAGCAACCTCGTATGCGTCGTAGGGTCCAGCGAGCGCTGCTCGATGGTCTTAGCAGAGATATTTGTGGTGTCGCAGGATAGTAGTTTGTATCTACTAGGCGGATTCAAGAGCTTTGAAAGGTAAATGTTGAAATTTGAGGGACATGATACATTCCTCAAGATGCAAGTTCCTGGATCTCGGCTTTCAATCAAGTCGAATCAAGGCAGAAAGTCCTACCATTGGCGAAGTAGATGATTCTGCTTCCGATCTTCATCCCCAACTAAGACTTCTACTCCAGCCTGTCCCACACTTGGGTCCGTTCCTCGAAGGCGGTCTAAGACTTCGGGGTTAACGGGCTTCTTCGGCTGTCCCATATACCAAGCCTTGTCTCCATCCTCTCCGAAAGTCTCCAGATCCCATCCATTGCCGAAATAGCTGAACATGTCATCTGGATTTTCATAACGTAGGTCAAAGTCCTCGAATCGTGGCGTCCGCATGATCTTAGTAAATTGACTTCTCTCACCTGGCCATAGAGACGGAGGCTTCGAGCTGCCATCGTTTCCTTTATACCACGAGACACAAGGGCCGGTAAGTGCTGTGCGCTTCATCCAAGCATTTGCGTGACGAACGAAATGATCGACGGCCAAATCTTTGGGCTTGATACTGAGAAGTCGGTCGAGTTGCACTTTCTCTATCACCTGCACCATATAGTTCGAGTACACTTCTGTGGAGTGGAAGAAATTTCCTTGCGGTAGGGGTCCAAATGCTGAGGCTGGGTTGAAGTAGTTTGGCATGCCTTTGAGCATCAGAGCCATGTAGCTAGGAGGAGACAGTAGGTCCTGCCACTTGGAGGCGACATCTTCGCCATTGACAGTTCGTGGGAAAGGTGGCATGTGGGACTGATCGTATCCAGTTGCCGCTATAACCATGTCGATTTCATGTTCATTGCCATCGCTGTCCAGCAGACCACGCTTGGTAAAGCGCTGAGGAGGTTGCAGGAGTACCGTGGTCTTTGGATGTGTGAGCGCTTCAAGATAACCATATGCAAAGGTCTGGCGTCGACACCCAATGCCAAAGTCTGTTGGTATGATTGAATCAAACAACTCCGGTTTCGATGCTAACTTCGCCTTCATGTACTTCGTCACCATCTCCCGTACTTCGTTCCCGATTCGGCCGCCATTAATGAGGTAAGGATACCGAGTATTGAAAGTAGATTCGACAGCCTTGCGATAGGCCAGATAGACGTCTGGATCTTTCAGCAGTTCCTTTTGCTCATCACTGTACTTGAAGTTGGCTCCTTCCTGCCCAGAGAAGGCTTGATTGGGCGGTGGCAGAACAAATGTCTTATTCCTGAACCAAGTATACAATTTCTGAACATCGTTCACGATATTGGGCCCAATCTGAACTCCAGAACAACCGTAACCGATTAAAGCTACTTTCTTGTCCTTGACAGTTGTCTCGGGCTTCCAATGTGCTGGGTGTATGACTTCGCCTTGGAATGCGTCCAGACCAGGGACAGGATTCAGCCTCGGATTGCTGACAGGTCCATTGAGCTCGAGAAAGAAGTCGACTTTGTCCTCGAAATCGCGGCCATCAACAAGATCGTTTACCTTTAGAGTCCATTTCGACTCATCGTCGCTCCAGGCCGCAGAGAGAATCTTATGCCTTAGTTTTATGAATCTGTAGAAGTCGTTCTCTTTCGCAACGGTCCGGATGTATTCCAAGTTCTCGGCCTGAGGTGCATACATTTCAGACCAGATGTTCGGCCTCCATGAGAATTGATAAACGATGGAAGCTATGTCACAGCGACAACCAGGATACCTGCTGGTCAACCACTGCGTCTAATTAGTATGTGGCAGATGTTGTAGTGGGCTTCCTTACCACTCCGCCGATGTCATCATTCATCTCGTAGACCACAATTTCAACATCCTTCAGTCGCTCTGCTGAATGCAGAAATTGAAGGCCACTTATGCCTGCTCCAAGGACACCAATGCGCAGCTTTCTTCGCGTTCCGTAGAAATCATCCGAGATCTCGATATCTGGTCGACCTGAAGGGTCTGGTAGCCCGGCATAGACGAAGCTGCGACTTCTTTAGCAGATTGCCAAGATTATGCTTCGTCGTGTGGTGGTAACAGACGTAGGAATGTAATCTGCGGCTTTTGGGTTTGACAAAGGTCTGGAAGCCTGGTAGGGAATCTCTCTGAGCTGTGTCATGGTGATAGCCGCACACTGTTATCCAGTCTCATTCGCCTGCTCTAGAGCGAAGAAGACAAGAAGTATCCAGACACATGAATGACATGGGTGCCAGATCAAGCTTCTTGAATGTGGTGTCTCGGTGAGATGTTCGTCAGATAGGCAGAGTACCGGATCGAGTGGCCGCCACTCAGCGAGGGGTATCTTTCTCAAGTCGTTCCCTCAGCTTCACCAATCTCGCAATTAATCAGGTATCATCATCCGGGACATCTTATATTCCGAGCCTTCCGATCCTGGCAATGCTGTCCGAAGCGCGCGCTTGAGCCTCTGACTGTGCTGGACTTCAGGTCCTGGTCTGTATAGCATTCGAGATTTCATGATTATGATCAGTGAGACGGTCCCAGACGCAGGAAGGCTCTCTCGACGTTGAAATAGGATGCCAGGTTTAACAAAGCAAAGTTCCGAGAGCATCCAACCCTATCTCCGTTTCAGCCCCTTGCTGTTTGGGCGCAAGGGGGTTTTCAGTGTGGCAGGTAGTGGCCTCTTTCCAACCACCACCTTCACCACCTTCACCACCTTCCACCTTCCACCTTCCTCCCATTCTATATCGGACTACCACGCGACTGGAACCATACACCCACACACCTAACCACACCAACCTCCTTGCGCCACATCCGAAAGTACCGATCGACGCTAAAGTGCACGTGAAATGAAGATGGAAGTCACAGGTGGAAGGTAGAAGATAGAAGATGGAAGGTGGAAGATGGAAGGTGGGATGAAGTCTACAAGAAGAGCCTGAGAAGGAGGTAGCATTTAACCATCCATTCTGAATCCAAGGGCGATCAATCTTTGTCAACATCGACCATGCCTCCAGCGTTCACAGCCGGCCAACTTGGAATTCTTCGGGATGTCACCAACGAGACTCTGGGTGCCGCTCAAGAGTACTTCAAGACTGTATAGTGAAACATACTGAATGAGCTCTGGCGCAGGCAGGCAAAGCTGGTGGTGTCGCAGCATGAGAAAATGCAGTTGACACAGCGAAGCCGTTTCTCCGCTCTCATGAATGTTTCTTCTCATTTACAGCTTCTGGAATGTTGGCGTCCTTTTATTCTTACCCAGCCCTGATAGCAATGCGTCTTTTACGTCAGCCGTTTGCAACATGGCAGCGTTCCATACTGCGATGTAATCAAGCCCTGGTAGAAATGTCAGCGGGGTTTATTCGGTCCACATGAGAGCACTCACCATCTTCGACTGAATGGTCTCGGGAATAGTTGATGACAGCTTTCGTTCCTTGTACAGCAACAGGACTTTTGGCTGCTATATCCTTCCCAAGCTCAAAGGCACGATCCAAAGCAGCTTTCTTGGAATCAAAGACGCCGGACACAAAGCCCATAGTCAAGGCTTCTTGTGCATCGAACTCTCTTGCTGTGAGGGAAATGTCCTTGATCCAGCTCATCGGTACTTGTGTGTGAGGAAGTCGGGTCAAGGTGCCTACATCTGCTGCGAGACCTATCGCAACTTCTCTGACGGAGAATCTGGTGTCTTTCGAGCATATCCTGATGTCACAGCATGTTGATATATCGATAGCCGCGCCATAGGAGATGCCGTGCATAACGCAAATGACTGGTTTCTCACACTTTTCGATCTCTGTGACTGGGTTCTGGACTTCCTTAATATGCCTTCGAAGCTTCCAGGCTTTTCGGGCAGTGTCTTCAGGTGCTTGTCCTTTCATGCCATCACCAGTAAGAGGCCCCTCTGCCGCCGCTGTTACGTCCAGGCCCGCTGTGAAGGCACGATCCCCAGCCCCCGTCAGAATGATCACGCGTACATCTGGATCTACGGACAGCTTCGAGAAGATTGCGCCGATGTCCTTGAACATCTTTTCTGTGTATGCATTGAGCTTTCGCTGCCTATCGACTTCCACAACTGCCACAAATTCGTATGGCTGAGTAACATTGAAGAATTCTGTGCTGTAGTCCTGTGGCGCCATGATGCTGGTCGGTCTGTAGAAACTAAAGATTTGGCGGAGCAAAGTTTGCGTCCTGGTCTTTTCTGTTCTTTGTGTCTAGGAGGGATGATATATCAGAAAGATCTTGAGTCGCGATGTCCGAGTACTCGACAACCGCGAATGCCGAGGTGTGGAGTGGCGGTTTTAGAGCCTTAGGCAGCAAGAGCATTACGTGTCTAATTGGCAGCCTAGAGAGCAAAACTATAGGAGACTTAAGGAGGCCTGCGAAGAGTATATAGAGTAGGCGAGGAGGGGTAGAGTAGCATTTGCCCTCTAGAAGTACTAACTTATCTACTTTATAGGAAGTAGAAGGAAATATAACTTATAGACTACTATCTAGATTCTAGAATACTAAGTATAACTAGAACTAGATATTAGACTCCTAGGGGTCTAGCTAGATAGCAAGCCTAAATAAGGGCTATATATTAGAAAAGCCTAGGAGAGGGGCCTTACTAATCTATAGTCCCTCTAAGGTCTAAATAAGTTAATATAGGATACTAGCTTCTAGAGAGTAAAGTACTAGTATCTAGCTATAGCTCCTTCTAGGTAGTATATATATCGCGAGACTTAATAATAGCCTTATTCTTAAGCTATTTAAACTACGAGAGGTAGACTTAGGTAGTATCCTTCTAACCTACCGAACCTAGCTTCTAGTACCTTAATCTTTACCTCTAGTATAGTATTCTTTGCCTCTATAGCCTCGACTCGCGTCTATATCGCGGCTAGCTCGCTATTTCTATCGTCTTCTTTAACCTCTAAACTAGCTATATAGCTAGACTTACCCTTATACTTATAATAAGCGTAGACTCGCTCGCCCTTAGTATTAAGTATATAATACTTAAAGTTATTAGAGCGTATATAGTAGCAGTATAGCGCTAGTATAAGCTTACTAGAGTCCGTTTTTATAATAAGTCTAGTAGCCTTATCTTTCTATAGTCTATTTAATACTACTTTCTTCTTATTTAGTATAGCTATTTAATTAAGTAGCTCTTACTATATCTCTACGCTATAATATTAGAAATCGTAGGTATTTATAGTCGTAGGGCGTCGAAGTCTAGAGCGAGTTAGTAGCGAGTCTATAAGGATATACCCTACGACTTATAATAAATATTCCCCTTTTCCTCCTACTAGTAAGTATACTATCGCTATCGGTATCGCTATTAGTATTAGTATCGATAGAAGAAGAATATTAAAAGGCAAAGCGCGAAGTTATAAGTCTAAACAAGGTTTGTCGCAACAATAGGCATAATAAGGTTAGTAAGGAAGGTATAGGAATAATAGGAAGCGACAATAGACTTAAGTGAAGCTAAGCCTCTATTGACAATCTGGTATGTATGGAGCTCCGTTGGCCTCCCTATCCCGACCAATTTGCATCCTAGAATAACGCTAATTCCACGGTCCGGTAATCAGCACCAAGTCACCAAACAACCACTGCACATCACTCCAATCCGCGAGAAATTGCACTTCATGCTGCCGGACTCACCATAGCATCGTGCCCGGTGGCATAAGCACAATCTCAGCAAAATGGGTGACTTGCACAACACGCCCATCGTCATCGACAACGGCAGCGGCACGATCAGAGCTGGATACGCCGGCGAGGACCAGCCGCGCTGTTTCTTTCCCTCATATGTCGGACGACCGAAGCATCTGCGCATACTCGCGGGCAGCCTAGAAGGAGATGTCTTTATCGGTAATAAGGCACAAGAGCATCGCGGTCTGCTCAAGATTCGCTACCCCCTAGAGCATGGAATCGTCACCGACTGGGACGACATGGAGAAGATTTGGCAATATGTCTACACAGATGAGCTCAAAACCTTGAGTGAAGAGGTATGTTGTAGTTGACGTCGGTCCTCGAACGCGAAGGCAGCAGCATGGCGCAGCTCTAACTCCACTGCCAGCACCCGGTCCTGCTCACCGAAGCACCTCTCAATCCGCGCGCAAATCGAGACACAGCAGCGCAAATCCTTTTCGAGACTTTCAACGTACCGGCAATGCACACATCTATACAGGCTGTCCTTTCATTGTACGCATCTGGACGAACCACCGGTATCGTGCTCGATGCAGGTGACGGCGTTTCCCATGCTGTCCCGGTTTATGAAGGCTTCGCAATCCAGAATAGCATACGGAGAATCGATGTCGCTGGACGAGATGTTACCGAAGAACTTCAAAGGCTGCTAAGGAAGAGCGGCGCTGTCTTTCACACCAGCGCCGAGAAGGAAATTGTCAAGCAGATCAAGGAGAAGGTCTCGTACGTTGCTTCCGACCCCAAGAAAGAGGAGAAAGAATGGCATAGCGGGGGCAGCAGAGGCGGAGACAGCAAAATCGCTGAATACACATTGCCTGACGGCAAGAAGCTCAAGATTGGCCCAGAACGCTTTCGCGCCCCAGAAATCCTCTTTGATCCTGAGCTCATCGGACTCGAATGGCCTGGTCTCCACCAAATTGTGGTTGACTCGATCAATAGAACGGACATGGACCTCCGCAAGGCGCTGTTTGGTAACATTGTCCTTTCAGGTGGATCCACTATGATCAAGGGCTTCGGCGATAGGTTGCTGCACGAAGTTCAACGGCTGGCCATTAAGGATATGCGCATCAAGATCTTTGCGCCGCCGGAGAGACTTTACAGCACGTGGATCGGCGGAAGCATTCTGGCGGGCTTGAGCACGTTCAGGAAGATGTATGTGACGATTGATGATTGGCATGAGAGTAAGTCCCTCACCCCTCCAGGCTCCATGGATTGCAATCGCGTCACATTCGCTGACAAGTTCTCAGATCCAGAAATCATTCATGCTCGAATTTGATGCAGCGCTTTTAGATACCCCACGGCAGTTGTTTAAATGTGTTCCTTCAACTTTGGTCGACTTCGCTTCTCCCCAAACCCCAAGTTCCGACAAACGACAGCTTCGCGATGCCCTGCTTAGCTCGGTGGGACCCAGTGTTTTGCGGGCTCCAACGGAGCACATTCTCGTCTGACAGCGTCGTTGGGGAGTAATACGCAGAATAGTCGACCAATCTCATATGGGATGCTCCATCGTGCTCACGACCCTAGACACGACACGCACACTGTGGAGAGCACGCAATGCTGGAGTGGGAGGACATGCGGAGGCAGGAGGAGAATTTTACTTAACCATCACGTACTACACGCCGACCTACTAGGTAGCGCCAGGTACCACGCACATGGCTGCTACACCGCAAAACGCTATGAGGCGGAATGCGGGGAAAGCGTTTGAGTCAGGTGCGACCGCTCGACGGTCTCGGGTCGTTCAGCCGTAGGCGTACCAGGAAGTTTTGCGGAGGGTATGCAAGACTGCAGCAGGCGTCGACAGCCGCGTCTGGACATCGCAATGGTCGTCAATGACCGGAGACACGTTGTCGCTGTGCGGCATCGGAGTGGAAGTACGGCGCCAACATGTACCGTGCTGTTATTCGACGTCGCACGCGATCATGCGGAGTCACTGCGTGCTCAGACGCCATCACAGTACCGCCAACCTTAGAATTTTTTGAGGGTAATAGTTTTCCTCGAGTGGTTCGCGGTTAGGTTATAGAAACTCGGGCCTGCATGCCGAGCCTCCCGTCGAGAGGAGTCGACCGTGCACGCGTGACTTGGCAACGTCTTGTTTACTACGAGGCGCAGTCCTCGTGACTCGTTGGACGGTCGTGACCTCCGAATCCCGAAAAAACATCTGTCACCGTCAAGGAGAGAAAGCAGGCCCATGATGATGTTATTACGAGGATGCGAATTGTTCGTGTGGCATCGTGGTCCAATAACGAGGGAAGTTGGTCTACAGAGATTCCGGCGGCCAGTGAAGAGAAATCTCTTCACTCAAGTGACGCCCCAAATGATGATCTAAGCAAGGCTAGTTCCGCCGCATCGGCTCATCAAAGGCGTCGTCTGAAGCCAAGAAACTGACTGTTGCGCGTGATGTGATTCTAGGGGACAGACAGGCACATTAAGTATATATGCTGCCTCCCAGGTAAGCATTCGATCTCTCACTACATCAGACCACATCAACACTATACTCGATCACTAGCAACACTATCTGTGCTCACCGATAACCACAACAACCACCCACTACACCATACCATCACATCAACCACACAAAATGTCTCCCAACTACAGCGTAGTAGAGCCACATCCAACCGTCCCCAAATCAGGAGGCTACGTCGGCGGTGGTCGTGGCGGCGCAGGCAACTTCAAGCGCTACAAGGCAGAAGAGATCACCGACGGTCAAAATGCCAGCGGCCCAGCATCGCGAATCACACTTTCGCGACCATTCCGACGACACATTCCAGCCGGACGTGGTGGCGCAGGCAACATGTTCTCCGAGACCGAAGAACCAATCTTCCAATTCGATGAAGAACTCAAGTCTCGACAGCACTCTACTCCAGTTTACCGTATCGGACGTGGTGGCGCTGGCAACATGGTGAACGAAATCAAGGCCAACACTCTCTCTCGCAAAGACAGCACAGCTTCGGAGGCGGAGTCGACTACTAGCCGCTTTTCTATTTCCAGCATTTTCAGAGGACCTTTGAGCCGGTGATATCCGGGTGATGGGTGATAGGACTCTTCGATCACGACGATTACTGCTTTCTCATCATTACGACTTTACGACATGCATCTTGCATCACCCCAAAAGCGTTGGCGCCGGGCTTCTGGACACCATCAAAACCGGGAGGAACAGTCTGCCATTCTTTCATCATCAACCAACCAAAAGTTCGAGAGCCGGCGTGCTCATGATTGCTGTATTATATTTTGACACACCCGATGAAGACATTGTGGAATGATACCCGTTCTCCATAGCGATTGGGATTTGCTTCCAAGTTGCATAGCAGTGTAGCTGCTACGCTCGATCCATATGATGATTCAGAATCTCTCACCCTGCCTTCACTTATCCATGTATTAATAAGTCCACTGGTTTACGTGCCGAAGTGCCCTGACCCAAGGTGACATCGCAGGCGAGGTTTCCTCAACGATCGTCACAGCTTTCGATTTGTTACCCATGGAAATATGATGAATGACACTCACAGGACTGGTCAGCTTCACAAGCTCATCTGAAGAAGAGCTGCCTCGGTATCGATAGAGTTCCGTCATCCCGGGAACATTGATAGGGCTGACCGCAAGGGTCGTCGGACGTGGTGAGGAATTTCGATCGTATGAGTGCAACGATCCGTGTGAACACGTTTGTTGGTTCCGGCGATTGCTTGCAATCTCTGCACAGCATTGCGGTCGCCAATACATTTATATACAAGACTACGAATCCGCTGCATGTATCTGCATGTTGCTTTCGCTCCATACGCTATACGCATAAGTAGTACCAGGCAAAACAGCGTCAAAGCTTCGTCAGCACAGACTCAGAGCCTCAGCTTGGGCTGCGTTTGTTTATTGTTACAACTACATCCGAATCCTGCCGGCAACCATGAGACAGCAACTCGGCATTCAGTAGTCTGCATGAATAAGCAGCGCTTCTTCATTGTGTTTAAACCACACTCGTCGCGTCATGGCGGGAATCGAGCAGATCGTTGTGCATTCGAAGGTACGTCAGCTTCAAGCCATAGACCAGCGAGTGCGAAACTGACAACAGACGACGCACATAGAGCTACGTTGTCCGCTGGATTCAAGTACCTGAACATCATTCGATATCGTGGTCAATACAGCCTAATAAGAAGAGCATTAACTTTGGCATATTCAAGCATCCAGGCACCAAGAATGGGCAGACGCCGGCGCTGCCTACAGAGGAGGTAGTCGAGAATAATGCGCGGGACATACCAGCTACACTGGCGCTGGATGGGTCGGAGAGACTTACTCAGGTACCACGGAGAGCTTCTGTGAGCGAAGGAGAGAGCAAGGTCGTGGAGAAGCTGCAAAATGTTGGGATTAGAGCAGTCGCTTGGGCTGGAAGATGCGAAGCAGACAAGGTTGCAATGGGGCGATACGATGTTCCGACGGGCGAGGGAGGAGCGTACGGACTGGTGTTCGACAACACATTCTCCAAGCAGACGTCCAAGAACATCACCCTGGTGCTGATGACGCATCCAACGAATGCGCCTCCTAAATCAGGACACCACCTGCATTACACCCAGGCATTTGGAAACAACAGCACTAACACTGTTGGAAAGGGCAGCAGTCCGTCTCTGAGACCGGTGAACGATTCGAACGATTCTCTGCCTACAAATCTGCACCGTGGCATTCTCGAGGATCCGCGACCGAACTCGAAGAGCGGGACGGAAAGTAAGGGCGTAGAAGGGACAGCATTCTACACGGGCATGTTGTACAAAAAGAAACGGAAGAAGGGTCAGGGATACGCAAAGCGATTCTTCTCGCTGGACTTTACATCTTCGACTCTGTCGTACTATCGCGACCGACATTCTTCGGCCCTGCGAGGAGCCGTGCCATTGGCGCTCTCTGCTGTTGGCGCCAATGAGAAGACTAGGGAGTTCTCAGTGGATTCCGGCGCGGAAGTCTGGCATCTCAAAGCACTGAACAAGAAGGATTTTGAAGGATGGAGGGTGGCGTTAGAGCGAGCAGCCAGCGGCGCATTTTCTGCTCCTGCAACACCGATGAACATCTTGGATGGCTTTGTTTCGTCCAGGGTCCCCAACCCGGAAGAAGATCGAGAATGGGCGAGAGTGGAACAGCTGGTTAGCAAGGTCGCCGGCACGCGTGATGCTGTCAGAGGGCTCGCGAAAGACACGGATCCAAAGTATCTGGCCGGGGCTAATGGCGCTGGTCTGGGACTGACCACATCTGGTAGCAACAGTAACAATCCTAGTCCGACCTCTTACGATTCTGCTAGCCAATACTTCCCGGAGGTTGATGAGCGCGGCGAGAACAAGCGGCCTTTCTGGAAGCGCAAGCCGAGTGTGGATCGCAGTCCGTCAGCGCTATTTCGCAGAAGTGTATCCGCACAGCTCGCAGTACCTTCGCCCGCTTTGGGTGGTGGTCTATCACCGGTGTCTCCTACTGCTGGACTAATCACTATCCCGAAGCGCCCTAGCATGCAAAACATGAAATCTCAGCAATCGATTCACGATCCAGATGTTCACGAAAGATGCATGGCATTGCTGCGTGATTTGGACGATGTGGTCTCCCAATTCTCGCAGTTGATTGCAGAGAGCAAAGCGCGCCGGATACCGCCTCTACCGACTGCAAACTCAAGATTGTCTTTGGACTCTGTGGACAGCCAGGAGTTTTTCGACGCAGAAGACGGTGCTGGAGGCCCATCTCAGCTTCTCGATATTAGGCGTTCGGGCGAATTTGAGAGACAAGGCGAGGAGGAAAACCTGTTTGACGATCGGACCGAAGCCGATTCAGATACAAGCAGTGACGCTGGCGATGGCCCAGCTGGATCTGTCACATTTACACCAATGACCAAGACTTCACAGTCGCCGTTGTTTCCTGGTAGGCCAGAAAAGCTGCCACCACTGCCACTACCTCGCGTGAAGAGGCGTTCGACAGTGACCGGACCGAAACAGCCACCACCGAGCATCATCGGTTTCCTGCGAAAGAATGCCGGCAAAGACCTCAGTACTGTTTCAATGCCGGTGACGGCCAACGAGCCTACATCGTTACTGCAACGCTTGGCTGAGACGATGGAATATCCCGAACTCCTGGACGCTGCTGCCGGTGCGGCAACTGCAGCTGAGCGGACGCTCTACGTTGCAGCTTTTGCCGTCTCATACTATTCATACAATCGTGTGAAGGAACGCGCGGTGCGGAAGCCGTTTAACCCGATGCTGGGTGAGACATTCGAGCTTGTTCGCGAGGATCTAGGATTTAGATTCCTGGCAGAGAAGGTCAGTCATCATCCAGTGCGCATGGCGTGCCAAGCAGAGAGTCTGAACAACGGCGGCTGGTGCTATACACAGTCACCGAAGCCGGAGCAGAAGTTCTGGGGCAAGTCAGTCGAACTCAACACCGAAGGCAGAGCTCGGGTTGTCCTATTCGACTCTGGCGATCGTTTCTCTTGGAGTCAGGCAACATGCTTCTTGCGAAATGTGATCGCAGGCGAGAAGTATGTGGAGCCGGTGCAGACCATGACCATTCAGAACGAGACCAGCGGTCTACGTGCTGTGGTGTCATTCAAGTCTGGCGGCATGTTCTCCGGTCGAAGCGAAGATGTTACAGTGCAACTCTTCGAAGGAGAATCGCCTTTGCCAATCGGACTAGAGGGCAAGTGGACAGACTCACTGAAGCGTTCCGACTCTGGTGAGACTATCTGGAGAGTGGGTTCGCTTGTGCCCAATGCCGGAAAAGTGTATGGCTTCACTACGTTCGCGGCGGCGCTGAACGAGATCACCGAGATCGAATCAGATCATTTACCTCCGACTGACTCTCGACTACGACCTGATCAGCAGGCTCTGGAAAGCGGCGAGATCGACAAAGCCGAAGGACTGAAAGCCCGTCTGGAAGAACGTCAACGTGCTCGTCGAAAGGTGCTGGAAAGTCATGGGCAGACCTGGAAGCCACAATTCTTCGACAAGGTCGAGACCAACGAAGGCGAAGAAGAAGTGTGGGTATTGAAGGAGCAAGGCGGGTACTGGGACAAACGTGCTGCCAATGACTGGAAGGGTGTCCAGCAGGTATTCGAGCTATAGAGCAAGAGGGTATCGAGCACAGGTTGAGCGAGGTTTTGGATGGAGATAGGCTAGTCATGAAGAGATACTGTTGTGATGGAGCATTAGGGAATCCACTTGATCGCTGGACGAGCATAGATGCAACCCATCCTCATTCATTCATTGCTGTGTCTCGCCAGAAGTCTAGCCTAGCTGGTATAGATGATGTCAGAAAGAGCACGGACCTGTACTGAAACTTTCACAAGATGGATCCCTCACTGCACTCCTGACTTGAATCACTTTCTGAACGCGTCTGTACCAAGGTCATGGGCTTTCTCCAAACCCCCCAGATCGTTCGCAGAGTCGCATTCGGAGCCTTGTTCATCTTCTTTGCACCTACAGTCGGGGCGAGACTTTACAGCGCATACACACAAGTCGAAATCAGCAAGGCCAGACGCGACGCAGAGTTGGAGCGCATCAGAAGGGAGAAGATCGAGGGTAGCTGAGCGGAGAGCCTAAGGATTTAGTGGCAGGCAAGGTAAGTGAATGTTGCTGCTCATGTGCGGCGTGCCTGCCTGCCTTGCGCCATTAAGGTTTGTCAGGCGGAAGGTGGGGCACGTGCTCCCTGCTGAGATGACCCAAGTCCGATTCCACTTCCGAATCTTCGACAAACATCTACATTCCACTCGAGCCTTTTGCGACTGACTGAGACTGGCGTTAGATCTTGGGAAAGGCTGCGAGAATACCATCGCCCACGCCCAAGCCTCAACAGCCGCACTTACCACGCTCCACTCGGTTCGCCGCCAAGATGTTGAAGATATGGAGTATGAAGCAGCAGCAGCAAAAGAATGACGCTGCTGCTGGCGCATCCAAGAAGAAGAAAGTCACAGCCGCTCAGTTGCGTGTACAGAAAGGTGAGCTGCGATCCCCGAAAGCACAATCGTACAGGACAATCACTAACATGTCTTGCCCGCAGATCTCTCAGAACTCGCCCTCGGCTCAACAATGAAGACCGTCTTCGAAAACCCCGACGATATCCTCAACTTCACCCTCATCCTCACACCCGACGAAGGCCTCTACAAAGGTGGCGTCTTCAACTTCTCCTTCGCCATCACCCAGAACTTCCCCCATGAGCCACCGAAAGTCAAATGCAAAGAGAAGATCTATCATCCAAACATCGACCTGGAGGGCAACGTGTGCTTGAACATTCTTCGAGAAGACTGGAAGCCTGTGCTTAACCTGAATGCGGTTATCGTTGGGCTGCAGTTCTTGTTCTTGGAGCCTAACGCGAGTGATCCTCTCAACAAAGAGGCGGCGAATGATCTTATGAGTGATCGCGATAGGTTCAAGAGGAATGTGAGGAGTGCCATGGCTGGTGGCAACGTGAAGGGTGAGAGCTTTGATCGGGTGATGAAATAGGAGGAGAGGGATAGACCAACCACACAGTCTAGTGGCAGAGAGCATTTCTGACCCTGCTCGTGCCGCGATGGCTTTGATACTGGCTAGCAAGAGGCCGGGGTCTGTGGGTTGCGCAGTCCTTGCGCATACCTATTGCTGCGGCTTCAAGGCGCTTTTGGTTTTGCGTACGATACCCACGAATGGCGGAGCGACCGCTCGATACACGATTTCCTTGATGTCTCTTAGCGACCCACTCTCTCCCAAACCTCGGCATTCCCTTCCCGATTTGGTCACCCATCGAGCATCAGCGTGGAGCAGCAGCGACGGAGCGCGTTTGCAGAATGGATGCAAGGAATTCAAATAGCAAGATACCACCACTCAAACGACACGACACCATTGAAGGCGACACACTCACAGCGCGGGGCTCCCACCAGGAGTAGCAGGAGGTGGTGCATTATTCCAGAGTTGTTACGGAAGGCACTATGCTGCATACAGCGTCGGCGGAATCATTCAGTCATGAGCGAGGGAAACACGAAGACATGCGAACAGAGCTAGATTTAGATGCTCAATCCTTCACCTTAGTACTAACTCTTGCCTCTCTCTCTCTCTCTCATATGCGTTCTCATGTGACTAGCACAATGTTCTCTCTAATCTGCGCATGCGCAGCTTTCATTCACCACTGTCGTATATATATCTCACTCGATCACTAACTAAATCTACATCCAACGCCCATTCCCTCCCTCCCTCCCTCCCTCATATTCATATGCATCCTCACAACTCCTCAAACGCTCTCACATTATACAAATGCCGATCCGTCGTCTCCAAAACCTCTAATTCCGCCCCAACCGCAATCTTGCCCTCACTCTTCGGGAGACACATCATGCCAAAACAAGGCTTCCACTTGGCCGGACCCCCCTCATCAACCCTCCGAAACTCCATCAACGTATCCCAAGGCTGTGTGGGATTCTTCTCCGCAGTCTCAGGGTTCACGTTCGGCACCTGACATCTCGCACAGCGCGCCACGACGTCGAGATCGATTTTATACAAAGCTTCTTCGGCCGGGATGGACGTGTTGATGCGGATGCGCTTCCAGGTGTCTTCTTCCCAAGGATGGGAGTCTCGGCCGCGGATGATGATGTTGGGACGGAAACGTTCGATTGTCAGCGCGTCTTCGGTTTCTGAGGGGAGATGGAGGCGTTTGTTGAGGTCTTTGAGGGATGCCTCGGAAGCGATTTGTAGGGACATGACGTCTGCGAAATGGTGGGGGGTTTCTTGGCCGTAGAGTTCTTTGCGGCCGTTGATGGCTACCATGCGGGACGTGGGACCTTTGTAGACTAGTGCGACGGGTTTGGAGAAGAAGTCGGTGAAGATGGAATTGATTTCGTCGGAGTAGAGGTAGCCGTCTGTGTCTTGGTCCCAAATGTTGACGGTTTCCAACGTTGTGTTCTTTTGGAGCCAGGTTTGGGTAGGGAAGGCGGGGACGACGACGCGACTGTCGCGGCCGTGAATGGAGATTTCGAGCATTTGTTGACCTTTGAACTCGTCTTTGCCTTCGATTATGTTGGTGTCGATTAGTGTCATGGACGGGTCGCCACGGATTGTGAGGAATTTCTTGTCGGCTTTGTTAACGAACATCCAGTTTCGGTCAAGGGTGAGGCCGGATTTTTTGAGGCGTGTTGAGTCGATTTCAATTCCGCGGCAGGACTTGATGGGGTAGATGCGGAGGGAGATTACTTGGCTGGGTGGCGGGATGGGAGGGCGGTTCTTCGAGTCTACCACTCCTTGACCTGTGGCGATGGCAGCGTTGATTTTGTCCTTCGTGGGGTCGACTGTGTTGCCCATGTTGGTGTATAAGCCAACAGATACTATGCCGATGACCACCGCGATGAGCAGAAGCCCCGACGTCTCGACTTTGCCATCCCAGAATCGTGGATTTCGCAGGAGCTCCCGAATGTGCTCTACGAAGCGCTCAAACATCTTGACGGTGGAATGAATGTCTATTGATGGAAGCCTCTTGGACAATCGAGCGCGAGGAAAGGCGTCGGTATACCGGGCGGTATTCTTATGAGTTTTCCCGACACCCGCCTTCTAAGCACATTACCGCATGCGGTAGCTCGCGCCGAGCGTTGGATGCAATCCTGCGAAAGATTCAATACGCTCGCTCCCCAGCGAGAGAAATGCTTCTCCGGTGTCGAGCGCCGCCTTTGTTCATGTGATATGTCAGCACAGACGTGGAGTTGCAGTGAAGGAAAGGGATGGAGATGGGACGTGAGGTGAGGAGCCCGAGACATTGGAAGTCTTGGCAAACACAATTCCGTTATAACAACCTTATTTCATCCAAGGTCGTGTACCTCCTCTCCTTAATACGATGAAGCGGACGAGAAAATCATCGCTGCGTAGTATAAGGCAACATCGACTAAGCCGAGAAGATATGTAGATAATGCTTACTTTCTTCTAAAGCAAGTACCTAGAAGTCGAGTTTGCGGAATCCGAGCACTCTATAGCGCTATTCTATCTCGCTATTTTCGAGCAAGTATAACGTCTAGCTAAAGAAAAAAGTAGTCTTATATATTTTAAGTTGTTTATAGCTCTCTTAAACAACAATAAAACCCCTTAACTAATACCTACCTACTATCTAAAATACTAGATAAAGACTCTGCCCCCTCCCCTAGCTCTAAGTCTTCCTAATCCGCTATAGCTAAACCGACCTTCCCCTCGTACCTCGTAGCGAGCAACAAATCCTTACTATAGGAAACCTCGTATATAGAAAAGGAAAACTTATCGATCCCTTCCTAAATCGTAAAAGTATATATTTTCGCTATAAACGAAAGCTATACTAGGTTTTCGGAGTTACGTAAGAATGCTAAGCCTAGTAGAGCCGCATACCGAATATTAAACTAATCTACTATGTTGTCGCATTTTTAATAGTATAGGCCTCTTATAGGTATTGTTCCTCGCTCTTTATATACTATAGTAACTCGTAAGAAGGATATAAAGCCTCCGCCTAAGCGGCGCGATAGTATTAGTACTAAAATACCTAAGAAGATAGTCTAGAAGGTAAAGTAGCTATTCGAAGGCGGTTTCTCGATAAAAGACATTTATAAGAAGAGCGGCGTAGTAGTATCGACGCTATATCGCTAGCGCGTTAATTATAACTTATTTAGCGAGTGTTACTACCCTACTCGAGGCAAGCTAGGTCTACAAATAAAGCTAATAGCGGAGATACGAGAGGTAAGCGATAGACGGTATAAGGTAATATTTCTGCTAAGTTGTTAGTAGTAGCTCGAAGAATACCTATACGACCGTCTAGAGGCCTATCTCGAGGAGATATATATCGAATTATACGATACCTTCGGAGTCTAAGTCGCGCTTAGCACTGTCTACGATTGCCTAACTAAAGTAATAAAATAGAGTCGCAAAGCAAGCCGAAAAGTAGCCTCTAAGCGTAATACGTTAAATAGGGCGGTTTAGAGTAAGAAGTGTAAGAGTTAGCCTATCGAGAAGTTAGTCTTCTTAGACGAGATAGTATTAAATAAGAAGACTACTTACCGCAAATATAGCTAGTCGCTATTAAACGTAGATTATTACGACTTCTAGTATATATAGCGGCAGAAGAGGTTGTTAGTATTGCTAGCCTTAACGATAAATAGATATCTTCCTTATATACTCTATATCGAAGGAGCTATAGATTAAGTTATATTCGACGACTAGCTCGAGAATTAGGTTCTACCGCTTCTTAAAGGTCTTAAGATAATCTTTATAATAGACAACTACAGTATTTATTATAGCGACAACGTTAAAGATATTATTACTATAGCCGGCTATAAACTCGAGTATTTGCCGCTATACTTACTAGATCTAAACCTAATAGAACAGACCTTTAACGTACTTAAAATATAGATAAAGAAGAATAAGGAGCGATAGAAAGAATACGCTAACTTTGCTAACTTCCTTATATAGGCTTTAGACTATATTGTAGGCTTAGATATGCGCAAGCTCTTCGAATATAGCGGTTATAACGTTAATAGAGTTGAGCTAGATTAGATGTTACTCGGCTTCGATACTCTACTAGTATAGTACTATACTACGTTTATAATATTGTACAAAAATTAACAAGCTCCTTAAGAATATATATATAAAGCTCCTTGTTTATTTTTATACTATAATATTGCGATGTAGTAGTAAAAGAAAGCGAGGGAGGCTACTAGATATATATACGGGTAGTTCCGCTTTTTATACAAAGCAAATTGCGGAGATTCCGGAAGAGCTTCTCGTAGCTAGCAACTATAATTAATACACTTCTAGCGGAGGAATAATTAAGTAACTAAGCTGTCTATTTGCTAGTAAACTACTTATTAATCTTATAGTAAAAGTACGTCCTTTACTCCGTTATAAATGTCGTTATTATTAGTATAGGCTACTATCTGCTCTACTTAGCTAACTTCTGCTTCTAAAAGCGCTTAAGGCTGTCTCTTATTAACCTATAGTCGCCTTTAAAGAAGCCTAACTCCTTCTACGCCTTTATCGATAGCTTATAGATCTAATCGCAATTATATCGCTCCTTTACGAAGTGATCTTCTATCTTTACAAGCTATTTACTGTCTTCCGCCTTTAACTATTCCGGCTACTTTGCTACCTACTTAAAGAACTATCGAAGAAGGCTTCTTAGCGGTGTTCCAAGTATTATAGCAACTCTCGAAGGTATAGGTAATTCTTCCTTAGGTTAAGAAGTAGAAGCAGAGGTAGAAGCGGAAGCGGAAGTTGTCTTAATTAGCTTCTATAAAGCTATATTAGAGGCGAGAGTCTAGGCTATCTTAAACAGCTTAGATAGATTAGCTAGCGTAGAGTAACTACGATAAGGAGTATATAGATTAGGAGGTTGTAGTATAGTAATGCCTATTACCTTCCATTTCTTCCTTTAAGCTTCTTCCTTTATATTCTTAGTAAAGGTCTTTATTTGATTAATAGCCTTCTATAGCGGGTTCTTCGAGTCTACCCCTTCTTTACCCTTATTATAGGCGTTACTCTAGAGCGTAAATAAGACCTATAAAAGCTAGAGGTAATGCTTTAGAATATCTAGCAGGTCCGGAGGTAGATAGCACTATTTATTAATGTTCTTACAGCTAATAGTAAAGCAAGTGTTGTTACCCTTAATCTTAGCTATCCGATTGCTATAGAGCGAGCGCTGTTCTATAATAAAGGCTTTACTCTAGATAAGCTATTAATCGTTAGGTTTCAACTTGCTAACCTTCGGTAGAGCGATAGGCGCTTCCTTTACGGCTGTTCTAAACTTAATGTTAATCTTAATGTCCTTCTTATTCTTACTATTCTACTTAATAGCCCTCTTAAGAGCCTTCTTATAATTATCCGCTATAAGAAGTTAGTATAAAGTATACCTATAGCTCTAGCTAAGAGCCTTACCTAACTTAAAGGTTTAATAGAGCTAGTCGCTCTTATTTACTCTAGTGCCTTTATAACTAATAACTAGTAGTCGACTGCTAATAAACAACCCTTTACGGCGCGCCTTATTAACAGCCTATTAGAAAGCTCTATTACTATATTTAGTCGAGAGGCCGATACGCTTAAAGTTGTCGCTTAAGAGCGGCGCCTTCTAATTGCCTTAGAAGAGGCGCTAGGCCTATAAGTATTGCAATTCTTCTTTACTACTATTTGTCTTAATATTATCTTCTAACTTCTATACGCTATTAACGAATCTACCTAGTAGAGGCTTAGCGGCTAGTATCTTCTAAGCTAACTTCTTCGAAGGTAAGAAGGCCGCAAGGCGCGTTAAATCGCCCTTAATAACCTTAACTTCTTTACTAATAGCAGTCGCGGCATTATTATTATATAGTATATTCTATAGCTTCTACGCCTCCGGATCGTTCGCGCGTATATCTATTAACTTCTTTACCGCCGTAGACCTTATATTCTTCTTTAGTAGCGACTCGCGCCTTTTAATAGCTTCCTTATACGCTAGCAAGTCTTTCTTAACTAGTTTCCTCGATCGCGAGGCGCGTATTAGCGGCATCTCGAAATACTACTTTACGAAGTCGCTAGCGGTATATAGGAAGAGCGTTAATACTAGTTCTAGCGATAGGAGGAGGATAATAGCTATAATAGCGGTATAAGGGTACGATTTAAAGTATATAGTAGTAGAAGAGGAGCAATCTACCTAGTAAACTATATAGACAACTGCTAAGGCTCTGCTATTCTTAGCATTCTTAGGTAACCCCGAAAACCTAGTAAGGACGTATAAACTTTTTATCGAGAAAGACGGAGGATAGGTATAAGGTAGGTAAGTAGTAATAGAACTATATCGAAAAAAAAAAGAAAAAAATAGGGGAGATCTTATATAGATCCTAAGAGTTAACTTCTAATAGATAGCCGATACGAAGGTCTCTACTGTAAGGCGGAAGCCGAGGAGGCTTGGCGCCAAGCACGTAGCGACCCTAGCCTATAAGTGCGCCCGAGATCTACGCTTAGTAAGCGCGGATACTTCCGATCTTTTGTCGCGGCGTAAGACGCTAGTAAACGGGCGCACTAGTGCAGCGGTCTGACACAGTATCCGCGCTTTACGGTCTGCAGGTTAAGGTCGCGCGTTCGATTCTCGGCGTACGTTCTTAGCCGACCAGGCTGATCCTTGGCAGACGCGGCTTCGGAGGTGCCTGATTGCCTCAGGCGCGCGACTCGGCTGCAGGCGCACCTGCCTTGGAGGGGTCAGCTTATAGGCTTGTTTGTCAGATTGCGACGCAATTCTGATTGGATGCTTAGCTGCACGTTCGGGTGCGGGGCATCAGATTTCATTGGCTCGGCTGTACGTTCGGGTGCGGGGCATTAGAAGATTTCATTGGCTGCTCGGCTGCACGTGCGGGTGCGGGGTATGCCAAGGCTGACTGGCTGCAGGGCCGCAGCCAAAGAAAAGGGAAGCGCGTGTAAGGCGGAAGCCGAGGAGGCTTGGCGCCAAGCACGTAGCGACCCTAGCCTATAAGTGCGCCCGAGATCCACGCTTAGTAAGCGCGGATACTTCCGATCTTTTGTCGCGGCGTAAGACGCTAGTAAACGGGCGCACTAATGCAGCGGTCTGACACAAGTAAACGGGCGCACTAGTGCAGCGGTCTGACATCTACCCTCCGCTCCTCCTACGGCCTCGATATCGACATCGACAAACTAAACCCTAGGATATCTAGCGCGACGGCCGCGAAGACGGCGAATCTCCCCTAATAAGTTAGCGACTATACGGAATCGATTCGTTAATTTCCGAGATTTAGGAACCTCTTCATGACTACCGAGAAGCCGAAAGATGTTATTATTGTTGCGCATGGACATTTGACTCGGGCTTTTGCGGAACGTTGGTTGGGGATTGGGTTTCCTTTGGAGGAGGGGAGGAGGGAGGAATGAGGAGTTTTGTAGTTTGTGTTTGATCGATAGGGGTTGTAGGTTAGGGAGTTAAGAAGGAAGAAAATCGATCATGCCCTTTCATCCTCCTCGTATCCGCCGAACTCCGCCAAGCTTTTCGCATGCAGAAACCAGGAGTCAGGACAGACATTCTGAATCGCGCCGGCCGCAGGGAAGATGTCTGTCAATAACGTGTTTGCTCGACAACTTGCCGACTAGCCGCACCATATATGCTAAAAAGATCGATCTCTCTCTCTCTCTCTCTCTCTCTCTCTCTATCGCGCAAGAAAATGAACGTCCTCGAACCTCATCCACCACATGGCGATATGCTACGCTCCAAACGCCACGCTGATCAATCTCACAACACACACTCACTCTGACCACAAATGTTTTCAAAGTCAGACATTACAATACAATACATTAATGCGCCGCGCCGGATCCTGAGGTTTCGTAAGTTCCCTGCTCCAGGGAGTTTTGTTCTTCGTGACTTCGTTTCGTAATGTGTAAAGGCTTTCTACCTTATTCTTTTCTGCCGTGGGTATCTTCAGTATGCTATAGCCAAATCGCCATTGCTAAGGATCCGAGAGCGATTAAAGCTCCGGTAAATGGAATGAATGTAGATGGTGGCGCGCCGTTAGATGAGCTGGAGCCTTCTGCGCTGGTAGGTGATGCAGTGGTGGAAGGCGATGCGCCCGCGGTCGCTGCGGTACCATGTGTGAAGGATGCGACAGTCGTGCTGGTTGCTGCCGCTGGGAAGAGAGTTTCATAGATAGTGGTGATTGGTTGGCCATTGGAGCCAACCTCGACGATCTCCAGGAGTGTCGCGTGAGGTGACAGACTGATGATATACGTGTGTCCGTCAATCGTGACGGTCTCCATGTCGTCCGGCGTCAAGGTTTCTCCATTGATGATATATGTAGCACCATTATTGATTGCCGTGAACGTCTCTCCGCCAATAGTCAAGATCGGAGCTGCCGTAGGCTTGACGCCGTATGCCCCGTCGATTTGCGATATCGTCGAGCTTCCGGCTGCAGCCAACATGATAGCTGTGCCTCCTGGCAGGAGGGATATCGTCTCTCCACCGACTGTGATGGTACCTCCGATGGTAAGGGTCTGTCCGTCAATGACATAAGTCGCGCCAGAACCAGAATCGTAGTCAATAGCGGTGTAAGTGTGGCCGTGAATTGTCAAGATTGGAGCACCGCCTGGTGCTGCGCCTACCATGCCCATATATGACGTTGCAGTGTGGCCGTTAGCGATGCTTACTAGCTGATTCGCATCATTGTTCATAGAGATGGTCTCTAATCCATTGGGTCCGTTGATAGTGATGGCGCCACCCGGTGTCAGTGTCTGGCCTGAGATGATATATGTCGCCCCGCCATTTGCCGAATACATTCTCCCATCCACCGTCAGCATAGGAGGTGCTGTGATGGCAGGAGGCGAGAGCTGGGAGCCAAGCCCGTTAAATGCTACTCGTGTTGCGTCTGGCGCTAGGCTGATCGTGGTACCTTGCACGACGACTTGCCCTCCTGGAGTCAAGACCGATCCGCCGATGTTGAATTGAGTAGCCGCATTGGCTGTGAATACCCGCGATCCCACGGTGATCAGCGGGATATTGGCGACCGCTCCTGGGTTTGTAGGCGAGGAAAGTTGCGCAGCAGTGCCGTCAACCATAATGGCAGTACCGCCAAGAGCAATGGAGACCTCTTGTCCGCCAAGCGTGATAGGTGCGCCACCTGCTGATGCCGTCTGGCCAGATATGACAAAAGCACCTCGTCCAACGTTGATGGCTGTAACCATCGAAGTGCCGACGCTGAAGACTGGGTTCTGTCCAGGTTGAACTATTGGACCAGAGCCAGAGCCAGAGCCAGAAGCAGGGCGAGTAAGTCCACCTATGCCGGATGCAATGGCAGCCGCAGTCGGATTTGCGAAAGTCTGCTCAGCATTGCTCAAGACCTGGGCGGCGTTTGTAGGTTTTGCAGGCTGAGCAGCAGCACTGATGATGGCCGAGAGAACAGGTCCGACATTGTTTGCACCTCCCGGGGTAGGATTGTTCACTCTGGACGCGGTCACAGTAATTCCACTGAAGACGGCCGTCACCACCTTGTTCGTCGCGGTCGGGTCTTGAGGAATCAGCAGATTCAGATCGCTGCTCTCGATGTGTGCAGTGAATAGAACGGGTGTCAGTGGGCGCCGTGTGGTCGTTGGTGGTGCCACAACACTGCCTCTGGCGGGACCTGTCTTGGTCGGGATGATCAATGCAGTATCAGAGGATTCGACGTGTGCAGTAAAGGGAGCCCAGATGATGCCCGTATCAGTCGGAGTAGTCTCCACAAGGGACAAGCCGGATGGCAAAGTAGGCGTGGGTGTATCAAGCGAGAGGACAGACTGTGGTATGCCAGCTGGTGTGGCTACAGCCGCTGCGAGGACCTTTTGCACCACTATCACCACGGTCGGCTCGGCGTCGAAGGTGCCCACCGACACGCTTGACAGTGGTAGGCCAGAATCGTCTTCCACTGCTTGCAATACTGCGGCGTGTATTTTGCCCTTGACCGACATCGCATTTACATGTGCACCTTCCTCGTATTCGAAGCTCAATGGCTCCGAGAGCTGGTGCACGGTCGTGGTCGTCTCGCAGCGCACTGTGCCATTGTACGCGCCGGCCCGAGGTTTCTTGCTGATGATCTCGACTTGACTGAAATGCACCACTGGAGTTCCTTGAGCGACTGTGTTGGAGCTCGCAATGGTCAGCGCTGCAGGGGTGGGAGTCACCACGACGTCTGGGATTGAGCCCTTGGAAGTTGTTTGATTCACAGGAATGTATGCTGTCTGCTCCACACTTGTTGTCGCTGCTGCACGTGGGGTCGGAGTGTCCCAGCAGGAGTACTCCAGCATGGTCGAGTTGAGTGCAGTGTTGAAGGCTGTCAGCGATATACACGACGGAGCTTCCACGGCTGCTGTGATGTTGAGAGTGTCGCTCGCGGGAAGCAGGGTCCATGCGGTCGAGGTGTCATTGTGGTTGTACTGAATGACGAATGTTGAGTCGACGTGCGTGTAGGTCTCGGGGTACCAGTAGTCGAGTGATGCATTAGCGATGTTCAAGGTGGCGCCTCCACAAGTTGCGTTTGTTGGGTATGGCAGTGGTGGATTGAACGAGGGTGGTGTGGCCGGTGGCAGGTGTGCTGAGGGCTTCGGAGGTGATGATATGTAGGTGGGAGGGCGGTAGCTAAAGATTGCAGTTGGTGCGCCGGGGCTGCTACTGCTCGGCGCATGGACGGAGGGATTGGCAGGCGGCGGCGACGAAGAAGGCGGGTCGATGATGGTTCGGTTGCTATATGGTCTTTGGCGTCGGAGCGGCGCTGGAGGGAGGTCGAGGTCGTGTGCAGCGCTTGTGCCTGCCCAGACCAAGACGAGCACGAGCTTTGCGGCGAAAGGCAGCATGACGGCCTCACTATACAGCAGGCGCAGAAACGACAAAGAGCGAATGGCATGGCATGGCAGGGCAGGGCTCGGGGAAGGGAAGGGAAGGGAGAGACGAGAGAAGCAGCGGCAGGTCAGGTCGTTAGAAAGCAAAGCATCGCATCGCACACAGGCCTTCGCTGTTGAGGATGATGGCAGGCATGATGCAGGACATTCGCGTGCGTGCTCTAGTTCTACCACTTCGCTTCCCCGAACGTGGCTGTCTGAAGTCCCACTTATTGCGGGCCGATTTTGATATCCTCTCCTTGCTTGGCAATCGAGTCATCCGCAATGGGAAGTACAGGTAGCACAGAGAGTCAGCAGAGCGATGTCAGAAAGAAGAATGCGAGCCGCGGCAAAGGAGTGGAGTTAGTAAGGCCTTGAATACCTCGCGTTGTCTTGTCTATAAGACGGTTATCTACTACAAGACGGCAGTTATAAGGTTGTTGTCTTATAATAGCGTATCTTATGTATCTTATAGGTAACTAAGCTATCTTATCTATAATTAAACGCTTAGTATTCCTTTACTATCTTACTATTGCTAATTCCTTACTCTTCTATATAGTATACTATAGATTAAATCGCTTATAACTATCTAGTATTATTACTATCGGTTTCGATAGTACTTAAGACCGTACGGTTAATTATTAATAGAGGGAAACGTCCGAGGTTGTTATAAGTAAGTAACGCGTACGTAGATACTAGATATAAGACTTAATAGGTTCGATAAAGAGCTAAGTCTATCTACGTAAATCCGAATAGTTTTATATAGTACGCTAAGCGCTAAGTAGTAGGTTAGAGTCGCGTAGGCCGAATACCTAAGGCTAGCGCTTTCTACCTAGGGCGTAGCCCTTTATAGAGGTATAGGCTAAAGAATATAATAACGAGTCGATAGTAGTACTAGAGTTAGGTTATTACTAACTTATTAGTAGACGTAGATAATACTTCTTAGAAGCTTTTAGATATCTTTGTAGTTTATAGCTTTTCGAATAGTAGTACTAACTATTATCTCTTTTAGCTATCTACTAGTATTAATACTAGTAATAGATCGGTTTAGTAGCTTTACGAGGTTAGTAATAGTAGTACTAATAACGTTCTTACTATATTAGTAGCGCTTAGTAGGCTCTTCCTTTGCCGCCGCTATCTTCTTTTTCTTTAATAAAGTCGTAACTGCCTATTTCTATAGTAAAGAAAAACCTCGCTTTCTACTACTTATACTACTATTATTAGTACTAGCCGACTATAGACTTAGCGCTATAGAAGAACTATACTCTTTATGATTAGAGATAGGCTAATAATTAAGCAGTCTTATAGACTATAACGATAAAACGCTCAATTAAAGGTATTCAATCCGTCTTATAGTAGACCCACTTGTCCCATAGAAAAGTGGCCTGTCTTGTCTGTGGTTGACCGCGAGGTATTCAGGACCCGATGAGAGAGTTTTAGTGTGCCGCTGGCTGAACAATCCTTCGTGCTTCGCCGATGGCTTGCCTTGCGACACCCATCGTCCGTCCGTCCGCTACTGCTGTAGATAACGGTACGGATACGGATAGCAGTTGCAGATTTGGTGCAGCGTACTGTGCTCCGGAGCAGCATTGCATCGCCACGTAGTACCATACCTGTACCCGTACTCCCACACACGAGCCGCATCGCATCGCATCGCATCGCATCGCAGCTCGCCTCGCCTCGCCAAGCATGGGCAAGCGAGAGCACCGGTGAAGAAGGCAACAGAGTCGTCGTGATCCTGTTCGGGAGGTAACTCCTTCTCCACCGAAGCGGCCTGCCAGTTGCGCCTGAGTGTGTGTGCCTGTGCCTGTGCCTGTGCCTGTGTGCCTCCGCCTGTTCTCTCACAATCCTCTGCTCTGCCATCCATCGCTCACTGTCCCACTCCGCCCTGCTGCTTCCAATCCATCCCCATGCCTCCCTCCTCGACCTTCCTCGCCCGCTGCCTTCTCCTGCCCACTCCGCTGCTGTCGTACATGCTCCACGTGAGTGCACTCCGCTTTATCGAGCCGCGCCACCACGACACCACCTCCGCCTCCGCCTCCACCTCCACCTCCATCCCCGCCCCCATCTCCATCAATCCAGACCAGAATTGGGACGGTATTGATGGCCCCTGGAACTCCTTCACTCTGCGCGTCGGCACTCCTGAGCAGACGGTGCGCACATTGCTCTCCTTCGCCTCCTACCAGACCTGGGTAGTGTTGCCGGAAGGATGTCAGGCGGCCGCGTCGCAAGCCGCATGCGCCGAGTCGAGAGGGAGTTTGTTCTACAAGAACGAATCGTCAACGTGGGATGAGCAGGGTATCTACGATTTGTGGATAGAGAAGAACCTGGACTACAACGGCAATGCCATCTACGGCTACGACACAGTGGCACTCGGTGGCATAGGCGAAGGCGGCCCAATCTTGAAAAACACCACCGTTGGAGCTTTAGCCGTCGAGGACTTCTACCTGGGAGTACTCGGTGTCAACCCCAAGCCAACAAACTTCACCACCTTCAACCATGGCTCGCCAAGCTACATGACCCTGCTCAAGGAACAAAATTACATCCCGAGTCTCTCTTTTGGATACACCGCTGGAGCTCAGTACCGATTCACTGGCGTTCTTGCCTCATTAACGCTGGGAGGCTACGACAGCAATCGCTTCATCGACAACAATGTCACCTTTCGATTCGCCGCCGATAATGAGCGCGACATTGTCGTGGCTATACAGGACCTTACCACACCCTCGCAGATCTCCTCCAATCCCACAGCTACCAAGCTGCTGCCCTCCCCGGTCTATGCATACATCGACAGCACCGTACCTGGAATCTGGCTTCCCATAGAAGCCTGCAGAGCATTTGAGCTCGAGTTTGGTCTCGTGTTCGACAACGACACACAGCTTTACCTTGTCAATGATACCCTGCACGATTCTCTCTTGGACCGGGATGCTAACGTCACATTTACGCTCGCCCAAGCTTTCACCGGTGGCCCGACAGTACAAATCACGCTGCCATATGCGGCCTTCGACCTGACCGCGAAGCCTCCGTTCCAAGGACCGGACTCCTCGAGCGCTGTTTCAAATGACACCAATTACTTTCCCCTTTTCCGCGCTCAGAATGACACCCAATACACCCTGGGAAGGGCGTTCATGCAAGAAGCATACATCTCTGTTGATTGGGAGTCTGCAATATTCAACGTGTCTCAAGTTGCATGGACCGAGAATGCCGAAAAACATCTGGTTCCCATCATTCCAAGCTCGGAAAGTCCTGGGGCACGATCGAGCGCTTCTGGAGACGACCATAAATCCAGCCGTCTGATGCCCGGTGCCATTGCCGGCATAGCTGTAGGCGCAGTGGCCGTACTTGCGCTCCTTGGAATCCTGCTCATGTTCTACTTCCGAAAGAAGAGGCAGGCTGCAGTTAAGCGCATTGAGAGTGAGAAGCTATCGGATGACGCGTCAACATCCGCAGCTGCAACGGTGCTCAGCGGGGAGCGGAACAGTGCTTATCAGAAAGCGGAACTGGAAGGATCCTCTACACCCTCAGGACCGTTCAGCGACCGCCATAGATTGACGTCTTCGACAAATGGCTCCGTCAGTGAAGACACCCCTCACTCGATGACCGTATCTTATAATCCTGGTTATTACATGACGACTGCCGGCGCATCAACCCCTTCGTCGCCATCTGCAGCGGAAGGAACTCATTCGAGAACGCAGAGTGGCAGCTTCTCCCTCATGTCGCCCTTATCTGCAACTGCCAGCGAGGCTGACAGTAAAGAGCGGAAAGTTTACGAAATGCCCGGAGACATGCCTGCCATTCGTGAGAAGGATGGCCGAGCACTGAGCGAAAAGGAGGCGATTCAACGTCGCGAGCAGCTCTACAATGGAATCGTCTCGACAACCCCAACATCATCGGAGCACCCTCGAGAAGGACTCCGCGAGCCCAGACGTGTGAATCCCGAGGAGATCGTGCAAAGAAGCATCGACCCCGAACCTCGAGACACGGCCCTTCATCGAAGATTTTCTTTTGAACGTCAACCTGGAAGCACAGAGGAGCTCTACGACTAATGTTTTTTTTCTTTCTTCTTTTGGCTTCCATGTTTGTATCTTACTTTCCAGCAGCGCGGCGTTGGTGGAATGTGATAGGAATGGGACAACAGCACAAACTAGCGTTTTCATCTCGGATGGGGACAGATTCATTAATCGTCAGGTTCATAGTTACGACATATCAAGATCAGACAGAGCCCAAGAATTTGGCATTATGACTTACCGAAAAACGTCCAGCAAGGTAACGGACTATTCCCCATCTCGTCATTTTCCAATCAACACTCAGTGTAAGGAGAAATGGAAGTCATGATGAGTGAGTGAACGACACAGGTCGTATATACATGGCTGATGGCATTGACAGCGCCTGAAAGCGCAGGAATAACCAATCCTTGGAGTAGGATGGAGAACGCCAGTCTATGGTTTCTATAATACAACTCCTTCCTTCATTCCTTGCCCTTTCCCATCATGTAGACAGGCATGTATATCACTTACCCAAGAACGCCACGCCGGCATTCTGATGCCAGTTCCAAAAGCTTTCTATCTAATAAAAGCTGTTCCGATCCCGATGGCTCCTTACAGGTACATAAGCAGCAGGCGAAGAGCGGTGCCTGCTGCTTCCAATATCGATACTTGAAATTTCTCGACTCAATTCATCCCCATTACTTCCTCCTGGCGAATGCGAGAGAGGGACTTTGGGTGGGATGCTGGGCGGCCCATATCCTCCTCCTCCAGGGCTCGTCTCCCCGAAACCTCGAGAATACTGCTGTCGCTGCTCGTACGGATTCGGGACTGGATTAAAGTTCTCGTGGGTCCGCAGAGGCTCCATGGCCGAGCTTGTGGAAGGCGGCTTCTTGAAGAGCTTGTTCCTGGCAGGCTGAGGCTCCGCAGTCGGCATGGGCGAAGACTTGTTTCGGAAGTTGACGACTGTGTCTTTCGACAGATGTCGTGGTCCAAAGTCTCGGTCACGACCAGTGCCATACGTCTTGGTCGGCGTCTTCTTCTTCTCGGGCTCAGGCGCCCACGAGTCGACAGGGAGATGGTCAGACGGGTCAATTTCTTGCCCGTGCCAACCGACGATGGGACCCTTCTGCGTTGCATTGGCCTCAGCGCCCGGTGCTTTCGGGTTGTGCACATCGAAACTGTCGGGCGAGAAAGGAGTGCCGGAGCCTTCTGACATGGACGGTCTAGGTGACACAGACTTTCGAGCGGGTGGGTTTCGGCTGACCACCGTTGCTCGGACTCTTTCCGGCTGTGGTGCGGGTTGTGATGTCGACAGAGGACTCTCAGAAGACGACTCAAATGCGCGGACCGGGAACTGGATGCTATACGAGTTTCTCGGCGGCGCCGAGGAAGGCGCGGACTGAGGCTGAGGTTGAGGTGACACAGCTCGTGGTTTGATAAGCGGTGCAGCATCCCGATTTCGATAGTCGCCCTGATATGGAGGCTGTCGGTCCGGCGTCTGGTACGGTGTGCGCTCTGGCCGATAAGGATTAGGACTTCTCGCTCTCGGGATTTCTTGAGAGAGTGGATGCGGTTGCCTTGAAGGCGTGTATTCCGCAATACTATTACGACCAGCGACCGGTCTGCCGTATGGTGAAGTCCTGGCATAGGGAGACGGACTGTGGCCACCTGGCGACGATAAATTTGGTGTCGAATGATGGCTGGCTTGGTAGGGCGATTGACCATATTCGTCCATCGACTGTCCTTGACTGGGAGGCGTTTGCTGAGGAGCGTAGCCTCGTTCAATACTTTGCAGGGGTGACGAGTTTGGCACGTACTGCTGTCTGGCGGCTGCAGGCGTTGCCGCATAGCTGGGCTGCTGATACATCTGGTGGTGATGTGGCGAAGCGGGATGCGACTGCGGTACAGCGGGCGAGCTATGACTGTGCATAGGTGGCGGTGGGGGCGGAGAACTGTCCAATTCATCTTCAATGTACGCCTGCTTGGCGGAGTACGCACCGCCGTACTCGTCTTCCCAGCCAGGTGGCATATCATTCCTTCTTTGCCGAGTATGCTGGTATTGGTAGTCCAGATCTGGAATCGGTTCTGGAAAGTGCGTGGAGAGCTGGTAGTCATTCTCGTAGGCCTGGGACCCATGCGCCTGCGGAGTCACAGGAGCCGAGTGGGAATGTGGAATGCCAATGTGGCTCATCGGTCTAGGTTGCAGCTGTGGTTGTGTTGAATGTCTTGGAGGTGTACATGTCTGCTGTGGACGTGATGGCTGGGTGGAGGAAGCTCTTTGTGCTCTGCTTGGGCCGAGTTGTGGCAAGAAGTCGGGTGTTTGGACAAGCGCGTGAAGGTGGTAGGCTTGAGGATCTGGGTGTTGATCGTATTCGCCATAGTATTGATCGTGAGGTGTGCCATGCTGAGCTGACGGAGCTGGAGAGCTGGCTTGAGAGCGCGCTGGTGTCTGTCCAAACAAAGTCGATTCAGAGGCAGGATAGTTGTACGTCTTCGGGCCAGTGGACGTGGCTCGCGGTAGAGTCTGATAGTCTCGAGGACCATGCTTCGCCCTGCCTGGATTTGGTCGCTCTGGGATCACCACATCTTTGGTCGCTGGGGCGTTCGGGTTCGCGGGCAAGGGCCTCCTCTTGACCTTTGGCTGCAATGTGCCATACTGCTGCTTGAGCTCGTCTGCCATCGACATCTGCTCTTCTCCCATGTCCATCGGCTTCTCTCTGGTGTCGTAGTACGTGACTTCCATGCGCACTTCTCCCGCATATTTGCCCTTGCACGTCAAGCCCTGCCACGAGTCGCCCTTTCCGCCTCCAGGAACCACGATGGTGGCCAAGTCGACCCAAGCCTCTCCGATCAGGTCGGTACGCTTGTCTTCGCTAAACACGGATATTTTGAGAGTGTAGTAGTCAGGCGAGTCGTGAACGGTGAAGCGTAGCTCTTGGTCCCTAGGGTGTCAGTCAGTACTGGTTTCACGGTAAGACGGCGGCACATGATGCTTGCCATCGCGGTGTCTGTCCTCCTCGACGATCCGTCTCCGTCTTGCGTGCCTCTTTTCCGAGTCTGGCAGCACAATAGGGATTCTGCTTGCCCATGGTTTTGCGATTGGGAAGGTTCTTGGCCCTGTCAACAACCAGGACCAGCGTGCCTATCTCAGGCCCATCGACGGTCATGTCGGCAAAGATGCCCGCAGCATGGGGGCCATTGCTGGCCATTTTCGAGCTCATTGCATTTGATCAACGATTGCGCCTTGCTCCCTTCTCCACCACGACCACTCGACGACGACAACAAACAGCAACAAGCGAAACGGTGTCGGCAAGACACTGCCGTTGGTTTCGAGGCAGACTCGTGGGTCGTGCGGGAGCCTGAGGCGTGTTTGTTGACGTATCGTCGGTGGCGCAAGGCGCGTCGTGAGCGGAAAGTTACAGAACGAGCATTGATTGCAGAGACGCGGAAACTGGCGGTTACAAACGAAGGCACAACCAACGGACAAAGTGAGAGCAAGTGTAGGAGTCGGAGGAGTCGGAGGAGTCGCTGTGTGGTGTCACTTGCAGCGAGCAGTAACAGTGAACAGTGAACAGAAGTGATCAAGTTGCGCGATGGCTGGGATGTGGCTGGTGGGTCTTGGCTGTTCACAGGTGAAGCTCAGACCGCCTTGGCACGCTATTCCCCTTCGGGGGCTATGGCAGGGAGGCATACCATCCACTTACTCGGAGTAGCTCGCAGATCCGATATACTGTATGGTACGTGCTCACAAGGCTGGGAGTTATTTGCTGGATCCGGTCCCGACTCCCGCGACTGGACTTGCTACATACCTACCTGCCCGTGGTTTCCGTATGTATGCTGCTGGACCGCATACAAATCGCAAATCTCCGCGTCAGTTTCTGTCGTTGCGCACTCCTGCATGGGCTCTCCAAGCATACTAGAACACTCCAGGCTGTCAAGCTCCCTGAGCCTCCCTCATACCTAAAATTACCTCAGTGATGTCCAAACCCCAGTAAGTAACAATCACTATCCCTATAGCAATTACTGTGGAAATTTCGAGACGTAGTAATAGTAAGTACTATTTAGTAATTACTATCTATATTGCTATTTCTCAAATCTCGCAGTAATAACAGCAATTGCTGCTATCATAGTAATCACTTTTGGCAACCACTCTGTCCCTAGGGCAATTGCTGTTTTGGTAGTTGCCAAGGTTTGGACATCACTGGATTACCTTCTACCATGAGCCAGGTGAGCCTTGCAGAGTCTAAACTGTGAGCGAGGGGCGGTCCGACCACGTCAAAAATGCTATCGTTATTAGAATCGTAGCCGACTTAATTTAATCTTCGTCTGGTCTCTGCTGTGCCGTTTGCCCAATATGGCGGTAGTGGCCCTCCTCTTCGGTGATGGCGGCACGACACTGCTTGCCGTAACTTGGACGTGGACTACGATAGCCACCATTCTCTTCGTCTTGAGGACGTGGTACGCATCACGAGAGCCATCGAAGGAACATGCCTCTTTTTTCGGCATACGATGGGACTATGCAGCAGTGACAATAGCCTATGTGAGTGAGATACCTCTTCACGACTTTCAGACTATTCGCTGACTTTCGAAGGCTGCTGCGCTCGCTTCGGAGATCACTACGACCGTTGGCTATCGGATGGCATACTGGACCAAGCCATTGTTAGAAAGCTTGAAGGAGGTCGTACCAACTATCGTGTAAGCTCACGTCTGGTCAACGCAAGGGTTATGCATACTGATCCAGCACATTCATAGGCTTTCCAATGTCGTGGCGTACGTCAGTATGGTAAAGATGAGTCGCCCAGCCGCAATATACCTCTGCTGACCCACCCTCTCAGATCTTTGGACGTTTCGCTATTATAGCGCTCTTGCTGTCCTTGCAGGGAACAGCTTACCGCCAATGGCGAATATCGCTGTGGATAGTCGGCGGTGCCCAGGCTATGGTCCTATTCTCGCATATTATCATCACCATCTGCCAATGCAATCCTCCCCGGAAGCTCTGGGACCTAGAAGTTCCAGGAAACTGCCATTTGCAAGTCTTCAGTCAGAAGTACGGTTATGCTTCCGGTTCTGTAGGCGCATTTGCCGACTTCTATCTGGCCATATATCCTGCCATCTTCATCATTGGCCCATTACTGAAGCTCCCTCCTTCACTCAGGGTCGGAGTCTGCATCATTCTTGGTGGAGGTCTGGTTGCCGGAATCGCAGGCATTGTGAAGATGACATGTATCAACGATGTCAAGCAACTGCAGAAAGACTATGCAAGATTCGTGATGTGGCAATTGTGAGTTCTCAAACCCATAGGTCAGGAAAGCACTAATGTCGTCAAGAACGGAAGCCTGGTTCATCGTCATCTTCGGAACTATACCCACAGTGAAACCCTTCTTCTTGGCCATGGGCAGAGGTCTCAAATCTATCGGCACTCGGCTCATAAGCACAGGTGGGAATTACAAGTCTTCCAAGCAACATACACAGAGCGTGGCGAGTGGTACTGGCACTTCTGGATCCAAGATGGCACACAAGCCCACTCTTCCCAGGAGTACGAGTGAGGTGGCGTTGACTGATCTTTCGGTGATGGGGAAAATGGAAAGAGATTCTTTGGATGATGAACGTAATGGGCAATGGCATGATGCGGAAAATGGCCATGCGAGCCAGAGAAGGTGGTGAACTTAGACCAAATACCCATGATGATGCTAATGTATATGACTCCGGCGCGGCTTGTGCGATGCTGAGCTGGATAATGAGGAGTGAACGATTCATGAGGATTAGAGAAGCATGGCTTCGTTCGCGCTGGACTTTTACGCTGAAAAGACCAAAATCTGCTGGTAAGCTATGCGTGGTGAATACATCGAGTACTGAATCAACACAGAAGTTTGCAAGTACACAGACCACAAGTTCCCAAATGACGCATAAGCTCAAGAACTGGTGGTCAATGCTTTCTGCATATGCTCGCGCAATTGAAGCGAGGTTAGATTAACTTCAAACTCGAAGTCCAAGCTTCTCTTAAACACATTCGAGCCGATTCTTTCCCCCGATACCAACACTCGTACTCGGGTCGAGATCGACGAGATGGCACAAAACAATACAAGTGGCACCATCGTCGGCAGCATCTGGCAAATTCTCCACCACATGAAATCGTTCAGAAGCCGCGGCAATTTGAATGTACGCTGCTAGTTGTACGGGAGCAATGTGGGAAGGAAGGCTCATAGCATATCATTCGTCCATGGTTGTGTTATTAAAAACTCACTGCTCCAGGGACTAGAGTTGGAGTTGGGAATGCGAGGACGTACGCGACTCTACCTCCACTCAGGCCCTCAGGTAGCAAGGCTTGGCTTGAAAAGCCGCCTCGCTTGCGAGGGCCTGAAGACAAACCGCTCTATATAAAAACAACATATCGCATAATACGACTAATCGATATAATAGCTAGCCGAGGTCCTTATATAGGGCGTATATAGAAAGATGAACTTTAAGAGGTAGACAGAATTGTCGGCGGAATAGGAGTTTTAGCGCCTCGAGGTAAGCTTAGATTACGATAGTAGCCCTCCTTCGTAAAAGAATAGCGACAACGTTATTTCTTTTAGAGGCTATTCTATAGAGGTTCGAGATAGTATCGAGAAGAGGCATCTCTAAGTGTTAGAAGCTATTTAAAGGTGCTATATACCCTCTCGCTACGTTCGAGGGTACGAAGGTTATAGAGATAGCCGTAAACGACAAAACACGTTTATAGCCGATAATTTTGTTAGTTCTATACTATAGTCTATAGAATAAAGACGCGCTCCTTCTTTATCGAATTATCTAGGTACATTCTTATATAACCGATACTATAAAATTTGCCGTTATCGAGTTGCTACCCTCAAGTGAAGGAAATTATCGCATTATAGCTACAGCTACGCCTAATCTACTATGTCGTACGGCGAACTTGTTAGTACGGTCCGCAGAGCCGCCTCCTCTCTTAAGCCGTATAGGGGTAGGCAATAGGGGCACTTTTACGTAGTTTTTATCGTGTTTCTTCCTAATTGTCGTCGTCGAATAGAGGATATTCGTGTGTTCGAGCCCCGTACGCGTATTCTGACCGTTTCCGAGTGCTATACTACAATAATGCCGCTAAGAGAGACACGTGCGAATGCTAGCAAGCCGCTAGTGCGATTAGACGACGAGGTGAATAACTCTACGCTAAAGAAGAAGGTGATCCGCACTCTCGAGAAGACTATTAGTCTACCGCCAATAAGAAGGAATGCTAATACGGCTTAGCAGGCAAAGGGTGGCTCGAAGAGTAGGTCTTCCGGCGGTAAGAAGAGCAAAGCGACTGCCGACCTAATCGTTAATCTACTAAGCAAGGAGACCGTAGCGGCGCCGGCAGAGGAGACTAGCGGTATAGAACCACCAAAATCGGCTGTTTCTTCCTCCGTTTCGACCTCTATATCCTTCTCTTTTAATGCCGCGTAAGAGGCGGCTACTACTACTAGCAGTACTGCTGCTCTCGCTATAGGCGCCGCTCCTATTACTTAACCTAGCTCTTTCTCGGACGAGACCTTCTATTACAAAGGCTAATAGACGGTGTTTAATATAACGAAGAAGGGTGCGGCGGCGCGTACGATAGGAACGAAGCTAGTAAAGTTCTTATCGGCGAACAAGCAAGAAGCATAGAACGTATACGCGTAGGCGGCGAAGATAGCGAAGTTGAATAGTCTAGCGTCAATCTATCGAGTTGTTATTCGTACTAGAGCCGACGGTTAGAAGACGGCTTTTACTAGCGACTAGCATTAAGCTAGAGATAATATTGATAGCGATAAGGTCTATAGTAATGCTCTAGATTGTAGTAAAGAGTTAGCGCTTGCCTCGCGGAAGAATGTCTTTATTAATATCGACTTCTTAATGAAGCCTAAAGCGATAGTAGCAGCTGGACCTTTAGGCGGCAAGAAGTTAGTTAAACCGGCTTCCAATCCAACCTTAATTTAGCTTGCTAACGCCGGCGTTATAACAGCTAAACTCGAGACTTAGAAGCGGTACGACTATTGGATTATCCGTAACTTTCTATATACGATAAAGGACTGTAATAACTTCTAGAAGGCGGGTGAGCATGCGTGCTAGCGTAACCGGAAGCTGCGAGATTGTAGCGAGAATCACTTTCCGTTCTTCGAAGCCGCTATAATCGATAGCTATAAGGCTATAGCTTCCGGAGAGTAGAAAGTTAACGAGGAAACTAGCGCTCTCGAAGACAGGTTGCTAGTAAGTTTAGAGATTAAGTTAATTAAGAGAAAGGTCGAGAATGATATATAGAAGACTGCTATCCGGAAAATGAGAGGTCGCCGTAGCAGTAAGTCCGACTCCCCTCGGAAGCCTAGAAGTACTAGAATTTAGCCGATTATTCTTAACAACTTTAGTGACGATCTCGGTCGCATTATCGACAATAAATTGCAAGGCAGCGGTATAATTCTAGGCATACCTTCTCGCACTCCTAGACGAGCGCTTATTAAGACCGGTCTGCGTAATATTGTGCTGCCGCGCAATATCGTTTAGTACGAGAAGCTAACGGTAGAATTCTTCGACTAGGTAGCTCTTTACCGCGAATTCTAGGACTATAACTATCTACGGCCTTATATCGCCTATTTCGTCGGTATAGGCTAGACGCTAGAGACCATCTGCAATTTAATAAGGGACGACTAGCCGGCGGCTCTCGATAAAGTAGATAGTATGCGTTTGAAACTGAAGAAAGCGATTGTCGAGTTTATAAGGAAGAAACAGGATGAGGTTATAGCGGCGGAAGCAGCCGCTGCTAAGGAGGGAGAGAATTTCTGAGAATTCTTAGCTTCGTTCAGGCTGCGATCTTTACATATCTACAATACATACAAACTTGTAATAAGCGGGAGATTCTTGCGGTAATAGCACTCATTTAGCCTATATGTAATTAATTAATATAATGCGTTAGTTGTAGAACACTAAGCGTGCTAGGCAAAGCTAGCGTTCGAATACATTTATTCGAATCTCTACCTGCGGCGCTTGCCGTACGCTAGTGGCGACTAGTTACATTACTCGAAATCGTTAAAATCTACCTCTTGTTCTTTATCTTCCTTATTATCTTTATTATATAACATATATAGCTCTTCTATATTATCAAGCACCGACGGCTTATTGTTCTAAGCCTACTATATCTATTAGGACTCTTCCGGGTCGAGTGCTATTATGTTTTGAGCGTCACCGGCCGTCGATTCGAATTAGGAGGCATTATACGGCAAATCCACCCTATCGACATTATATCTAGCATAAGCGAAGAGTTTACGCGCCCGGCGGCCTCGATATAGGTGCAAACAATGCAGTAAGTAATCCTAAAAGCCGACAAACTTCGGCAGCTAATTTCTGTGTTTTTTAATAGTCTTCTTTAGCAGGTTGAAGCTGCCCTCGATAGGATTCAAATCCGGCGAATATAGCGGCAAGTACTCGAGTCTATATCTAGCATCGAGAATCGCCTGCTTTATCCTCAACCTATAGTGAATACTAGCATTATCTATAACAAAGATCATCGGCGGACCCTCTTCGAGACAGGGAAGCACCTGCTTAGTAATCCAAGTATAGAAACGGTTAGCATTGATCGATCCTTAGTATATACAAGTATATAGCAAATAGCTATAAACCGTAAAGGCCGGCAGTATACTCTACCTCACTTCTCGCTTCGTATACTGGACATCTACGCATATAATACCCTTCAAACTCTAACTATACTTCCGCTAACCTGTCTTCTAATTGCTAGCAGTCTTATCGATAAAGACGAGTCGATCTACCGGCTATTTAGCGCACCTAATCGTCTATAGAGCCCTTAAGAATAAGTTACGTTCCTTCGCCTGCCGCTTAACCTCCGTTCGGGTATAATCGTACTTCCTTAGCGTCCTACCGATTAGAGAAGGTCGAAGCTTAACTATACTATTACTACCCTTATCTATAGGCCGTAGCCTAATAAATTCGTCTTAAAGAGCTTGGATTATCTCTATAAAGTAGGCGTCCGGTCGATCGTCGAGATACCTAAGGAGAAACTCTTCCTCGCTTATAAGAAGTACGGTATTCGCTCTACTACGCCGAGTGCCTATATTCTCGAGATATAAGGCTCTAGTTAAGCGCTATTTCTCTTAATAACGATATACTAAGCGGACTAATATTGGAAGCTTTGCAAAGGTATGTATCTGCTTAGCAGTAAAGCCTTTACTAAAGAGATTGATTAACTAGCCTTGCTAGTCGCGGTTAATGCGCGCTTTCTTTACTATAGCGGACAACAATACCTCGGAAGGGTCTATACTACTTAAAAACCGACGACACGATATATTAGAGGACTCTAGGCTTCAGAAGGAGGAGAAATAATTAAAAAACCACCAAAATAGCGGTGTGGTTCCTCTCTCGGAGGTGCAGGGTTCTCCCCGCACTGGACTGACAAGTTCGCCGTACGACATAGTAAACGGTTTGTCCTCAGGCGCTTCGCTTACGAAGCCGGCAGGCCGGTCACGTGCACGGAGCGCCTGAATGGAGGTAGTACTCCCATTCTCCCCCGACATCTCACCAAGCGGAACATTAACCGCATACGCAAAAGGATATAAGGGATGTGGGAGATGTATATCAGAATGCACCGGCTGCCTCGCATTCGATTCGAGAGCCGTATTGCCGTTCGCGTAATGACAGACAGGATTTGGGAGACTGCGGTTTCGAGGATGAGGATTCCGTCGCGGTGGAGGTATGTGACTACTAGCTTGTATCGGATTTTGATTCTTGATAATGCTGTCTGGTACTTCAAGTCAGCGGTAAGAATTGAAATCGACACTTAGGACTTCTGGGCCGTCTCTAGAGCTCTCGTACAGCATACCGGTATACCTCGATCCTTCTTCTCCACAGGGCGAACCCGGCCCGAACCCCTCTCCCCAAGATGCAACGTCAAGATCCTACAAGCATTTCACGACGCACATCGGCCTTCACTTCGTGCCCATCTGCCGCTGATAGTGGCTTGCAGATAATGCACGGCCCTGGCTGTCGGCTGATAGAATAGGCGGTGATGCTGCACGGTACATCTCGTGGTAGTCGCGTGTCGATAACCTTAGTTCTATGGCGCGCCAACCTGGACCTCCTCCGTCTGTAAGCTTCACTTCACTTCGACAAGCAACACTTGGCATCTCGGTGGGAGCAACATCTGCCTACTGGGCCACTCGAGGAGGAAATCCACGAGACTTCACCTCTCATCTCGAGCATGGACGGCGATAAGCTGAAAGGCGGCATCGTGATCGGGGCCATTGCGGGCGAAGAAGTGCGACAAGCCAACGAACATGAACACAATCTCACATTCCTCGAGGCTTTGAAGCTATACCCGACTGCAGTCTTCTGGAGTATCTTCTTCTCACTCGGCATAATTATGACCGCCTTCGATCCACAGCTTCTGGGCCAGCTGTATGCCACGCCGGCTTTCCAGAAAGACTTTGGCTATCAGTACCAAGGCGAGTGGATCATCTCTGCTCCGTGGCAGACTGGTCTGGGTATGGGCAATCCAATCGGTCAGGTTGTAGGAGCGTTCTTTGCAACTTATCCGATGGAGTAGGTGCACTTGAACGGAGGGAAAAAAACGACGTTTGCTGACAAAGGGCGTAGATGGTATGGCAGGAAGAGGACTTTCGGTGTGTGCGTGATTCTCACTGCAGCTTTCATCTTCATCCAGTTCTTCGCCCGATCCTTGCCAGTGCTTCTGGTGGGCGAATTGCTGGGTGGACTGGTGCTCGGCACTTATGCGACCATTGCGCCTACATATGCGTCAGAAGGTCAGTAATGATTGATGTCGGCGTCGACTTCGTGCTAAAGATTTTAGTCTGCCCCATGGCACTTCGAGGAGTACTGACCAGTTACGTGAACCTCTGCTTCGTCATTGGACAGCTCATCGCGAACGGCATCATTGCTGGAACAAGCCAGCTTGACACACATTGGGCGTACTCTGCGCCATTCGCAGCGCAATGGTTCTGGCCATTAGTCATTCTAATCGGCATGCCGTTTGCTCCCGAATCACCATGGTGGCTAGTCCGACAGAATCGTCTCGAAGACGCAGAGCACTCTCTACGACGTCTGGCTTCTCCACGAGTCGACGTGAAGCCTACACTAGCGATGATGATCGAGACCGACCGATTGGAACAGGAGCTCGAATCCGGAGTTACATACTGGGACTGCTTCGAAAAAATCAATCTGCGGCGGACAGAGATCGCTATCGGAGTCTACTGCATTCAAGTCGTTTCTGGCATTTACCTTGTGGGCTATGCAACCTACTTCTTCCAGCAAGCCGGTCTGCCTACCCGCGAAGCCTTCAATATGGGTGTCGGGTTCCTTGCAGTCGGCTTTGTGGGAACACTCTTTTCATGGGTGCTTCTCATTCGCTTCGGCCGCAGAGACATCTACAACGTGGGTCTTACCATCTTGATGGTTCTCATGCTCATAATAGGCATCCTCGATGTCGTCAAATATAAGAGTGGCGTCATCTGGGCACAGTCATCTTTGATGGTTGTGTGGAACTTCTGCTACGACTTCAGCGTCGGACCCGTCTGCTTCGTCATTCTCTGTGAGGTGTCTGCAACCAGAGTTCGAAGCAAGACCATTGCCATCGCGACTGCAGCGCAAGCACTCCTCGGCATCGTCATGACCGTTGCCTTCTGTTGAAACTGCTTATGAGAACTGTGAACTGATGATTCTCTCTATCTACAAAATAAGCTAACTATATCTAGCAGCATGTTTGCTATGTCTTTTATACTGCAGAAGATGTGAGAAGAGTCTTAGACAAACAATCAACACTCCCCCTGGCTCGAGCACATCTTCTGCTATCTCCCCCTTAATCGAGGCAGGTCTACTTCGTTAGTCCCATACCCTTAAAGTGCTTCTCGAATGTTACTCGCGGCAAGGTTTTAGTAAGTAGATTAGCTGGGTTTTCCTTTCCCGATATCCATTCGGTTTTAATGTCACTATTAAGAACGCATTCCCGGAGGAAGTAGTAGCGGATATCGATGTGCTTTGTCTTAGCGTAAAATTCCGGATTCTTAGACAACCGTACTGCTAATACGTTGTCAATGTTAAGTAGGATAACATCATAATGAAGGCTCTATTGCCGTAGAGTAGTCGCAATCTCGTTAATAAACCCTTTAAGCTACATCGCCTCTCGAGCTGCATTAGATGCCGCAACGTACTCGGCCTGTATAGATAACGTAGCTACTACCTTTTGTCTCTGTAATGCAAAGGATACCGGACTGTTAGCCAGCTTATACAAGTAGCCCGTCCTGGATTTCCTAGTGTTACGGCAGCCTGCCTAATCGCTATCGACGAAGCTAGTAACCTTAGGAATAACTCCCCTCTTAAAGAACAGGCCTACTCGTAGCGTGCCTCTAAGGTATGCGAAAACATAATAGATAGCGTCTATATAAGTCTAGTCGGGGTTAGACGAGAATCCGGAAATAATGGACATAGGATAAGCAAGGTCGGCCCTAGTCTTAGAGGCGAGGAAGTTCAACTTACCTACTTTAGATAGGAAGCTGTGTTTGAAGTTTAGTAATACAGTGTACAATAGGTCTGCTATTACTAGCGGCTTGTTGTAATCGAGTAGGGTACTTACTAGTACAATATCCTACATGCCGTATCTTCGGAGGATCTATTCGGCATACGTAGCTTGATAGATATAAATGCCTTCCTTGCTGTGCTCGATTTGTATGCCTAGGTAATAGGCCACTTCACCCTCGTCGGTTATTTTAAAAGCCGCTGCGAGTTCGGCCTTGCACTTAGCGATTATCTTACTGTTTAGCCTAAAGATGTTGACGTCGTCGACGTATACCGTTATAATAAGGCAGCGAGCCTTATAATAGAAGACGCACTCGTTATACTAAGAGACTTTCCATCCGTGCTCTTCTAGCTATCTACGCAACTTAGTATACTAGACCCGCGGAGACTGCTTAAGGCTATACAACCCCTTTCTTAGTCTTGCGAATAACTGTTTCCCTCGAGGCTAGTTCGGAATTCCTAGTAGAAGCTGAATATAGACTTCCTCCTCTAGGTCCCTATTAAGGAAGGCGGTAATAAAGTCCATCTAATAACACTTCTATCCTAATACTGCTATAACCGCAAACAGTGTGCGGTATGCCGCGGTTTTAACAACTCCCGAGTAGGTTTCGGTGAAGTCAAACCCCTCTATCTGCTAGAAGCCTCTAGTATATAGGCGAACCTTATACTTCTTAAAGGAGCTATCCTTGTTGATCTTTCTCCGACATACCTATCGAGTAGAGAGCGCTTTCCGCTTAGCCGGTACTTTGTCAACGATTTTAAAGGTATTGTTGTCTTAGTAGCTGCCCTATTCTGACCTAATTGCGCCTTCCTAGCCTTCTCTCTCGCTAGATTTCTCTATCTCTACGTAGGTCTAAGGGACTGGTGCCGTAGCGAGCGCCTCTAGCGATAGGAAGCTAGTTATTGCTATTGCGTCCTCGATGTCCTCGATACAAAGCCTAATAGCTTTAAGAGCATCTATAGTTAATCCTACGAACTTGAATGCATTTAGCTTAGACTTTGAGTCGAGCGCCTTAGATTCGTTCTCAATATTAGACGGGCTGTCGCTATCCTCGATTGCTACTGTTTTACCCGTTTGTTTCTGCGGCAACTATAGCTTTGAGGGTTGATAGTGCTCCTTAGGCTGAACGACCAAATCGTTGTCTTTACTAACGATAACCTCGTATGCCTCTGTTTTGATAAGCTCCTATATAGTTACCTCTTCGTTAAGGTATTTAACGCACTGCTCGTATCCTTTCTATATACACTAGATGTATAGTAGTCCTCTAGGGACAAGAACACATCGTTTGTTTCGGCGTTAGCAGTGTCCGTAAGAGTAGTCTTTAGTGAACTGCATTCGTCGGGGGGCACGTTGCTGACCTCGAAGCGTAGTATTGTAGACAGTCGCTCGAACGCCATCGGCTGCGACGTAGGTATATGCGATACCGTCTTCGATATATGTAGGGCATACGGCTTCTCTATCCCCGAAACACCTTCGGTTAGCATTCTTACAGCGTTAGCAAATTATACCGTTGTATAAAAGTCCGTATTGCTCCTTACTTATGTACAAAGTGTTAAGAGCCTTGCATTGGCTGCACTTGTCGTCTTTACTATACGGGCCTAGTGCTTTGTTGCAGGGCTTGTTGTTCTTCTTATACTAGTAGTATAAGTCTAGGTATCGGAACTTCTTTTTTCCGGGCCCCTAGTTCCGCTCTAGCTTCCGGTCTAACCCGCTATTAATATCGTCAATCTCTAGTAGGAGCATACCTTAGGTGGACGGAGTTCCTGCTAGTAACCGGCTGCGCGCCGTACGTCTAAAGTTATAACGACTGTGTATAACCTGCGTGCCGGTCTGCCTAGTACGGGCTAAGTAGGTGTTGCGAATTCGTCGTAGCGAGGTCGCTACTAAGGGTAATCCCTTATCTAGGTTGTCTAAGAGACTATCGGAGAGGCTAGATAACTTATAGTTGCTCGATATCTCGATTACCTCTGCCGCTAGGGATTTGGATTGAGATAGCAGCGGCTTTAATCGTTGCTAGGCAGATGTAACGTTCTTAGCTTCCTCAAAGACTTCTTTAGCATTGTCTATGCCAAACTCGTCATTACTGGCATCCGTTCGCTAAGGCTACATCTTCTGCTTCTTCTTAAAGTATAGAGAGACTATATCCATTAGTGTATTATCTTCATTACCCGAGTTGTGTGAGTCCTCTAGTTGCACACTTAGCTGGTATACTGCTACAGCAGGCATGCTCTTACTCTTAAGCCGTAGTGAAGAAGAGCTAGGTGGAGTTTTGACGTCTCTCTTTAGTCGGTTACTGCCTTAGAATACGAGGTTTTCGAGCTTCTTATCCTGCCGCGTACGTGGCTCTAGCTTTCCGTCGTCTGATGACTAATCGTAGTACTTCTTGCGCTTAACTATTATAGCGGCATCGGGTTTATCTTCGGATTCCTTACTTAAGACCGCCGGTTCTAGTAGCAGAGGGCGGGTTTCTCGATCGTTAATGTATAGTGCAGCGTAGTTATCGTCTAGCCCTTGTCCCTCGTAGACTATATCCGCGAGTACGTTGTAGACCGTGTCCGTGTTAGGATAGTAGAACCGATAAGAGGCTTCTTTAGTAGCACTAACAAAGTAGCCGAAGTATCCTCGTAGGTTATAAAGCTTTCTGCTCTTCATTTTATAGAGCTTTTCTTTAGGGATAGCAGCTACTATCCTGCTCCCCTATATCTTTTCGAAGTCTACATTTGGCTAACTGCCTTCCCTCATTTCTTAGGGAGTCTTGTTGAACTTGGTAACCCGAGTAGGCACTCGGTTCTTCAGTCGTACCGCATAGTCAACTGCCTCTAGGAAGAGCTTTTCTAGAAGAGAGCTGTTTCGAAGCAGTTTATTGCTTCGTTCGGTAATAATTTTCCGAATATACCCGGAGACGCTATTGTCCTGAATTATAGCCGCAGCTCCTTTACGAACCGTACGATTAACTCGCTTAGCTACTCCTACCTAATAATAATAGTAAGGCAGTGTTAGTTCAATGACTACCCTATGCTTCTTGCAGTATACAGCAAAGTCTCCGATCTGGAACTGCCTGTCTATACGATAACGTCTGATTGTAATGTTGTATTCTTTCTTAACATGTCTATATAGGAGTATAAGCTTACTATATGCATCTTTAACCTTAGCAAGACGGAGTGAGAAGGTATACCGATTAGCGTTATCTGTAACAAAGACAAAGTACCTAGTACTATCGTATCCTGTAACAGGATATAGTCCCTATATATCGATATAGACCAATTCTCCGGCCTTCTTAAAGCGTCGATTAGCGGGGTCTCTTAGTATGCGAACAATCTTTCGTATAGTCTCGCAGATAGGGCACGTGAATGCAGACATAAAAAGCCGAATTTGTTTATCGGTGATGCCTATACCGGTGCTGACTTTAAGTAGCTTGCGCATTCGATAGAAGCTTAGGTGTCCTAGCCTTCGGTATACAATCAAGACTAGATTAGTGTCTATGTCGACTTTAGCAACGAAACTAGGTTCCTATTGTGCAGTCTTTTTTGCCTCTAGAATGTTCGTAAGCTGGACGAAGTATAGGTTCTTAATTAATTTTGCTATGCCGATACAATAGTCTTCTAAGGTAAGGAGCTTAACTTCCCTATTGCCCTATCTACCGTATAATCCTAACTTATCGAGTTTGGATACAGACAGAAGATTGCAGGTACTGTCTAGTACAAAGGCTACCCTAGGTAGCTTAAGCTTGAACGGGGTGTTGTCTTAGTCAATTAGGTAGAGAGTAACTCGCCCTCCTCCTTAGACTTCTAGTTTGGATTTGCTGTCCGCAGTCCCTATAGAAAAGGTTAGCGGGTGTAGCTTAGTAAACTATTTAATATTATTGCAGATGTACATCGTAGCACTACTGTCTAGTAGCTAAGTATCTTTGGTAACGGCTGGAACATCTAGCGTGGCTATAGTATAACTAAAGGCAGTTTGTATAGCAGCTGTAGTAACATCTATAATAACGTACTCGCTCTTAGAGCAATTACATATAATCCTACATCTATATCTAATGCACGGTCTCTCAATTTCCTTATCCGCTACCTCCCCCTTACTGCTGCTCGTATAAAGTTCAAAGCACTGCGAGTTATAAGTATAAGCTTAGGGAAGTAGGGTGGGTAATAAGGTACCTTCGCAAGCAGAGGATAGGTATAGTAATTCTTCTTATATATCTCTTAGCGAGTATACTGCTATAACAACAGGGCTCTTAAACGCTACTGACTTCTTAACCTGCTACGGGGTGGATAGTTCGTTATCGTCTTCTTCCGGCAGGGGTGTATTAATAGCTATTTGCAACGTCGCTTTAAGTTGAAGATTAGGATTAATGCTGTTAAATGCGTTTTCTAATTCATCGCCTAGGGAGGCAACTGCTGCCGTAACATCATTACAGCTAGCTATATTAGATTGCTAATCTGGGATGCTGTCCGGCATCTGAAGGTTTGGGGCCGTGTCTGTCGGGTTTGGCAATTCATTTGCCGGTCTGTCGAGAAGGTAGAGAGGTATAGTAGCCTCTAGAAACTTATCGGTGTCGATTCTACTATAGAGAGTTCTGTAACTGTCTCTCTAGCGTTGTTCATCTAGAAGTTTCTAGAACTCATCGTTATCACCTCCCGTAAGACCTACCTATCCTTCGGGCCGGAGAGTAGATAAGAACCTTGTCTTATCCGAAATTGCTAGTAAAGCGGATTATAACTGGTTAGACTTGTTAGTCGGCTTCTCGATAGCCTTTTTATCCTTCTTTAGACGTTTTTCTAGGTGCAAGGTATAGTACTCGTCTAGCTTATAGACACCTATACGTCTATAGCATTCTAGCTTTCTGGGTTCCTTCTTGTTACCCTTGTTAGCCTTGTCCTTGTTCTTGCTGCCCTTGCCTTTGGGTTTCTTGTCTCTATCCGCCTTCTTTTTCTTCTCGAGTACTCTTGTCTCTTCGCTAAGTAGCTAAGCTTTAAGTAATGCGAGGGTAAATGTTGTCCCTATATCGCAAGCTCGATTAAAGTTTTTAACGTATAGTTTATAGTCCCAACCTAGTCCTCGAATTAGAATTTGTATGAATTCGGAATCTGGTGTATAGTCCTTGTTTTTGGTAACAGTTCGAAGGTCTAGGCGTGTAAGTTCCTTGATACTAATGTATTTAGTAATATTAGTGCATTAATAGGCTTTCGTATCGTTTAGCCTAGCATTAGTAAGCTGAAGCTGTCGTGCTTCGCTAATTTGGCAATAGGCGATAATGCCATCGTAGAAGGTCTTCGCATCGGTAGTTTCTAGGATAGAGCCAGAGATGGAAGGATGAACTTTCCCTTATAGCCATTGTAGGCATTCCCTCTTGCGCTTGGCAAATTTCTCATATATGTCCTTTTGGTTATAGTACTCCAGCATACCGGCCTTATAGTCTTGCAAGTCATCGTCGAATGTTTCGCGAATGAGTGCCTTGTCTTCTGCTTTCAAGGTCCGAAGGGAACCAGTGAATCCTAGTTCCTTCGCGATCTGTACTCGGTCTAGCCGTGCGGGAGCTTCGGGTTTAGCTGGCACGTGTTCTATACCCTTGATAATGCCAATGTAATTTTTAGCCTGAGCTTTCACAAGTGTGATACGCTGCTATAAAGTAAGATCGACTTGAGAGACCAGGATTTTGTTACTATCTTGGTCGAGAGAGGTAGATGAAGATTGAGACGTCATTGCGTCGGTCGCGTCACGAGTTACGGGCCGTACGCTCAAAATGGAACTACTGAATGTAGATCACAGGCCACTAAACAGGAAGGTAGATCTAGGTTCTCCTAACCTAGACCTGAATCCTTGCTCTTTCTGTAGAATCCTGCTCTTTCTATAGATCCGGGGATCGGGCGGGGATTCAAAGACAAGGAGGGGAATTGTGCTCGTTGGGGCTGCTAACGGATTAGGTATCAACGAGTAGTTCAAAGCAGTCCGGAGGATTTTAGATCTTGCGGAATAGAGGGCTCAACCTATTGAAACTGCTTATAAGAACTGTGAACTGATGATTCTCTCTATCTACAAAATAAGCTAACTATATCTAGCAGCATGTTTGCTATGTCTTTCATACTGCAGAAGATGTAAGAAGAGTCTTAGACAAACAATCAACACCTTCCCGTTTATGATCAACCCGGACCAGGCAGATATGAGAGGCAAGATCGGCTTCTTCTTCGGAGGCTTGTCGGCGATTAGCTTGCTGTGGACATTCCTGAGAGTTCCAGAGACTCGTGGAAGGACGTACGAAGAGCTCGACATCATGTTCTCGCGCGATGTGCCAACGAGACAGTTCAAGAAGTATGTTATTGAGTAGATATAAGACACTTAGTACTAGCATGGTCCGTCAAGAATGGTCTCAGACATCAACTTCTCGAGCTAGCGGCAAGGCTCAGACTACAAGTTTCTCATGTGAGAAGCAAACCTTGAAATCGGATTCTCACACGATATAGTCGCCCTTTTCCACATTATCGACTCATGACATCAAGTCGACACTGAGGAGCGCAATGCCAGTAATACGCTTGCTGGACGAGATGCTCTTCACGTGTAGCCGAGAGCATTATTCACGCTATATATGGATTGCTTCCTGTCGCTTACAATCGTATAGACACTGAGAGCAGTGCAGACGAGGAGATTCGAGTTGCCGTTGCGACCCGCACAATTTCCTTGGCGCTCACGTTTCAGAGTTGGAGTGAATGAGCGGACAATAGACAAGGAAGGCTATTGTTCAGCTTTCTATTGTTACGGGGCAGAGCCATTCACTTTCCCAGACTAGGCGCATACAATCTACGTCTGCGTCCATCTTGCATTCTTTCCCAAAACATTAACAGCACCGCAACCGCCGGCAAGACTGACTCCAGACTCCACTCCCTCACTATCGAGCCACACACTTCTGAACATCAGCAGACGACTCGGTAACCCGGACTATCGCCAAGGACACCTCTTACAGTCTCGACGATGGATCACATCGCCAAGTTGAAGAGCGAGCTCGAGCAGGCCAAGCAAGCCGACGACAAGGCTCGAGTCTCCCGCCTCGTGCGTATGATTGGCATGGAAGAGCGTAAAGCTCGAATGAAGGCCTCTCGCGAAGAAGACGCCCAGCGCAAGGCTCGCGAGTCATTTCTGCCATCCTCAAAATCTGACACCCCTCGATCTCGCGGTCCAGTAGCGGCCAAGTTGCCGCCGATGGCCTACTTCAACGATTTCGAGGATGAGGTGAAGAGAGAGGAAGAGGCACGACAAGCCGCTGAGCGCGTTCGCAAGGAACAAGAGGCGCGGGAAGCTGCAGAGCGCGCTCGACAGGAGGAAGCTCGCCGGAAGGCAGAAGAGCGACGCCAACGAGAGCAAGACCAGCAGCGACAGCGCGATTCAAAGTTCCGAGACCAAGAGAGGCAGAGAGAGCGTGAGCAGAAGAAGAAGTCATATCGCTCCACTCCAGCCAACACTCCAGCGCGAGCATCGCCACCAGCGCCAGCGGTTACCATGCCACAGATCAAGGATTGGTACGCTTTCGCAGAAACGTGCAACAGAGCGCGTGAGAAGGTGCAGACGTTCCCTGTGCCACCGGGTGGATGCTGTGGCAGCCTCGCTTGTGTCAGTCGGGCTAAGGACCGCGCAAACAAAGCCTGCGAATGCAACATCCGCAGATGCTTCAGAAATGCTGGCATTGCGAACTTCAAGAAGGAAATGCTCAAGTGGCACCCCGACAAGTGGTCTCGGAGTCCGGAAGCCAAGCGAGACGATTTCCAGAAGCTGGCCAGGGAGATCTTTGTTGTGTTGAAGGACATGTGATCTCACCTGCCACAACTCTACTCAAAGCGAGAGGTCCAAGCTAGTGAGGGAAGATCCATGGCATCGAGAGGGCTGCATTGTGCTGGTAAATGTCGCGATTTGAGAATCTTGTTGTTTTCCTGTGTTCATAGTCCAAGATTGGGAGGTAGATCAGAATTCAGCCAATTCCAATCTGCGCCAGTACTCGCATCGCCATTCCAACCCATTGATGTATGAGTAGCAAAGTTCATCATATCTGAATCTTCAAAGCCCCAATAATCGGCAGCGCTTCCGGCGAGGAACGGACCTTGATATGCGAAAGACATGCCTAGTCCAAAATTGGGGTCATGCATATCAAGATTGTTTGCTTGACCGGCTGGAGCAAGTTCAGAGGTACTGAGATGCTGAGCTAGTGTATGATCGAACGTAGGCGGCGCACTAGGGGTTGATTGCTGCTGTTGTTCCAATTGTTTCTTGACCATATCTGCTTCTAGGCTTTCGCATTGTCCTTTCTTGATCATAGTGATTACACCAAAATAAGGAAGTACAAAGCGGTCTTCAGAGCCTTCTACATCGTATGCGGATCGGAGCAGGTGTTGTAAAGACTCGTAACACTTCCGGCAGAGCAAACCCGATATCTTGGTTTCAGATCCAGCTTTGATGGCATCGAGAGTACGATAGACGAGATGAAGTTTGTGATCGCGGGCAGCGGAATGAGGTCGGGAGCCAGGCTCTTCACGCGCACCGTATCCGACCAGATCAAGAAGTAGTACGACAGCTGCGGTGAAAGCTGTGAAGTTCATCACTGTGCCATTGCTCGCCATGACAGGATCTGTCTCAAAGACCTCTAGGTATCTAAAAGTGAAGGGCAGAAGCGTTAGCATAAATCCTAAGCGAGGAAAAGCGATTCGCAGCCAGAGTGAGACAAGAGGGCTACAAAGCGGGACTTTGCAGGGTGAGGTATTCGCTCTTCGGCTTACTCACGCTTCGAGTAATCTTGTTGAATCTTCTACAACAGTGCGCCTGCTGAAGTCGTACCGCGGCTCTTCTTCAGACCGAAAGAAGAAAGGAAGATGAACGTAAGCCCTCAACTGATGAAAGTGGACTACGCGATAGAGCCGCGTATACTTCTCCGGCAGGTTGGTGCACATGCGTATGTCGTTCAAATCTAGGTAGCCAGATGGCAACTGTGATTTGACAGCCTCCATCTCTTCTTCTACCTTGATCGTCGCGGACAGATGGGCGCCTTTGATGCTTTGCAGGCAGTCGATGACCTTTCCCGTAATTATGCCGAGGCGTTTGTAGAGATAGTCGCCCGGATCATCTTTTGGTGACGAGGACACCGTTAGGTCACAAATGTGGTCGGGTAAGGAATAAGGAAGCCCAATCATGAGTGACGCCCAACGATCTGCATGGAAGAGAGGCCAAAATATTGCATCATGCCTGTCTGAAGTACGGCGGGAGTGCATATTGCTGAGTTGTAATAAAGATGTAGCACGGCGATAGACCAGAAAGGCTCGCCTTGGTTGGAGCGCGGCTGCGATCAAATCAGTGAGCTTCTCCTAGATGTCAATACATGCCTGATGGTCGATGGTATGTAGTACAATTTTTTTTTCAATGAAGACGATCACAACAGAGGGCGGGCATCGCACCTAAACAACTTACCCATGTAACACAATCCAACAGCCATCAGACAGTTCAAGCCTGCTTCAGTGCTCGCATACTCATCATCATTCACTACAGTCTTTTCCACGACCGGGAGAAATCTTTGACGATCACCAGTGCCTATTGCAAAACTTACAAGCAGTAAAGCAAGTGCCGATGGACTAGGAGCTCGCAATATCTCCCCTGCGAAAGACCGCAACGAGTCGTAAGCCTTGCCCCAAAGCAGACCCAAAGTGTCCCGATATAGCGGCCACCAGGAGCTGTATTGGTTGAAGATGGTCTCCATTTCCTTTTCGGAGGGAATGCAGGCCCGCAAGGCTGCAACTGCTCCCTGGTGCTTCTTCGTCTTTCGCAGCCCAATCTTTGCTGTTGTGCACGAGCCAGATGTGCCATCACTGCTCCCGGGCGTTTGTGTTGTGCTCGGTGTCTCGCCCATGATCGGGTTGCCTAGAAGACGTATCAATGGAGCATGGCCTGTTTCGACAGCTTGTTCCTCCTGATCTTCATCCTCGGAGCCGGAATCGCCGTTTCCTTGCGTTTGAGTAGGACTTTCGATAGCAGCGTGCGAGCTCGTCCAAGCCTGAGCAGTGCTTGCTTCGCTGGCGCCGCCAATGTTCTCTGTGCTCTGCACAAGACGTGCGAGCTGCGTCTCGAGGAAAGTGATGCGCTTCCTGAGATACTTGCTGTCCGTGGCATCGCTTCCGGCAACCAGACCTTGAGGTACGCAAGCAGACTCCGTGGAACGCGCGACACATTCATGGCATGCACCAGCCGAACTGACGGGCATCAGCTTTGCCTGAGGCTGACGGTGTCTTTTGATGGCTGCAGGTTTCGCACGTACGTACCTCGTACCAGAGCATCTGATCTTGCGTTTACGACCTGGATTCGACGTCAATTCCGCATGCCTTCTTGGCTTCAGAAGTTCGATGGGACTTACACGGGACACAGCTTTTGGTACCCTTCCGCATGCGTTTGCTGAGACGCCCATCTTGCACCGTATCGGTTGGCATGGCCATTGTCGACGGACGAAAGAAGCCCTGCTCGCCGACGTCAGGGTATACAGATTGGGCTTGGCATTGGATTAGTCATTCCTTGGCGTCCCAGACCATTGCAGGAGTCGTGCACTCTCGACCTCATCCTCTCAAAACAACATCAAACGGCCTCACGCAGCTCGATAATGTCAGGAAGTGGAATTCGCTGGGCGAAATTGAGAAAAACGCCTCCTCCAGTGCCAAGTCTGTCAAGGATGAGGTGCCTCCGACGGACGAAGAAGACGCCATTGTGTATACCCAGGAACGACATCATTGTCGCTCTATCCGCGCCGCCGAAGAGCATTCTAGCACTTCAGCCAGGTCATCCTCGCAGGTGGCCTCTTCATCCTGCTTTACTATTTGCCCATCTACTTACGAGCAAGTTGATTGAGTCGCTAGAGGAGAGACTGCCTAACACCAACGGTCAACCCGGGTGCTGTTTTTGACAGGTGTAAGTTCAGCAAGGGCGCTTCTGCGACTGGTGCCGCGTAAGCATACAGAGCTCCTGGCAATCAAATATCCCTCTCCGATTGAAACTGCTTACTGGCTTAAGTTGCAGAAACCATCAATGTCTCTGCCTCCACGGCTTTTTCCATTCTATGATCGGAGGCCGAATACTGACCGAACTCAGCTTTTAACCATTCACAAGCTTTGGTGTTTTTGAACATTCTACAGTACAATGAGTAATTCAGATTGCAGACCTTCTCTTCCGACAAAATACGCTGCACGCCCATAAGAGGAACAGTACAAGTCAAAAGCCGCACTACGGACATCCCAGTCAACATCAACAGCTCGGCATCTATCGGCGTTACGATTGAGAGTTACACATCGAGACTCGAGCGATGTCGTACTGATCACCTTTATTAGAGGGATCTGCTGCTCCCCTTGCAGCCTCCTCTTCATCGTTGAATGTTGCTATCACCTTCAAGGAGAGCACTACCAGGTGCCCCTTCGCGCTCATACCAGAAAAAGAGCCGGCGGCAAGAATTCTTTTGGGAACATCTGCCGAAACTCTGAATCAAGAGCCTCACCAACCAAGCAAGGCCCCAAGACCTCGGCCTGAGTGCACATCGTTACCTTTTACACAGTTCGCAGTGATGTATCAAGGACACACAACAACGATGGATCAATCACCGTTCTTCAAATTATCGCCAGAATTGAGGAATCTTGTCTACGAATATGCCGTCACGCAAAGCGATGCTTCAGTCAAACTACTAGAGAAGCAACCAGGACTTACGATGACGTGTCGAAAGATCAGACAAGAGTGTTTGTTATTGTTCTACAGCTTGAATACTTTCCGACTGGAAGTGCCGCAAAATAATTCTCAAGCGCTGGCCCAACGTCTCCAGTCATCGACCCTTCATACCGATGCCGGAGGCGAGAGACTGCGATCGATACAGAAGCTTGCTATCATCTATCATCTTTCGAGTCTCGAGAACCAACCTGTCGTACCTGGCTGCAAGAATGAAGGCGGCTGGGTTCGAATCTCGGAGACGTTGGCAGAGATGGGATTCTCGAAGGATCAAGTCGTTTGGAAGACTCAATCAACGAGCTTTCTGGATTCTTCATTGGGTGGAAATTATCTTGCGTATCTGGCTGAGACTGCGAGGCTGAGGATGTATGACCACATCATCCAGAAGGGTTGGGAGGAGATTTCTGATTCGATGGTGGCCGCGAAGGCTTCAAGTCAGACAATCTGGAAGTTGGATCGACCGTCTTAGTGCAATTAAGTATTTCGCGTGACTGCTTATGTTGCTGTTGCTTGAAGAACTGCTTCATCTTCAGCAGATGAAAGTATTGACGACTGAACTGGCACTCGGGTTCTTTGAAGTTTATAGCCTGCGGTGATAGAGATTGAATGTATGAGTTGATGGAGCACTGAATTGAGCTAAAGCTAGTACTTCGCACGACTTCGTTCCGACCTATTGTGTTCCAGACTGAAGCATTCCTGGACGAAAGAATAGACTGTGGCAAGATCGCTGTTCCCGGTGACGGCCCGGAAATCCGGATTTCCATATCGGGGCACCAAAAATTCGCACTTCAAAATTTTCGGTCATGCCATGCAACTCCCAAACCTCGACCACAACATCCTGGAAAGAGCAAAAAATGAATGGTCTTAACTGCTTTATAGGAATAGCCGAAGGTGGGGCTCGAACCCACGACCTTGAGGTGTTCTTTTCTGGATTGGAAACCCATCATAAGAGCCACACGCTCTACCGATTGAGCTACCCCGGCAGGGGATCACGATGACATTTCGTGTCATTGCTGAAGGGTGGGGATTCTCTACGTTCTTAAGATTGCTGATTTGTAGAATCCGTTGTTAAGCCGGCAACTTTCAATACATTGACAACAAGAATGCCATCAGATCTCTCTGCAGCTTCTTCGACAGTTGTGTTGCGGAAATGGAGTCACGATATCTGGCGAGGACTGTTCTCGAAGGATCATCAAGTCGTCGCGGTGGCTGAAAGGGCTCGAAGCGTTCATTCATGTAATCTCGACTGCTGGCTTGTCTTCGTCAAAGTCTGATGTACTCAACACTGCCTGCTTCTGCGGCACCCACTCTCCCTTCTCTGGATCGAATCTGTGATGGTCGTGATAGATGTCTGATAGTGCTTGATCGCCGTATTCTTCGATCAGAATGTCGGCATATGAGTACGGAATCCAAGCTGGCATTGACTCGAAGACACCTTCTCTCAGCGGATAGATGTCATCGTATAGGTAGTGATGTCGGTCCTTTACCATCATCGACTCGTCGTTGCCCTCAGCAGTGGCGGTATCATTGTGCCGCAGTGTTGTGATGTCGATGAACAGACCGATATCTGTATCAATCCACCGAGCATCGATGCGGTTTTCTTTGTCGATGTCGCCTTCGAAGCAGTGAGGATTGACTTCCAACATATACTTCCTCGCCGTGTTTGTCCCGGGGATCTTGAAATGATGCATACTCATGTTGTAGTATCGAGCAAGAAGCTCTATGGAAGTCTCGGATACCATGACATCGATGTCAGAGTCCCAGGGCATTACCCGTCGATTCCAGTACCAGCCCAAGAGCGTTCCGTGCATTAACCACGACTCCGCTCCAATCTCGTTCATGGTCGTCAAATACGTCTGCACCAATGAGCTCAGGTGTTCTTGTTTTTCGTAATATTTTAATGGCCGATCAGCAAACCGTCCATCGTAGTGTTGATCGAACGTTGATTCGTGGAAGTACTTGGTCTGTTTGTGCCATTCTGCCTCGATGTAAGGTCGTGTGAGTCGGGTCCTAACGCTGTCGAAATCCGCATCGCGCCTGTTCAGTGGAGATGCTCCTGTCCATTCTAGTGACATAATAGACCATATCAAATGACTCGAAAGGATTTTCATATCAAAGTCCAGTTTAAATTCAGAGCCAGCCGAGATCCCAGAAATACGCCGAGCCAGAATTTGTTCCAAAGTGCAAGAGCGTGCGATGTTCTGAGTTTATGCTACGACCTAACCCCTTGTGCAATGGTTCAATAAAATACTCGTCCAGAGACAATGCTTACGTCCAGAAAGCAATCCGTGCAAAAGTCCAGATAACCACACGGGTATCGCTTGGCCGCGTAAGGTCAACACGTAGTACCAAGGTCAAGGGTCAGGCAGGAATCTTGATTGCGCGTTCCAGTGTCGAGAAAAGCGTGGTCTGAAACTCCAGGTCCTGTTTTTGTGCCACTAGAATACCTAGGTAGTCCACAGGAGCCTCAGACGATCAAGGGCTGCTGGCGTATCGGAATGTGACGAGTGAAATAAAGTGGAAGACTGTGATACTTCCAGACGAATGATTAGAACCTATGCAGGCGCGCCTCCCGATGCAATGATAGAGCAGCGGTGGATGATGCTCGTGCGCCGAGGGAAGATCTTGTAGAGAGCTTTACTTACGTCAGCGACACGCGAGAAAGCTTGGCAGAAGCAAGCTTCCCTTCTGCCAGTCTACGCCTCAACATTCCATACGCATACCAATTCCTGTCACTGTCACTGATTCATTCAATTGGGATTTCACGAGCAAGCTTGTGCCCACGCAATTCGCACGTTCATCCAATCCGAAGCTACCAGGTCTAATCGATCCCTTCTGTGGTGCTCCCACCAGAACTCTTTTGGTCCTCTGCGTGGTCCAGAATGCTTGTTTATCTGACTTGCGTGCTGCTGGACAGTGCTTACACGCAAGCTCGTATCATGGCGTTTGTTGCGCCGGTCTTGGCGCGGTAGAATAACTACGTTGACCACTTCAATGATGCCTTCGAGATCGTCTGCTTTCTCCACGGCCAGTGCCAAAGGACATACCCCATCACCACAGCTGCATCGTCCCAATCTTCTTCATGCTCTTTCGGTAGTTCCTTCGAAGGCGCGGCTTGGTCTGTAATGCCCGCGATCTGAAGGCGTCAGTACTCTTGAAGAGCTCTCGGACGCTCTCGCGCGAGGGTGAAGAATGTCCATAGAATATTAGCTGTACTGTCTGTCTGTGGTCGACCGTTTGATGCGTCTGGATCGTGTCCCTTTTCGCGCAGAGCTGTCTTTTGCAGATGAGGACGCTTGACCTTCTGTGCTCTACTGGAACGGTTCTTGCAATCCAATGCCAACATCTGCCTCAACTCTTGGGAGCGTGTTTCAGGTCGACCACGCACGATAACGAGTGAGCCCCGGCTCAGCCCGTCCGGTATTGGCGACTTCGGCGTGTTCGGAGAGTGCTTCACGACAACTTTGCCTCTCGGCCTGCGTTCGAAGTTCAAAGTATGCGATGCAAAATGCCAGAGGAGGGTCTGCGACGATCAACATCTTGCCGCGCTGCTTCTGGTCGGGGCCTGTGTCTGCGAGGACACCTGGATAGCCAGATAGGGCAACTGCATGCGGGCGGCGTGAAGGAAAGCGCTCGCCTTGTTGGGTAGATCTTGCGCCTTTCGCCGGGGAGCTCCTGTGATATATACAATTGACCGCCGTTTGGAACGACGAATATCGGATACAATTGAACACCTGGAAGACCGAAGAACGACAGTGCCCTCCACAGGACAGAGTGTCGGCAAGATGCTCCCTCCCTTCGATTACTTCGAGCATCGCGCGGCATGGTAAGAGATACCCTCCCATGAGCTCCCCACATCCCACGCGGGCATGATGGCTGGACAGACAGAACGGGGATGTGCATCTCGGTCTATTCGATCATTGTCGCCATGCCCTCTGTGCTTCGATGTCATTTGCATCTATCTCAACACACACTCTCGACATTGAGTGACTGCTAACTCAGCGCAGTAAGAGAAAACAAGATGAGCGTGCCAGCCGTATTGCAACCCTACCAAAGCCCTACCTTCTACCGATTTCGCCTGACGACAAGGCGATATACGATGAACCGATCGATCAACTTGTCAAAGATGTTCAGAACAATAGCGCCAAAGCCGTCGATGTCCTGCGAGCTTACGGCAAAGCCGCCGTGAGGGCTCAAGAGAAGACGAATTGCGTTACAGAGGTCATGATCAAGGAGGCCGAAAGCTGGATAGAGAAGGGAGATATCAACCTTAAAGGTCCGCTGGCCGGCATACCCGTCAGTCTCAAAGACAGTATTGTCGTGGGCGGCTTCGACACGTCTGTTGGCTACTCCTGCAAGACTGGAAAGCCATACGCAGCAGATGGCGCTGTTGTCCGTCTCCTCAAGGATGCTGGAGCCGTGCCATTTGTCAAGACTGCGCTGCCTATAACTTTGCTGAGTTTTGAGAGCTTCAATGATGTCTGGGGCAGAGCATTGAACCCACACAACGGGAAGTATTCACCAGGTGGTAGCACTGGTGGAGAGGGCGCCATTCTGGCCTTCGGTGGTAGCAGAATCGGTGTTGGCTCTGATGTTGCAGGCTCTGTCCGAGCTCCGGCTCACTTCTCTGGCTGCTACTCACTCCGCTGTAGCACTGGACGGTGGCCCAAGCATGGAGTAGACACTTCAATGCCTGGTCAAGAAGGAATTCCCTCCGTGTTCTCGCCCATGGCACGCACCCTTCTCGACCTCACCTACTTCACACGTTCGATCATTCAAATGCAGCCCTGGAAGTACGATCAATCTGTTCATCCGCTCGCTTGGCGATCTGATGTCGAAGAGACCTTTTCGTCCAAGAAGCTGAAGGTAGGTATCATGCGAACGGACCAAGTCGTCGATCCAGCTCCTGCTTGCGCCCGAGCCCTGAACACAGCCGCGGATGCCCTGAAGGCGCAAGGGCACGAAGTCTTTGACGTGGTTCCGCCAAGTCCATATGAGGCCATGGTCATTGCAAGCAATCTACTCAACGCCGACGGCACCAAAATGTTTCGCTCCTTCTTCCGCACCGGCGAGTCTGATGATGCAGGCGCACGCGAGTTCGGCAGATACATGCGGCTCCCACGTTTCATTAAATGGTTCTACTGGGCATACGTGAAGTACATCAAGAGGGACGACATCTGGGCTGGTCTGCTGGAGCACTGGCACGCGAAATCGGCATTCGAGAACTGGCAGTGGGTTGCTAAGCGCGAGCTCTACAAGGCTAATTTCCATGCGTGGTGGAACACTTTTGGCGACAAGGGCGATGGCATGGACTTCCTCTTGACGCCGCCAAATGCTACGCCGGCTGTGCCACACAATGGCATGAAAGAAGCATCGGCCTCTTGTGGATATACTTTCCTGTTCAATCTTCTGGACTACGCTTGCGGCATTGTGCCTGTCACACACGTCGATCCAAGCAAAGACATGCTTTCGCCGAGCGTCAAGATCAACCGAATGAATGGCGTCGCTCGTGGCGCATACAAGCACTACGACGCCGTCAAAATGGCCGGACTCCCGGTTGCAGTGCAGCTTGTTGGAAGGCGTCTTGAAGAGGAAAAAGTACTTGCTGGCATGAAGCAGTTAGAGGACTCTTTAGAGGCGCGCGGCCAGAAGTATCAACTGCTCAAAGGATATGAGCTGGACTAGTTCTCGAAGTCCTCGTAGTTCAACAATGGTGTGATGCACCCAAATTACCTGCTGTCTGTTGCATTCTGGTCTAATAAGCAAGAATGTATCTCCGATGCCGATTAGCCGGACTCCTCATTTCCATGGCTTGAGGATTCGTGCTTTTCGAGTCTTGTGATTTTTCCGCCAGCGATCTTTTACCCGTGATAGCATCGGTGGTATCCCCAGGATTTCGTCTCGTCTTCCCTGCCACCTCCACGTTGTTTCTCCGCACTTGTGGGTGGATCGGTCTGGGGTTGGACGATGCAACCTCACCCTCATGCCTCATGCTGTGATCCTCGAATCAAGAGAGAGCGCAATTTGTGGTACTCTCCACCTCCCGGTGAGAGCTGAGCAAGGTTGTTCCGTGTGCACGGTTCCTGCAGAAGATTGAACTCTGAGTTTAATTCATAAAGCTGGGCAATTTCCTTCCCTTTTGTTGCTGTGACTTCGCACTAGAAGCTTCCAAGTTAACACTGCACGCCTGACTTTCGGTGTGTGAGAGGAGCACCTTGTCTTTCATGATGCTGCAATCGATTGCAGCATTGCTCCTTGCAGCATCCACGGCCGTATACGCGGAAGGCAACTACGGTGGCAGCGCATCGCTTCCATTCCCGCCGTTTTCTGGAGACCCATTCAAAAAGTACGAGCTCAGTGCGAAGGGCATCAAGGCTTCATTCATCCCATATGGCGCACGTCTCACCAATCTATATGTGAACGACAAGCATGGACATATGCAGGACGTAGCTGTCGGCTACGATGAGGGCTCGCGATACCTGGAAGACTCAGAAACGAACCACACTTACTTCGGTTGCGTCAGTTGCCATCCTAGTTGCATTCTAGTGGTCAAGCTAACGTACATTAACAGGTCGTTGGACGTTACGCAAACAGGTAGATTTAATCTGGACCATTGCGTTGCACTTCTTTAGCACTGACTCTCGACAGAATCAAGAACGGCACTTTTACAGTCGACGGCCAGACCTCTCACATCCCTACGAACGAGCACGGAGGCGCAAATACCTTGCACGGTGGTAGCGTCGGCTATGACCAGCGTAATTGGACTGTTGCGAAAAAAACCGAAAGCAGCATCACTTTCTACCTCTACGACCAAGGCTACGAGGGCTTCCCAGGAGACGTTCTTAATGTCGCAACATTTACACTTGCAGACGACCAGTCATTCACCTCCAGGTTGGTCTCGATTCCATTCGACAAGGCCACACCGATCATGCTCTCGCACCATATCTACTGGAACCTTGGAGCATTCGTAGACCAAGACGCTCTCACCATCTTGAACGATACCCTGTACATGCCGTATGCAGACCGGTATATCCAGACCGACGGCATCCTGGTTCCAAATGGAAATATTGCATTGACAAGCGGTACTGCCTTGGACTTCACCAAGCCCGGCACGATCCTTGGCGACAACATCAAGAATGCCAAGGGATTCTGCGGCACCGGATGCACCGGAATCGACAATGCTTTCATCAACGACTTCCCGCCATATGCTGCACCCAAAGACCAGACTAGGAATGTTCTCCAGATGTCCTCCCCAAGCACCGGCATCAAACTTGATATCGAGACGGATCAAGGAGGAATTCAGATCTACACCTGTGTCGGCCAGAATGGCTCCATTCCAGTGAAGAAGGATCAACAGCACATCCAGGGCCAGACAACACACGTTGAGAAGTATGGCTGCATTGTCATCGAGACCCAGGACGTAAGTAAAGATCCGCTTTTGCGAGTGAATCAACACTGCTAATGATCCCGACAGTGGGTCGGTGCCATTAATTATCCACAGTGGGGCCGCGATCAATTTCAGATCTTTTCTCCAGCGACCGAGCCTGCGGTGAACTACGCGAAGTTCAAGTTCAGTGTTATCACCAGCTGAAAAGATCATAAGATACCATGCGGATAATGAAGAGGATGAGCATGAAGCATGATCGATGAAGCTTCGTAATCGAACCATAATGCATAGTAATCTTACATGACAGATGATCGACCAGATAAGTTCCAATTCCTGCACATACGAGCTCATCGTCACGCGTCAAAATGCAGAGTGTCACCTGCATACAGGACGCCGGTCCGGAACCACTTTTTTTTTCTGCTTTTCTATCATGCATAGGAAAGTTGAAGGATTCTTCCGTAGAGCAACTTCCTGTCAATAATATGACAACTCAACAAAAGTTGGGGCCCCTTTAGGCTTAGTGCGGCTCAAAACGACCGAAAAGCCGACTCTGATTGGTCGGCGGCGAGGAACTTCAAAATTTCTCGATTCTCGCGCGGTCCGGAGGGCGTAGGAGTCGCAGGATCGACTATAACGCTCCGGCGCCGCGATAGCAGTGTTTCCGAGGCCGTCTCCGTCGTTTACGCCTAATCCGGCGGCGTTTTTTGCTCGAGGCGGTATCGTTCGCGCCTAATCCGGCGGTATTTACTCGGAGCGGTAGGCTCGAAAGGCTTATCCTACGCGTTCCGGATAGTACTACTCGCTATAGGCGTTTTATAGGGTACTTATAGTAGGCGTTAGATAAGGTACTCGCTATAAATAGTTCGAATCCTATTTAACTATAGGCGTTTTTAGATAGAATTTGCTATAAGCGTTTCGGGTAGCACTACTCGCTATAGCTATCTCGGACAGTTACCGCTATAAGCGTTTCGAATATTACTACTTAGTACTCGCTATAAGCGTTTTTAGTGGTATTTACTATAAGCGTTTCGGATTAGACTTGCTATAAGTATTCTAAATAGGACTTACTATAGGTATTTTAGATAGTCCTACTTGCTATAAGCGTTCTTAATAGTACTTGCTATTTGCGTTCTGAATTAGACTTACTATACGCGTTCCGGATAAGACTTAGTATAAGCGTTTCGGATTAGAATTGCTATATAGTGCGTTCCAAATGAAACTTAGTATAGGCGTTATAGACAGTAGTACTAACTGTTAGCGCTCCGGATTAGAGTTATTAGACTTACTATACGCGTTCTAAATAGTACTTAGTATTATAAGCGTTCTGAATTAGACCTATTATAGGCGTTATAGATAATAGTTAGCTTATCCTACGCGTTTCGGATAGTACTACTCGCTATAGATATTCTATAGAGTACTCGCTATAGGCGTTATATAGGGTACTCGCTACAGATAGTTCGAATACTATTTAACTATAGGCGTTTTAGATAGTATTTGCTATAAGCGTTCCGGATAGTACTACTCGCTATAGGCCTTCCGGATAGTGCTTCGTATAAGTATTTAGTTTCGGATTAGACTTAGACTTACTTTATACATTCCGGATAAGACGTTCTATAAGCGTTTCAGATTAGACTTGCTATACGCCTTCCGGTTTATACTATACTAAGCGTGTAAAATAAGGCTTGTCCTACGCGTTCCGGATAGTACTACTCGCTATAGATATTCTATAGAGCACTCGCTACAGGCGCCCTATAGGATACTCGTAGTAGGCGTTATATAGGGTACTTACTATAGGTAGTTCGAATACTATTTCCTATAGGCGTTTGAAATAGTATTTACTATAAGCGTTTCGGATATAATATAGTACTTCGTGCTATAAGTATTCTAAATAGTACTTACTATAGGCACTTTAGGTAGTACCGCTTGCTATAAGCGTGCTTAAATTTTAATAGTACTTGCTATTAGCGTTGCGAATTAGACTTGCTATATACGTTCCGGATAGTGCTTACGCTACGCGTTCCGGATTAGACTTAGTAGAAGCGTTCCGGATTAGAATTACTATATAGCGCGTTTTAAATAAAACTTAGTATAGGCGCTATAGATAGTAGTACTAACTGTTAGCGCTCCGGATTAGACTTACTATATACGTTCCAAATAGTACTTAGGATTATAAGTGTTCTAAATTGAAATTCCTATATTTATAGAGTACTCGTAGTAGGCGTTATATAGGGTACTCGCTATAGGTAGTTCGAATACTGTTTAGCTTTAGGCGTTTTAGATAGTCTTTACTATAGGCGATCCGGATAGTACTGCTCGCTATAGATATCTTAAATAGTTACCGCTATAAGCGTTTCGAATGTTACTACTCGCTATAAGCGTTTTTAGTAGTATTTACTATAAGCGCTTCCGATATAACTTGCTATTAGTATTCTAAACAGTACTTACTATAGGTATTTTAGATAGTACTACTTGCTATAAGCGTTCTTAGCAGTACTTCGGATTAGACTTGCTATACGCGTTCCGGTTTATATCGGACTAACTATACTAAGCGTTTAAAATAAGGCTTGTCCTACGCGTTCCGGACAGTACTACTTGCTATAGGTATTCTATAGAGTGCTCGCTATAGGCGTTCTCTAAGGTACTCGTAGCAGGCGTTATATAGGGTACTCGCTATAGGTAGTTAAAATACTGTTTGCTATAGGCGTTTTAGATAGTGTTTGCTGTAAGCGTTCCGGATAGTACTACTTGCTATAGATATCTCGGATGATATAGTTACCGCTATAAGCGTTTCGAATATTACTACTCGCTATAAGCGCTTTTAGTAGTATTTGCTATAGGCGTTTCGGATTAGACTTGCTATACGTATTCTAAATAGCACTTGCTATAGGTACTTTAGATAGTCCTACTTGCTATAAGCGTTCTTAGTAGTACTTGCTATTAGCGTTCCGGATAGTCTTACTCTACGCGTTTCGGATAAGACTTAGTATAGGCATTTCGGATTAGAATTGCTATATAGCGCGTTTTAAATAGACCTTCGTGTTCTAAATAGTACTTAGTATTATAGGCGTTCTAAATTAGACTTTTTATAGGCGTTATAGATAATAGTTAGCTTATCCTACGCCTTCCGGATAGTGCTACTCGCTACAGATATTCTATAGAGTACTCGCTATAGGCGTTTTGTAGGGTACTCGTAGTAGGCGTTATATAAGGTACTCGCTATAAATAGTTCGAATACTATTTAGCTATAGCCAGCCTATAGGCGTTCCAGATAGTGTTTGCTATAAGCGTTCCGGACAGTATTACAGTACTACTCGCTATAGGCCTTCCGGGTAGTACTTAATATAGGCATTTGGTTTCGGATTAGACTTAGACTTACTCTATATATTCCGGATAGGACTTTCTATAGGTATTTTAGATTAGACCCGCTATACGCGTTCCGGTTTATATAGGCCTAAATATACTAAGCGTTTAAAATAAGGCTTATCCTACGCGTTCCGGATAGTACTACTCGCTATAGGTATCCTATAGAGTACTCGCTATAGGCGTTTTATAAGGTACTCGTAGTAGGCGTTATATAGGGTACTCGCTATAAATAGTTCGAATACTATTAAACTATAGGCGTTTTAGATAGTATTTGCTATAGGCATTCCGGATAGTACTACTCGCTATAGATATCTTAGACGGTTGCCGCTATAAGCGTTTCGAATATTACTACTCGCTATAATCGGGTTTAGTAGTATTTACTATAAGCGTTTCGGATATAACTTGCTATAAGTATTCTAAATAGTACTTACTATAGGTAATTTAATAGTACTACTTGCTATAAGCGTTCTTAATAGTACTTGCTATTAGCGCTCCGGATTGGACTTACTATACGCAATCCGGATAGTACTACTCGCTATAAGCCTTCCGGATAGTACTTAATATAAGTATTTAGTTTCGGATTAGACTTAGATAGTTAGACTTGCTCTATATATTTCAGATAAGACTTTCTATAAGCGTTTCGGATTAGACTTGCTATACGCGTACCGGTTTATATAGAACTAACTATACTAAGCGTTTAAAATAAGGCCTGTCCTACGCGTTCCGGATAGTACTACTGCTATAGATATACCGTATTATATAGAGTGCTCGCTATAGGCGTTTTATAAGGTACTCGTAGTAGGTGCTATACAGGCTACTCGCTCTAAGTAGTTCGAATGCTGTTTGCTATAGGCGTTTTAGATAGTATTTGCTATAAGCGTTCCGGATAGTACTACTCGCTATAGGCCTTCCGGGTAGTACTTAGTATAAGTACTTAGTCTTAGATTGGACTTCGACTTACTTTATATATTCCGGATAAGACTTTCTATAAGCGTTTCGGATTAGACTTGCGTATAGTATACGCCTTCCGGTTTATATCGGACTAACTATACTAAGCGTTTAAAATAAGGCTTGTCCTACGCGTTCCGGATAGTACTACTCGCTATAGATATCTTAGATAGTTACCGCTATAGGCGTTTCGAGTATTACTACTCGCTATAGGCGTTTTTAGTAGTATTTACTATAAGCGTTTCGGATATAACTTGCTCTAAGTATTATAAATAGTACTTACTATAGGTATTTTAGAAAGTACTACTTACTATAAGCGTTCGTAATAGTACTTACTATTACCGTTCTAAATTAGACCTACTATACGCGTTCCGGATAGTACTTACTCTACGCGTTCCGGATAAGACTTAGTATAAGCGTTTCGGATTAGAATTACTATATAGCGCGTTCTAAATAAAACTTAGTATAGGCGTTACAGATAGTAGTACTAATAGGTAGCGCTCCGGATTAGACTTACTATACGCCTTCTTAATAGTACTTAGTATTGTAAGCGTTCTAAATTAGACCTATTATAGGCGTTATAGATAATAGTTAGCTTATCCTACGCGTTCCGGATAGTACTACTCGCTATAGATATTCTATAGAGTACTCGTAGTAGGCGTTATATAGGCCCTATAGGGTATTCGCTATAAATAGTTCGAATGCTATTTAACTATAGGCGTTTTAGATAGTATTTGCTATAAGCGTTCCGGATAGTACTACTCGCTATAGGCCTTCCGGATAGTGCTTAGTACAAGTATTTAGTTTCGGATTAGACTTAGTCTTACTTTATACATTCCGGATAAGACTTTCTATAAGCGTTTCGGATTAGACTTGCGTATAGTATACGCCTTCCGGTTTATATCGGACTAACTATACTAAGCGTTTAAAATAAGGCTTGTCCTACGCGTTCTATATAGTACTACTCGCTATAGGTATTCTATAGAGTACTCGCTATAGGCGTCTT